GACAATTCGAAAAATCGAAATCTTTCGAACCTTTCGAACCGCTTGAATCGATCATCCAAACTGCGATTCGAAAAAAGTTCGCGGCATCCCTAGTAGTAACTTGCTTGGTCGGCCGCCACGGGTGAGCTCGTTCTCGTCGCCTGTGTTGAGTCGGTGGGGGAAAATGTACTTATCACGTAGACACATCTAGTTTATTAACGAATTAGGTTGCATTGTTGAGTTGAAACATCATGGCGGTTGCATGGAACAAGAAGAAGAATAGCGCCGCGTGCGCGGGCAGTCCACCGGAAGACACCGGCCCCCTGGTGGTCAATACAAATATACAGCAACTTGGAACGCAGATTTCAGATAACAACTGAAAGGTGTTGCCTTCAGTTAGGCGGCGCAGGCGTACATGCAACTAAGTGCCATTCTCGGTGACTCCAGTAAGTGCTTCGTAGCGTCTTCCACAAAAGCGACTTTAGTGACGCTAGTGACTTTACGAGGTGCAAACACGATTACCACAAAGGGAACGAGATGAGCAAACCAACCTGGCATTTGTTCGTGTCAAACACGGCATTAACAAGAGGCGAGAGTTCCTGTTCCGCTACTAAAGTGACGATGTCACAAGAGTAAAAACCGTCGTCTATAGACCATTCCATTTAGCGCTCTCTGGACGGCACCATTTTGTTCGACCGCAGCGCCCTCTCCACACATCCGGGAAGTTCAGCGGGTTCGGCGGGGTAAAACGAGAGAGAGGGCACGCCGCCAACTCCGCTAGCAGACGACAAACCGGGGGGTTGCCGTTCTCCATATTTGGGCTGTATCGGCGGGTTCTACCGAACACCGAACTCTCGCTCGTGGCTGCCGTTGTGAAGTGGTTCGCGTTCTTAAATAGTTGTGGCTACTCCAAAATCAGCCTATAGCTCTCTGTTGTTCTATTTTGCTAAATAATAAACTAGCGTATATTTTTTTCCGTTACTTAAATAGCAGTTGAGTCAGCAGGCAGTACTACCCTCAACTACTGCGTGTATTGCGGCAGGAGAGCACGTTTTTATTTATTCTTTCAGACTTCCACTCATGGTCGCTAAAGGCCTACACCAGTATGAACTTTTGTATAGTAAGAAAGGTACAGCAACCGGATTTTCTTTACGCCAAAGAGACCGGCCAATCTGACACAGTTTTCCCTATTTTTGTTTTTTATTTGCACGCAGGTAACAGTGCAATCGGACCCTGTGAGTCTTTTTATCTAGCATAGTATTACACGATAACTGGCATACCGAAATCTGCGCATCTGCGCTTGAAAGTTCCAAAATGACGCGATTTTAAACAGAGTTTGCACGCCAGCCGGACGCTAGCTACAGCCCACTCGGCGGAGCGGACGGCTTGCGGGGGAGAGGGGGAGTGCACTTTTTTTTTCTCTTTTACCCTCTCTGCTATGACCCTAATGGAACGGTCTATAGACCAGTGTCCCTAAGTGCTCTTTTTAGCCTCGACCGCAAGGTGCAAAAGCGAACAATAATCTCGAAGCCAGACGCTCACGGGGAGGGGGGGCTGCGTCGGCCTGCGCCGCTGCTTCCCGTTGAGGGCTTCTTCGCTGGTGTGACGACTGCTGTTTCGCCGGCATCGGTCCTGTTTACCGCGGTATGTGAGTCTAGTGCCCGTAATGTGAGAGCCGTGTGTCCATACGCCACTTTGCCGCTGTTGGTTTCCATCTAGCCGAGCCAGAAAACATCTCGCGACGAGTTGACCGCGCCGTGAGTGACGAAGAAGAAGCAAACATGGCGACGGTTTGTGCGATTGATTTGGTGGCTCCGGTGTTGAGTGTCTTCAACGTCCTCGTGAGAAGATTCCCCTGTCCTTCGAAGTTATTGCAAGCACCTCGAGTGGCACGGAAGATGTGGAATCATCGTCTCAACTACAAATAAGCAGACCTTCACGAGCAACAGCAATGCCGAGCAGGCGCTCGGCACAGTTGTGTCGTCAGATGTTCTACAACGCCGAGGTATTTTCATTTATCATTTGAATCTATTTCGCGGATTCTTAACCCCGAGGGGAGTGCCCTCCATTGCAATGCCGTTGTCGCGCAAAGTGCAGAGAAAACCGGGTGGCGATGGCGGTGGTGCTCTTTGATCACTTTGATCTTGCGCCGTCGGGTTGATGGAGTCCGGAATAAAACGTACGTACGTGCGTCTGCCGGATCGGTGTTTTGCACTGCCTCAATACTCTTTCTCACGCGCATTTTCCTTGTGAAGCTTAGTAGCTCATTACACCTCGTCGTCGACTGCGCTCATTTGACTACGACGGACGAGCCTGCGTGATGTGAATTTCACTGCCTAAGATCCTTGGTGTGCTGTAACGAGGGCTAATAAAATATCACCGCGAACTTCTGAAGAAACGAGTCGAAGTTTCGTCTGTTATCATAACTGATCGCCTGTCACAATATTAATCAGTAGCGTTCCTAGACTCCGCCCCCACAGGCACCCTGCATCGTTGACTGATAGTAAGTGTCTCCTGGTACCTCGTAGAATTCCATCCTTTAGAACTGGCAATTAATAGTTTCGAACCCTAACGCTCGCAGGGTGTGTGTGTGTGTGTGGGGGGGGGGGGGGGGAGGACGGACGCGTGCTAACATACTCGTAGCCCTCGTTTACGCCGCTTCGCGGCGGCAGACAAGGCGGCACATTACAAAAGAAAGCTAATCCGAGCTGTCTATGTAACTAGACCCATTCGCTAGTCATTCGAGGAAACGTCGTGGTCCCGTTTTCATTCGCTAAAACGGCGTTCAATCAAGTGAACGCCTCCCACTTATTTCGGCTTGGGAGAGCCGCGCTGCCGCAGAAAGGCAAGCAGATCGCGAAAATCGGTCTCAAACGTGCCACGAATGTAATGTCGTATACAAGAAGCCAAGAATCAAGTATTTGAAAGCTGCAAGGAAGCGGTAGCGAAATATTTACTATGCAATGAACCCTGACTGAAACGCGGATGTCAAGGGTCAGCAGACACCGAGAACATTTAAGACAATAAAGGTTTTCTCTTGTTTTCTTGATCGAGATGGGTCCTCGAATGTTCACGACATCTTATCTGTTGAAGAACGGGCCGCAGAGGCTTCTGGTGAAGACATCTTTCACGATGTGCCGGTGCATTCGGACAACCTGACGCATCCAGCTCCCCAAAGCAACGCCGCCAACGCAGCCCCCCCTCCTGCCTGCCAGTTCTCTCCGCGTGGTGGCGCGAGCGTAGATAAACATGGCGGCGCCCTGGAATTGGCGCGGACACTGGTCTATAGAACAAAAGCTGCACAGCCTGACACTTGTCGACAGGTACCCAAAACGTAAACGGGTGGACATTGCAAACGAGTTTGGACTGCCTGCGTCGACGGTAAACAGTCGTGTCAAAACGAAAATCCGGGCGTTTTCGACAAAAGAAAACCGTGTCTATTAGTCCGTGAGAATAAACTGTGCATGGTAGAAAGCTGTAACTTGGGGAGGCTGTGACGATAGCGGTTATGAGAGAACACGAGAGGTCGGTAACCTGGATTAAAAGATAAAAATTAAATATGAAATTGTTCCGAGCTCACGTCCGCTTGAGCCTAATATTGACGCAACAAGAAATGCCATTGTGGGTGCCTTTAAGAATTATTTATGCAAAAATAAAACTTGTCTGCGAGGAAACAATATGATCTTTCTCGCTGACAAGTGTTTTTCACTTGCATGAATGAAACGTGCGTCCACAATCTCAGTTCTTGTTTTGGCAATATAAGCCTTATGTGGACGTCGGGTCCTAAACAATTTTTTTTAAATATTTATTTCTTTTATTTAAGTAACGCCATGTTCTCAAACACTCCCGTTCCACCCCAACCGCTAGTGTCAAGTAATCACAGATGTTTAGCTTTTTTCGAAGCCCCCTTACGTGGGCAGAGTAACTCGGCTCTTTTTTCTCATAAACACGAACTTCTTTTCAGTGACAAGAAATGTCAAGTTCCGATTGCACAAATCTAAAAAAAATAATTGCTATTTTTTTTCTTTTTTTTATAGGGGGGGGGGGGAGGGAGGGGGGAAATATCACCGAGGTTTTACTGTAGTATATTTACAGCCTAATCATGGTACAACAAACCCTTCGTCGCCCCAATGTCGCGAGGAGACACGTAAAATGACGTTACGTACCGATATAGTCAAAGCCATATATTGAAAAACAGGGCTAACAAACTTAACTTACCGTGATGTTTCCCTAAAAGCCGACCGTTTGTATCAGCATCCGTAAGGCCGCCAGTCACACTCCTAATCATCCTACAAACGACAGTCTGAGGGCACCATCCAAGGCAGCCGTAGGTAGCAAATTTGTGCTCTTAATTTTTCCCTCTTCACTCAAGAAATCTCATTTATTTAAATTTCGCTACAAAACAATGCACCGCTTTTGGCTACCCGTGTGCATAATTCTCAGCGCAATATTGCCACGGGCGTCGGCGAGCGAGCTGTTATGCCGCCATCGACGCCCGCGACGCTATAACGTTATCGTCCGTTTCCTTTTTGTTTTTGGGCACACGTTCGCCCAATTAAACGCTTAGCTTCTTCAGTTATCGCCTCATCAATTGTCATTCGTGACAATATGTTAGAAGGCTGATTCATGCGGTCCCTTCAAAGGGTCAACGGTGCCTTTGAGTCACACAATAGTTAGCTTACATGCTGGTGACACTAGCTCGGCGCTTAAATTACCCGGGCAAGAATGCGATGACCGTTCTACAATACATTTTAGGTCAATTTACTAAATTATTCAAGTATAAGTCGCATGCAATATGACCAAACTCTATCGGGTGCACAAGAGATTATGCATAAATGCTTTGGAAGGGGAAGCATGCTCACACAGATATTTGTTGAGCAAAACGAGAAAGGACATGTACAACACTAATGTTGAAAGCTTAAGTTAACGGAGTGGGCCTAGTCAAACTTTAGTTATAATAACACAGCTGAGGACAAAACATCATGCACACATCCTTTAGCACAAAAGAAAGCACAATCATGTCGTATTTATTTGTTTATTAAGATGTGAAAAGACATGCACAACATTAATGTTCAAAGCTTATGTAAACACAGTAGAATTTGTTGAACGTGAGTTATTCCAATGGCGCAGCTAGGGTCAAGATTGAGACTCTGTATTCTGGTAGCCAAGATTAACGATGCCAGATGAGGAGACGCCGTCCTGTCAGATAAAAGAAAAAAAAAATAGCAGGTTAGCAGAGGACCAAGAAAGAGAAATTTGTGAAAAACTGAAAGAAAAACTTTTACGAGAATTGTTGAATTGAATTTCAAAGTTCGATTGCACAGACGAAACATGTAACGGGGGTATCTCTGACGAGTTAAAACCTTTACAAAGGATTGTCAGCACTCCAAATCAATTACTACGAGATCAAAAAACATCGCCAGCCTCATCCTTATCTCTTCATTCTAACTTAACCCGTCAAATTCGTGTGGTGTATGACGAGAATCCTTTCAGGTAACACATTAATGGAAGGGACACCAAACATTGTTGAGAAACGTTTCTTTCGAGTTCTTTTTATGATTGATATACTGGTGGGCATTTTTTTAATAAAAACATATTCTGAAACAACTCGGTCGTCCTACTTTAAGTTAGAAACTACACAAATAAGATTTGATTTTTGGTATACAGTAGCTAACCATTTTTTGAACATTGAACTTTCGGACATGGCCGATTATTCCGACAATTGTTCGGCGCCGTCATTCGCCACATAGACTTAATGTATAAAAGCGGCTGAAAATCGGGACAACGCACGCCATGTTGCTCAAATTTCGCTTCACTTTAGCGACCACCCTACCGCCACCACGAAACGAATAGCCGCCATTCTTGTTTGTTTCGGCTTGGCCTGAGCCTCCACACTTTGTGGTAGACGTATCATATGCAATGGGGCGCTGTCTATGCGATACAAAAACTAGATTTAGGCTATAATCGGAATCATCGACTTTCTCTTGAAATCGAGGTTAATTTGATTCTAACTTCTGTTTTCTGCTGTTGACGGAGGGATTGTGGTCATCTAAACGTTTGGGAACTGTCCGCTGCTGTCCTTCGCGTTCCTTCTGTCGTGGTCTTAAGCAGTGTCAAATGGCGCTAGATGCGTCTTTAAAGGGACACTGAAAGGGTATTTATGCTCACTGAGGTTTTTAGTTGTATGTGACTTGCAAGATCCCAACTACCCAGAACAGAACTTTCGGGTCGAAATTCAGTTTCTTTCCGCCCGAAAACCGCCAGTCAAGAACTGGCCAATTTAAGTAGCGCTCACTCTCTTCTCCGTGGTCAAGGGCCGTTTTCTAAGGTTTATACACATTCCCCAAATTTAGTCAAAGTCGTAGGTCATTGTAGGCACACACTTAATATTAAAATTATGAAAAACATAAAACCCGTTTTTAGTGGCCTCTAAAAAGCTGCAGATACGTTAACTGTAAAAAGAAAAAAGTTGCACATAGAGCCGGAAGCATTCTGTGCTTTCACTGCGCAATTCTCAACATGCCGTCGTATCACATATCGTGAGTATGGCGGGCTAGACGGCGATGGCAACGGATGACGGACGACTTTACTTCAAGACTGTCATTCGCAGCACCAGTGAATTCTGTCTTCGTTCGAAAGAGAAATTTTCAACCAATCAAAAGAATTGGTATCCATCCAGTACGACACACCCGACCATTAAGCCGATGTGTACAAAAACGTCGCCGACTTGTCGCCCCCTTCTTGTGGCTGAAGACATCGCTCGCTTAAACGTCAAGCACCAAGTGTGTACTTCGAGCTGAATATGCGCGCGTACGATTTCTTTACTAGGTGCAATGTAGCCAATACGAGTTGCTGCCCGACTTCAAGCCGGGAGGGCTTTTGCTGGAGGAAAATCAGCAGGAACTTTCCAGCCTGCAGTTGACCGGCTGCATTATTACGAAGAGTTCCCCCATCAGCTCAGTGGTCAGATATCCGCTTCGCACACAGCCCACCCAGGTTCAATCCAAAGCGTAAACGGACCGTTTTTTCTTATTGCTTTTTTTATAGACATTTTTCGATATTTAATTATTTTTCTTTTTTTTACAGTTATCGCTGAAAAAAAGAAACAGAAAAAACCTATGTTGTGGACGAACCGTTGCTGAACTAAATGATTTGGGATTTCCTTTTTGACACCTGCGAACTCAATACGGTCACTTTTCACAAAGTGCAAGGAGCATATAAATCGGGTAGCGTTCGCTTTCCGAGGTGCCCGTAAATGTTCTACAGGAATTGCAGCCAGCCATTGGTCCCGAACCCGTTTATCTTTCGGGAACTTTTGCAGACTCTGCCGGACAATGTCCCTTTCGGATACAGGACCTGTGAGGCGGCTCTACACGAAACATCTGGGTAGCATTCTTTTTGAAGCCGATCACGAAAATTAAGCAAGGGCACTTACTGCTCCTTTCCGACTCTTCAATGGACAAACCAACTCATCTTGAAGTGTACAACAGCGAGCGGAATAAACATAACTGGAAAGGAATCCCACGGCACCCGCAAAATGTCGTCTGCTGCACGCAACAAAAAAAAAATGTGCGGAGGGAAAAACAAAACGTACGGCCGGGTATAGCCACGTGACTTCCGCCACTCACTCTCTCCTCTATACATTTCTGACCTCCGTGAACAAGTTTCGGTTTCGAGCTGTAGTGTTTTTTGGCTTTGTTAAAATATACGTGACTCTGTAGCAAACTATTAATTGGGTAGACTTCAAACTCCATAATAGATTGCCTGGGAAAATATTAGAAACAAAAAGTTTTGGGGGGTGTCAGTGTCCCATTAACTTCATTGTACGCGTCAACGGCTAGGTCTGAGTTTTTTTTCGTGCTATGCATCGGGGATGCCTGTCGAATTTACGGACGGATTGCGGTTGTATAAAAGTCTGAGAACCCCTTCAAAGTTCAACGCTGTTTTTGTTCATAGTTTGGTTTAGGGACAACTTGACTGCAGGTCATTGTGCGGCCGTTCATTGTAATGTAGAACTAAAATGTATGACGATCTGGTCGCGCAGAGGTGAAGCACCGTCCAGCAAACTACCGACCTGGTTCTCCAGCCATTTAGTATATAAAGTGCCAATACAAAGATCTTCTTATAATTTCATTTTTTCGACTGCTGGATTACCCAGGACTTTATCGCGATCCCAATCGAACCCGAAGAATTGGTTGGAGACAGTAAATTACTTTTCGTGGTAATTGATTGCCTTGATAACAAATAAGCTATCTATGTTCATCGTTCAAAACAAGATTTAAGAGTTTCTTGGGTGTTTTTTTTGTTTTTTTTTTATCTAATCGAGGTTTTTCAGTTAGTCCTATGGCCTACATTAAACACCTGTATGCCACCCTGGGCACGACGGATATTGAAGTTTTTAACTCAAATTTCGTATCATTTATGTTGTTTCTGACTTCTCTCGAATCTTCCTGTTGTCCCTCATCACCAAACGATCCCTTGTAGGAGAGCATGTAAATAAACAAACGAATCATTACATTAATTGTTGAACGAATGGATAGAAGAAATAAGGAATGATTGGAAAAGTGAATGAATTGAAAGAGATGGGGCACCAAACCGGGTACTAGGTCATCGACAAATGCTGGCGCATAAGTCAAACGTGGGGACCTATATACAAATGCAATACCAGTGCAGCGACAAAAGCGACAAAGAAATGGGAAACTGAAAAACTAAGGCAAGCAAGACCACATGATTTTTAACTGGCCTTCTCATAAGTCGGCGCATTGCGTCATGGCATGTGCTCTTATGTTATGCCATGTACACTTATGTTATGGACACATGTGTTATTGCGTTATGGCATCTATAGGTGTTATTGAGCTATGACATGTTCACTAAAAAATAAAAGAACTGCTTGTCATCCCAATGTTTAGAACAGTAGTTCTCAACCACTGATGTGTCGGGGACGTGTGGGGAATCTCCAAAGTGATGGGGGACCCCACGACAGTGTGGGAAAGGGGAAGGAGGAGAGTATCAAATAAGACAACGAAATAAGGGTGGCGATGTGGGTTAGTTGGTTCATACTGACGAAAAGGCAAACAGCGCGCAGAAAACGGGGACAAGAGGAAGTGCAAACAGGACAAGCGCTTGTCCTGTTTGCACTTCCTCTTGTCCCCGTTTTCTGCGCGCTGTTTGCCTTTTCGTCAAGACAACGAATTGCACTGTGAAAGGGTAACATTTACTGTTCTAGAAAAAAAGGAGTGAGGACCATCAAGGAAAAGATGAATGAATATTTAGATGGTAAGGCTCTTTAGGATGGGGGGACGGGGTACCATTTAGGACGGGGGGTAGCTTGTGCCACCTAGCCAGGGTCAACAAAAAAAGGATTTTTTTTTCAATATAAATCGGGCGGCGTGATGAGGATTGAAGCAACGGCTTCCCAGACAAAGGAAATAGCTTCGCGAACTTCAGCGGGTCCGCAGAGCCAGCTTTTGAGAACCACTGATGTACAGAAAACACTTAAACTGAAGAGTGACACATATTTTTTAAAGGGGTACCTACGTGCACAAACGTTACATCGCTTGCATCAGGGCTTGTCAGTTCAAGCTGTAAAGGAACAATCGACGAAAGATGAGAATAAGCAACTATTAAAAAGTTTCAATTTTAGTTTCTCTCTCCTAATCTAGTAATTCCAAAATCCTCTATAACCTTTCTTACAGAAATATTAGCGTATGGATGAGATATCACTGACATATTGTGTTCGCTTATCTCAAAGCTTTTCTAGTGTTCCAATAAGGTGCCTTCTTTGCCCTCCTCGAAATCCTCTTGGTAGCTGTAACACAAATATGGTGAGTTCTGTTCCCAAGAGGTGAAAGTATGTGTTTCTGACAAAACGAAAATCCTTCCTTCTCAAATAATTGTTTTATGTCGACTGCAGGTACAGTTACAAATATTCTCCCAAATGTATTTTTTTTCTTCAGTCACTAAGAAAGAAAATAAATTATCAATTCATGGTGTGCTGTAAAGATATGCTGTCCTACAAAATCATGTCAACCAAACTTCAGAGTTCGCTGGACATTTTAGGCGATGAAGAGATGCCTGGCTTTAATTTCATGCAGGGTTATCTTCATTACATCTAATAAGACTTCACCGCCATCTTTAAACACTTTCAATTACTAACTGCTGTATGAACTTACGTCATCCAATGGCAGGCCATAGCTAGGGTTCAGGACGGATATTACTTCATCCTCGTCCCTGCGAAGAAAACGTCCAGATATTATGAAATGCCCACTATTTTGGACTCGTAGTCAAACTGTGCCGTAAGCAACATTCATTCTACATTAAAAGCGTTCGAAGAAGAGGTGAGTATAGATTTGTAGTACAATGCGTGGCGAGGGACCACAAACAGGAAGTCCCCTCCCAAGTAAACATTTGTCGAGCCTGTTTTCTGCCGATAATGGTTTGCGATTTACCGATTAAGAGAGAGTCACTCTCGTGTTTGAAAGAAGGTTGGTGAATTGTCTTCGTCCGATTAACTACAAAATCTTCCAAGGTGCATCTATGCTCATTACTAGAGAGAACGGCAGGGTGTGTGTCTCGAATGCCTGACCTTTAGCACACGCCCAAGTGCTTTCCAACGCGCTTGAGGCGCGCGAGACGGCCAAACGTTCTGGAATGTAGGAAGGTCCCGCTGGAGGCGGGACAACTAAGGATCATCCCTGCCGTTCCCACGTTGTCAGCGACTAGAGCTAAAGTCACGTCGACGAGGTGTATGAATCGCACACTCACCGTGCTTTCTTCTTCCGCAGGAAAATCACCACCCCAATCACTAACCCGAGGATGGCGAGGATGAAGATTGGAGCACCGTAAGACCAGCCGGATACTGCTGCGGCAGAAAACGTCCATCATGCTGAGTTATGAAAATTACTCAAAAAGCACAGTGATGTTACTACACTTGAGCAGAAACAAACTAGGTTCCTAAAAATATTACCAGCAATCTTTATCTACTAAGTCATATAGGGTACAATCAACTTAAAATGATAATGAGAAATAAACAGAATGAAATCATTACAAACGATTATCGCTGTATCTGGAGCATAAACTGATGGTTATAAGCGGTGAATTATTATATGAAGTATTCTGACAAATTGAAAATCATCATCGCCACCCTCCCCATTTCCCCTTACCCACTGCTATCATGACGGCGGGGGCACTCCTTTTGTTGCTGCAAATTGGGGCCGGATAAGTCGGAAGTTTATTCCGGTTCATTCAGCCCCATGAGGCAGCAAGGAAAGGAGTCCCACACCGTCAAGCTAAGGTTGTGGGAGAGGGGGAAATGAAAAATGTGGCGAGGAGGGTTCTCATTCTGGTTGAAATGATTTTGAAGGTGGGGCTTTAAACACTAGTTTCGAAAAAATAAACAAAATGATTTCTTCATTTTCCCGCAAAGAGTAGCGGGACAATTTACTACATGCGACGTGATGTCACCAGACATCACGGCATCAAGTGACACAACAACACCGTAACGTCAGTGTCCCGACTTGACTTGGTGTCGTCCAGTGATACCAAAATATCACGTGACGTACACTTCCCGCTAAATTTACAGGAGAAATTAAAGTTACGGGACACAATGGTGTCCAACCCGATATAATGTGACGATGTCACATAGCATAACGTCATGGTGTGAAGGCGGAGTGTTACATGATGCCATGTCGCAGGACATCAACTTCCCCTTGAAATTTAGCGAGGAAATGAACGTACAAACAAGCAACTTTTTATTATAAGATATTCGCTTGCTCTGAAATTTTTCTGTTCACCCACCAAAACATCGTCCACCTCCTTTTTCTTTTGAAATTACTGCGTACGCGGCGGGAAGGGCGGGAAATGAGTTGGTTCTTTAAGGTCATAACCAAAAAAATGTGGTTCTTTAAATAGGGAGAGTCACTAGTAGATGACACATTCGCAGAGCCACATTTCGTTGGTTTAAATGTTAATAGTGCAACTGAAACATTCGAAGAACTTACGAACGCAATGCCCGGCCAATGCTATTTTAACAATATTCAACTCATGCCTGATGTGCTGGTTGTCGAAATTGTCACAGCTAGTGCCTTCAACATTTAAGCTTTTAACTAAAATTAGAATGGCCGGCACTGATCGGTCCAACATATTCCTCAAATAATCTAAATTGCATGCCTACTTACTCACTGAAAAGTTACTAAAATGGATCCTCGAAAGCGAGCGATTTAAACGTCGGAAGTTGACAGCGTCCAATCCTAATTAGGAGTTAAAGCAAAAAAACGCCAGCTGGCGATATGTAAAATCGTTTTGAAAATCTTGGACGTTTTGTCCAATGAATCAATCCCAAAGCAAAAGGGAAATTAAAGTTCATAGCAATAAAAATAATTCTTATAGTACCAATAAATTTGAAGGTCGAACCTTCAGTCACACTTCTAAAATGATTAGAACGAGCGTCAGGCTACCCAAAACCCTTCGTGGTACAGTTGACGATGGAATCCTTTACACTAGAAGTGGGAATTTTATGAAACGCAGGAAGGCTTCATACTCTGCCATTAATCATAAATATAGCAGCGATCTCATCTTCATTGGTTAGGGCTTGCTGCTTTGGCAATGAATGAAGAGCATTTTGATAAGATATGTAGCGGAAATCATTTCTTGTGTCTATTTGTCCAATCACTGTCACTGGTGGATGTCGACCCGCAGTGATTTCAGGCTCTTAGAAAGGACTGGCACTGTGTAAAGACACATTTCTATCAATGCCGCAGCACACACGAACGAAGAAAAAACAACAAGATGACGGAATTCCGCCATGTTAGCCGCGTTTGCAGGGGCGATGTGACAGTGTTTACCAACTATCGGACAAGAACATGTTTCCTCGGAGTTGCTGTTGCATTAATATGACAGGGCCGCCAAAAACATGTTTCCCTCGTGTTGACGGAGAGAGTTGTCGAACTGTTTCATTAAGGTGATAGCGCCTTTGGTTTCCTGTTGTATGGCAGCCATCTCTTTCCCAGGAGATTTAGAATCCACAACACTGTTACCATGACCAAGCCATCGCCAGTTATCTGCCTTTCTCGTAGTGCAAAAGGACTGTCACCAAAAATACTATACTTGTGGAAATTACTCATTTCGGGGTACTAACTAAAGTGATAAATTTCTAGGTTTGCCAATACCCTTCTAAAGTAAAATTTTGAAAGTCTTCGTTGTGTTCGTGCTAAGAATGTTTCGCAGTGTACGTCCCTTTGCAGGAGATAGTCATCTTTTTGGGGCGTTTCCTTTCAGATCACTTCCACGCAGGTCTTGAAAAGAACAAACAATACTTTTAAAATAAATATTGCTATAGCTAACTCTTATTTTCAAACCCCTGACCCCTCGTCTTGCACGTTTGCACGCCATTTTCCATAAAAAAAATCAATTCTACCTGAGGATTCGTTGATAATGGAGTCGGGTTGCGCAAGTCGCCTGCTGCAGCGGTTCCCGAACAAGTCACCCGGGCACACGCACTGGGGCTCCCGTCCGAGGAATATGCTGCAGTTTCCGCCATTGAGACAGAAGTAGTCAGGGCATTCTGCAGAGAAGGAGATAACAGATACGTAGTTTCCGGCATAGCCATAATTCAGTGAACGAACACCGGTACCCACATACAGGGAGTTCGTCTAAAGAATATACATTTGCACCCACAGGATGTATAAAAAAGCACTTTCACTCATTGCATTTCTTTGAAGAATATCGGTGGCTTCAAAGCGATTCCTTCAGTCATACAAAATTGGCTGCATGTCTGGTCATTTTTGTAAAACGCGTTTAAATGCGGTAGCTCCATAGAGTGTGTGATGCTTTTACTTCGGATGGTGCCTAAGCTGGATGACCCTTAGTTTTTCAGTGCCAGGGGTGGATGGTGCTCTTACCTCAGGTGGTGCATTGGGCGAGTTTTTGTTTGAAAACAAATTACGTCACACCATTGTCTCTTTGTGACGCTGCTCAGGCTTCTCTTCAGCACCATCCAGATACAAAACCTATGCACTGAATTTTCTGGGTTACCAAACGAGAAGTGAACTTTTCTTTCCTTTCCACTCCTCCTCGTTCTGAACAAACTACACGACCTGTTTCTGCTCTTCTCTTTCTTGTCTTTTCTACCAATCTACTCTCTTCAGGCGTTCTAACACCACCGGCATCTGCTCCTCGCTTTTCCGGTTGCTGGGTCCCTACCTCAGTGAGCAGCACACTCGGCTTCCATGCAGGGTGACTGGGGATCAAACCCTGGCACGGGTTGCCGTTTTATAAACAGGTTGGTGGTTACGGACTGTCGGACTTACACATTTCCTGCTTACGTTGCTCCTTCGGTTGGTTAGGCCTATAAAGCTACCGCTTTAAAACACCTTAGCTGTTCAAAAACTTTTATTTCAACAGATTATTGCACACACAAATTTAGACAACATGAAGAAAACGCATTGTTACTAAGTGTATGGCTGTTTTGGCAGCGCACGTGGATCTCGGTTTGACACTTCTGGCCATACATTTAATTTTAACGTTCCTTGCTTCGTTTGTAAGTTACAGCGCATTCTCGATAATTAATTTGTGTTATTGTTTCGAACGAAAGCACCCATACTTCGATGCTTCATGCCAGTCCTCTGCCAGCACTTAATCATCCTGTTACACTAACACTGACACCTGAAAAGGGAAGTTATTGTATTTCTTTGTTTTCGCACCAGTTTGCCATAATATTATTTCAGTTGTTTCTGTATTCCTACACCACATCTCACTTGGAATGTCAGAAAACGAGAGGTGACGAGCAGGAATAAGTAAGTACTTGAACCCACAAATCCCGCAATAAAAAAGCCTCAAATATCGAGAGAGATTTAATTTGTGGAAATTTCAAAGGCTGTGAGTACACAAAGCGCCTGCAATATTGAAGATAATATTAAGACATAAATAAGCAGTGTTTATTACTAAAATGCTCATTTATGCATGTCACGTCTTTATACTTAAATTATTTTGTCCACTTGATTCCCATGCATTCATAAAGACAATTGAGATTGCATGCTCACTATGCATAGAAAAGCTATGGTATGTCCCTAAATATTCATTCCCAAAAAGACTTATGGCATTTGCATGGCTACAATATTCACAAAACGAAATATTAGTGAAGGTTGCTCCCAAGCTTCTACTTGCTTTACTCGTCCATTTCTAATCTCAGTTGATTTTAATGCAAATATATTTATCGACTGTGGCCTTAGAACGTTTAATGCCTACATTAGGACGGCAAGTATTAAATACATTCGACATGGAATTAAACTTTTAGAGATGCGCAGCTTTACCTAATCGAGGGAATTTATAAATATTCTTGTTATATGCAAGTATATTTTCTTTATCAACAAATTCTTAAAGGGGCGGTGCAACGATTTTATGATTAAAAGAATTTGCATCTCGTCATTTTTACGTTGTTTATCGTGTCCCGGAGGATAGAGAAAACATTTCCTTCATTAAAAATGTCGCGATTCCGCTGCATAATCGCAAAGCAAAAGTCGAGCTTTTTCCCCCACCTGCAGCCCCAAGTGGCAGCCGAAGGAACTACGGCGGAAAGATTACGTGACCTCGCTCGGCTCTAAGCTGCAGCATAGCGCCCGCTAATGTACGCAGAGAGAGGGAGGGGAAGCGTCCTCCGAGATTGCACACGGGAAGCTACACGGCACTCCGAATGACGTCACTGGGAGTGCGACCAGGTGTGACCCTGAAGACTGGGAGTGAGTTGAGGGGTGCCCGAAATACCAATCTTTATCTTTTTTTTTACGCAAAAACTAGGACACGCAGGCAAAATCGGTTTTCTGTTCTTTACTTCAGAAGTGTCAGGGGGCAACTTCCAGAAAGCCTTGACCGAAGTCCGAAAATTGTTGCACCGCCCCTTTAAGGCAGTACGTCTAGGCACTTCTGCCTGATAAACACATGAATAACAGTCAGGTTCATTTTGAAAATTTTACTGCAATCTAGATACCAATACTCCAAACAGTTATGCTTCGGTTTAACTACATCAGGCGCAAGTCTGCACCACTCGCCCTGAAACTGTACTCTTCTTCAAGCATGCAGCTGATATATTTGTTAGTTTCGAAGTGTTAATCGTGGAGCGTCAGTCCCATTGTGTGCGTTTCTTACCGAGTCCCGGTGGACTGCAGTGAAACAACAGCCCCGGAAGCGAGCTCAGTGGGTGTTGCTTCTCCACTCTGCAGTGGTGAGCCACACTTCGAAAAATATTAACATCGCAGTTAATCTCGAAGCAAATATCGAAAAGCATATTATTCAAAACTGCTATTCACAAATCGTAATATTCGCACAATCTTAGCTAGAAGAAATATTGTTCACTTTCGTCTTTCTAAAATAATTAGTCTAACTAGCGTTCTTTATCCTATTTACCTTGCATGGTAATCATCACTGATCCAATAACGTTATGGAGGAGCCTGCAAATCCTTGTAGAAAACTATGCCCATGATAGGGAGTGTTTGGCTCATAGCTATGTATGAATCGGCGGCTCAGGCTCGCTACACAAGTCCTTAAACTGGGGAAATGATTGACATAGAAAGGCAGTAGAGGTATTTTGGGAGCGAAGAAAACCAATTAGGGTACTCTGGTGAACCCATGAATTCCTTGGAACAAAGTTTGAGAACCCGTACTCTAGATGAGTGCTCTTTAGGGGCTCAACGCATATTCAAAGTAAACCTCTATTTGAGTAAGTATGGCAAGTTAGTGGATAACTATGTAGACTCACCGCCGCAGAGAGATTCATCAGACCCGTCGCTGCAGTCACTGTGCCCGTTGCAAACCTTGGAGCGATGAAGACACGGATTGATTGAAGGATCGCTGCAGAAGTAGTAGCCGACAGGGCACATCTGTACGTCTCCTAAAAGAACAAAAGTCTTCTTTGACTGAAGCGAACATGGAAGCTTTGCATTCCAGCCAATACAAATAAACTGTAATTATCATACAAACAGACAATATGTTACTTGAAGACAAAAAGCTGTGTATTTTATTAGCGGAGTGAATTTCAAATAGGTGTCCACAAACTCCGAGGGTCACAAGAGCATTTTTATGGTTTGTGAATTCCTCGCTCGTCAGTCAAGCCAAGCAACAAAACATTTTTCAGTAGAAAAAATAACACTTCGGGGTGATGCTTTTTCAGTACATAACAATAAAACAATGCCATTTAAACGAGTAACTAGCTGTACTCATTTATCCCGTCCTCATCATAATTGGTCGATCACTTCTGCGACACCACAAAGAGTCCCAAAACATCAGGTTCTACAGTTGTAGTAATGGCACAATCGCACACACTGTTCTGCCCTTTTTAGACACGGTGTCTTCACCCAAGCTTCTCATATTGTGACCAGAACAAAACCTAAATCATTAATTTCCTTACCACATTCATTCTGTGTACCATAGTACGACCAGCATTGCTGGTTGCTGGCAGGTTTTACTGCCTCGAAATACACTCGTATGATACCTCGACTGGTCAAGCTGAAGCGCGACACTGACCACAATGTTCGTCGGCACCATCGGGGCAGTCACGAACGCCATCGCAGAGCAGCAGTGCTGGGATGCAGTGTTCTCCATCCATACAGCTCACAAAGCCTTTGGGGCACGGAAAGGTGGTCGTCAGCGACACGGAGCTCGGCGTTGAGACCGCGCGTCCACTCGGCTTCCCGGGCCCTAGGGTGGAATGAGGAAGACGACAGAACGTTTCCCGAGTTTGAACTTGTCGATGTGCAGCGTGTCAAGATAGACGCTACATACACAAACCAAAAAAAAAAAAAAAAACCGCTTCGTCCTCTTGTTTGTTCCTTCTCGTCGTCTTCGTTTTTGAGCTGTTTTTCCCCGTGAATAACGCACACCAGCTCACCAAAATTGCTACCTTAGTACGAATCAGAGGTAGCAAGATAAAATGTCGGCAACAATGAGCTCATCGCCATCGTCAGCAGCAAACTCTTCGTTGTTATCAGACATTTTTGTGTGCTTCTTTTTATTGTGTTTTAATGTACAAAGCATTCTGGTTTTGGGGCATTCGTTCGCATTGTCACTCAATCACGGTGTCACCAAGGCCACCAAAATAATCCTTAAAACGAGGTAGATGGTGACTCTTGATAATTTAGAATACCCGAGAGAGGAAACAGATGAAATGGCACATAGTGTTTGTTTGTTTGTTTTCTCTGTGCTGCTACATCGCAGGTTTCTGAAATTATGGGGCATAGAATTGCAATGGCCTTAATAAACTCGCAGGTGTGAATTCACTTTACATCAGATATTAATATTGTACATCAATTAATCACTATGTCGGTGACTATGGGTCACATCGTCGGTGGCAGTGAGGGTCTACTCGTCGCATAAAAGAGCGAAGTAATGTCAAGCGACTCCAGGACGTGACACCGTAACCTCTGCGACGTTACATGAAGTCACAGACGTATTCTCTCCCCTGATGTTACACTAAAATGATGACTAAGTATGTACCTATTATTTCTATGATACTTTCTCATAATGCTTTCTTATTGCGCTGCAAAGTGCCTACATATTTTACGTTCGAAATGACAAGCCTTCTAATCATACATTTTCTTAATTATTTTGAAGAGTCTCAAAGCGCATTCAGAATTATTCGTAAATGGGGAAAGGAAATTCTAAAACCAACACAAAAAGATGACCAATATCCAATCTGTATTTACTTTTCTTGTTTTGCTGTAAAACTCTGTTTTCACTTTTAATTGCTTAAATACGGTATGTTTGAAATTTCAATGTTACCTGGTAAAGTTTGTCTCAGCCAGACATGCATGAACTTCTAATTTACGTTTTAAAATAAACGAAAACATTATTTACGTCACAAGATCATTAATACAATCACACAACAAATACGGCTTTCATAGCTCACAGAGCAAACAACTTCACCAGTTTTGTGCAAAAGGCTATGCTATAAGCCAAAATAGCTCAAACCTGTCTTTTTAATTGTAAAATCCATAACATGTTATGTAAAGAGCTTCCACCTTTGCCATATAGAGTATTGATAAAGTGAAAACGGGAAAGCAGGTTTATAAACTCAGTAATTAATCCAAAAGTAGAAACATAACGCAAATAAAAACAAAAAAGGTATGATGTTTCAAACTCAATTTGAAATATTGTGAGCACTTGTCTGTTTCGTTTTGTTTCTTGTTTCCAGTATTGGTTGAATTATGAAAACAGAAAGGTAAATAAATACATTTTGCGCTGAAATTACCTGGGGATGCAGTGGTGACGCATACTGCACCTGAAAAGCAAACAAGTGGGTATAGTTTTTAACCAATACCGATTAAAAACAAATTATTGACTGCTTTGGTTTTTTATGATACAAGGGCTGCCAAAGTCGTAGATCACCGAGAACTACAACTGCAGGAAAGACGAGTGTAAAAGCAGCGGAATCATGAAGCACAAATTGTCGAGCGCTATTTGCTTCCACGATTCAGAGTATATTGCTTTCTATGAAGGAATCAAAAGAGCTTCGGGAGAGGAAAGAGAAGTCAGTTTTTGCCTGGACGTAACTTAGGGTGAAACATAACTGGGCAAGTTATTAGCTTGTAAAGTATGTGCCTGTGAAAGGTTATATTATATTTTGCACAGAAAAATGGGGAGAGGACTGTTGAAGGGGAGCATCGGCCATTCTTTCAACTACACAAACTAAAAACAGTTTGGGAATACCCAGGCCTTCTATTTTAATCCAAAATACCTTTGGAAAAAGAGCAATATTTTACAAACTATTTTTTCGTTCTGGTACTGTGAGCTTTTGCAGCATTCACATCGCGCTACAAAACGACTTGTAACCTGTCAGGACCCGTCTGTACTGCCGACATGTTCCATCTGACGTCCCGTTTTTGTGTTGCCGGTGAAACTTCTGTCTCAGACCAAATCCGAAAATTCAATAACTTGAACATGAAAGTATGATTGACTTGAAATTGCGTTTAGTGTGAATATATGTCTATTACTGTGTTGAACCAATTTTTGAGTGAAATCGGTGATCACCAAACTTTTGCGGGGTACCTCATTGAAGCATATGTCGAAACAGGCTAATTCACACTCATAGCGAGGTACCAATAAGTTAGTTTCCCCTACAGAGCCTCTCAAGGACAACAAACAAGAGCAATCGAAAGAATGAAGTGATGGTGAGGGTGCAGGCTAGCTGGTGTCGTTCTGTGTTTTGTCCCTTGTCCGTATCCTCAGTCTCGGGTTTACAACTATGCTCAATCGAAAGACTTTTTTTTTTGCCTCTACCTTTTTCATCAGATCAGATGATGTCCAACAGACTCGTGTGGTTTAACAGAAACTAAGGAATGCTCTTCTAGCAGAGTATCTCTGTTTTAGCTAAATACAAAAATAACCCAAATCAGTATCTAAGCTGCCTCTGAAAACAATGTACAGTGCTTTTTTTTTTGCACCGCAAATATAAACTCTTCACCACCGAACGCTGTCTCCATCCAAATGCAGAGCTGGCAACATGGACCACATGCCAAAATTCAGATGTTTTCCGTTATTGCGTTCGAAAGTTAAAATCAATTTAAAAAAAAAATAAAAATAAAAAAAAACGTAATACAAGAAGACAAACAGTGTCAACTACCTAATCTTCTCATCGAAAATTGTCGAAAATCGCTTTCGTAAACCGGATGACTGCAAATACGGAAACTTTGGCAATTGATCCTGACCTCAAGCCCCACATTTTGACGAACACCGACCGTGCAGCAACGGCTATATACCTTTGTGGGGAAATATAATTTCGAGACATCTCGCGTGCAAGAAAGCCATCATCAAACTGTGAATGTTATCATTGTGCAAAAACAGTCGCCTCGTGCCAACGCCTGAACGATCGCAACATGAAAATATCAACTCTGCACACGAATGCGAGGCTCACCGCAGTCAGTCTCATCGCTTCCGTCGGGGCAGTCAGCCTGGCAGTCGCACACAAAGTCCCGAGGGACGCACATGCTCTTGTCCTTGCAGAGGAACTCCTCCTCCGTACACAGCGAGGGGTGCCCCGTCGGCTGCACTGCGTCCCCTGTGCAATAATCAGATTTTTTGTCAAGGCCGAATTTCGCCAACGACGCTTTTGTGGCTTCCTTGGCAAGTGTGGCGCGCGAAGCAGCTGCGTTGTATTCTCGATCTCCGGTACTTTTCGTGTTTTCCTCAACTGCTCGTAACCAGCCAGGATTCCATGTTTTCGGAGATTCGTTTTCTTTAAAGACTAAAGCGTTCTATAAGTTTTTTTTTTCTTTTTTTTAAATTTTCGGTGCTGGATTGGAAATCGGCATTAACCGGGGCCTACGTCGAATGAAACAAAAAAATGAATGCGAGGTTCGCCACGCTCCGAGAAGCACACAGGAAAATTCAGTGCCTAGTTAAAACGTCTCCGTACTGATGAGGGAACAAAACGAGATAAAAGGCGTGCTCCATGAGGAAAGCACCAGTCGCTAGGGACTCTTTAGTAATAGTTGTGTTAATAGCCACCACCAAAAAACAATTATGGTACATTGCTAGGCAATTGTGTTCCATAAGTAAAACGTTTAAGCTTCACAAGTGTTTAGCCATACTCCGAGTTTCCAGGCGCTAGACGCCTACGTTCATGATGCTCTTTATCATATAGTTTAATGCGTACCATGTCTACACTTGATGGCTGTGACTAGAACGAAGCGATACTACCGCTAATTGGAATAATAAACTCGGCTATCCTCCAGAAAATTCCATACTCGCGAGCTGCTCTCCCTTAGTGCCCACTGGTGGTCGAGCGCCTTCTCATATGCCTCACTCTTCCTCGACTACCCCTTGGGTCACGTGACCTCCCCGTTAACCACTCAGCGTCGATCCACACGGCCACGCTTTTACCCAGGCTTACTTTTCAGCTTCGCGAAATGTCAAACACATAGCCATCGAATGCTTCACATATTAGGGCTGTAAATAAAGGTGTCCTCCTGTGAAGCTCGGGCAATGCAATAAGGGCGTAGGTAATGCAGGTTACCAGGAAAAGAAAGACACCAGTTTTTTTAGAGCGCAGCTCTGAGGGGCCCGTTCCCGGCTTGAGCGGCGTCGCCGTCGCCGTCGGCGTCGCCGTCGGCGTAACCAAAGTCATCCCAAGGTCACTTAACCCCCAAGGTCACCCCAAGGTCACGTAACCCCTCCCCTAGGGTCACGTGACCCCCAAGGTCACGTGACACCCAAAGTCACGTGGCTCCCCAAGTCACGTGACCCCCGGGGTCACGTGACCCCCGATGACGTCATCAGTGACGTCACTGATGACGTCACCGGCATCCGCATCGTCATCGTCATCATCACTGATGACGTCACCGGCATCCGCATCGTCATCATCACTGATGACGGCATCAGTGACGTCACTGATGACGTTACCGGCATCCGCATCGTCATCATCACTGATGATGTCACCGGCATCCGCATCGTCATGATCGCTGATGACGTCATCAGTGACGTCACTGATGACGTCACCGGCATCCGCATCGTCATCGTCATCATCACTGATGACGTCATCGGCATCCGCATCGTCATTGTAATCATCACTGATGACGTCATCAGTGACGTCACTGATGATGTCATCGGTATCCGCATCGTCATCATTACTGATGACGTCATCGGCATCGTCACGTGACCCCCCTAGGTCACGTGACCCCCACCCAAGCTCACTTGACCCCCCCCCCCCCCCCAGTACCCTTCCCTCCTCCTCCTCAAGAGCTGCGCTCTAATTCGGCGTTACAAGGAGTTGTAAACGGCTTTCACTTTTTTGAGATGCTAATACCTGCAGTGGTTTCCCGTTTTCCTACTTTTTTTGCTTCGAGTTTCTTCACAGAGTCTCGGATATTACAAGAAAAATGGTAAGCTTGGCTGTTCCTAATTAGGCAACAGCTCTGATTCTGAGATTTATAGCGATTCCTAATTTTGAAGAAACACGGCTCCAAGTTACTTTTTTCAGGGTTTATCGACAGTTACATTGGCGCCAAGTGATTTCACGAGGGTGCCCGTCTCCCTGTCTTCGTGGTCGCGGGATGATTTGGGGGAGAGAAGTCACATCTTAACCTCCGTTTGCCCTTCTAGCTAATGATGGCACAACGGCGCCCTCTGGAGGTAACTGGGAGAAACCTCCTTGCCAATCGTTTATAAAAGATAGCGCACCAGGGGATGCGACCCTTCTCTTTCCCGTGGGCGTCGGTGTACGACACAGTAAATCCAAATTTGAGCAGGTATGATGTCTTTATGGCTGAACCGGGGTGCAAGTGTCGGCCCGTGCGTCGGGCTCAGCTTTTTGTGAACCGCGTTGAGCGGGACAATTTTACCACTGCCATAATTAGCTAACGCATTATCGGTAGACATAGCTGGCCTTGCGTTAATTAAATGTACAATAAACACGAGCAACACTTTGCCCCTCGGTTGTTACGCGTGTTTCTTTCCTGTCTTGAGCAGAGCGGACGGGCTCAGACCAATATGCTTGATCCCGGACCACATGGGAGCCAGCTAGACATCAGGAGTACACAAAACGTTCCACATGGTATATGCCAAAAATATAATGGCCTAAGTAGGAGTTCGCACGACAGAAGACAAACATCACCTCCTTCTGAGCAGCTCGAAGTGAACGACACGTCGTCGATGGCGATGTCCGTGAGGGCGTCACCCCCTCTGTGGGCTTCGAACACGACGTTGAACGGTTCAGAGTGGCCCACGACGGCATGCCCGTAAAGCCAGCGTGCTCCGCGGTTTCCCACGTCTTGCCACATTGGAAGGCTCGCACCGGAACTATCTGTCTGAACCTGCGTGTTATGTAACGTTTACGTATGCGTTTTGAGACAAGCGTGACCTATCGCAATATTACGCAATTTTTTTGTTTCCTCTTTTTCTAGCATTTTTCGCTTACCTATCGAAACGTCGCTCACCTCATTATTTAAAGACATTTAGGTGTGTGTGGGAGGGGGGCGGGGGCGAGGGGAGAAATATTTGGGATATTACGGTAATGAACGCACGCTATTAGCTGACAGCAGCAAGGTATGACTGGTGTTACGGCGACGGCAGCGGCGATGCAATGGAGAGGCGACTGCTACAAGAATCCCAACTTCGACCCCATTAAATTCTATTTTTGTTAAGAAACACAACAAAGACGGACAACTTGTCATTCAGAAGCAAAGGCACAGGTGAGAAGTCGCCAAACATTAGCATACTGACCCTGAGGTAATCCATAGACAGAGATCCCTTCATGTAGTACCAGAAACGCAGGTGGCACTTGTTGTGACTGGCCGGGAATACAGGCGACCTGGCCACAGCCGGAGAACCCTCGGGTAGCCACGAACTGTTTGCAACCAGGAAGAATGCTGCAACATAAATACACACCCCAATATAAATTCCATTTTGTCGGACAAAACTCACCAGAACTCAGTGGAACTAACTAACTTACCGAACCTAATATGCTTACAAAAACTAAATTACAGGAAGTTATCAGACCTAACTAATTTGCCAGATTTACTGTAGCTTACAAGACCTAACTAACTTACCAGATCTAACTTACAGGCCGTCAAAACATTTTGTTCCGAACGCTGTTGCTTCCTATTTTGTTCCGGAGCGCGTGAAAACTCATCTCCCGGCACAGGCTCTTGGCAATGAGAGTGCTCCGACGGCATTTTTGTTATCGTCTTTTTGTTTCAGAGAGCGCATGCAGTGAGGTTTGGGTACTACAAAAACCCCAAGTACATAGTCCCCGTCTCTACAGGCCAAGGTATTGCAGGCGAGGGGAAAAAGGACAAGCAGTAGGAAGGCTGGGAGGAGGAGAGAAACCTCCTCTCCCATTTAACATTCCTATTTATCGCCCTGTCTCCCCTCGCCCTTCATTGCTCTTTTCTCCCGTTGCATCTTCCTAGTGCTCGCCCCTTCTCACCGCCTGGTGTTGCTTTCACCTGCACTGCACAGAACTTGTGACAAGAAGCATAGAGTGGTTAATTAACGCTGTGGCTTAGCACAGTAGTAACGCCTCTGCTTCGCACGCAGTGGACCAAGGCTCGATTTTCGTGGGAGACGGGCAATCTTGTTCAGAGATTTGGAAACATCCAGGGTGGTCGTCCTACAACCCCGACTACAAAATCAACTGCAACAACTTCAACTTCAACAACAGATGCCATTTCCAGTGGTGGGAAGCATAGAGTTATTATAATGTACGCTAGAGGTTCAAGTGGCGCTAGTGTGCTGACGCAAATTGAAGCAGACAGCAACCAGTCGAAAATTGACTTCCGGTAATGCATTTCTATGGGAAAAAGTGAGTGCATTTTTTCTCTACGCTCGATCATAAGAGCAAATATCCCGAATAATTCGTACGTACTGGGTAGCTTGGAACATTTCTCAGTCAGGCCGACGAAATAATTGGTCAGTTAAGGTGTTTTTCTTTCAAATTCATCGCATTAAAAACGGTGCTAAAACGACTTCGTACGTGTATTTATGTGCACTGTCGGACACTGTTAGCGCGAACACGACGTCGGCGCTTTTCAGCGTGGTGGATATACGTGCCAAACGAACGAAGAACATCTGGAAATTAAGAAAGACGGCAAGAACTACGCAGTAACACCGGATCAGTGCATATACGATAAAAATTAATTGAAGGCCACGTAATCTATTCCTATTTTAAATAAGTAAGTACCGTTTTATTCTTTCTGCTCTGAGCGAAGCTGCTTGTTCTACGTTCAAAATATCACTCGCACGCTCGAAATCTTTGAGAACAAGTGCCCGATAAAAGCTGCCCGGCAAAGAAAACAATACGAAGAGACAACTTTTATAGCCCACTGACTTTATTCTCTACGTTTTGAATGTTTTTATCCGCTCATGCATGACGGGGTCATTTTTATATAGTGACAGGACTGGCATATTATCAATATATAAGCGTCACCGGATTGCTGGCGAGCCTTGAACACACCCTACATTCCTTTCGATTGTAATTTTGCTTCGAATCGTCGCTTGTTTTTACACACCTGCTGCGGAACACACGTTCGGGACTGAAATGTAGCGAAGTTAAACATCGGTCACTGATGAAGAAAAATGCGCTAACTAAAGCAATTACACTTTTACAGTGTTATCAAGGTACATACTATTCGGTACGACCCCAATAACCAAAGTGTTCCGTGTTATTTTCCGGCGAAGAGACAAAATGCACGCGCGCTTTCCCATAGGAATACACAGGAAGACTGGAAAAGTAGACTGGTTGCTGTCTGCTTCAATTTGCGTCACGGAAGTCGCATAGACACTAGCGCCAGTTGAACCTCTAGCGTACATTATAATAACTCTATGGTGGGAAGTGCTCATAACAGCTATTAGTGTAAAATATCTCACTCACTTCCAGGCCTGCCCTGGTGTGAGCTTGGCGGCCCCGTGTCTTCAGAATGAGATTCTTTGGCCCTTGTCCATGAAGGCTTTCCATCGACAGTGTCGACAGTCCAGTTGCAAGCGGTCGTCCAGTCCTCCATGTCGAAGTTGCAGTCTCCGTATTCGCTCACTACAAAGAACAAATGAGCCTTCGTTTTGCATTCAATACTGTCATTTTTACAATGGCAGCAAGCATTTGAATGTTCAAATAATATACTGAGTGTGTAGAGAATAGTTCTTTCCATTTCCTTGCTGAAAAAATGAACTATGCGCCATTGAACGCTACGTCTCAATTCGAATGATGCACTCATCATCCGAGCCAGATGCTGAAGTTTCAGGGATTGCCGTTTTCTAATTAAACGGTTAATGGTGCTTATTCAAACTTTCAATTATTGATTTCTTAACTTTTATTGATGCAAGTGCCAGGTTTAACTAAAGCAGCAACGACTGGTAAAAAATAAGGTCGATAAATAAATAAATATTAGATAGGCACTTAATTATTAGCATTACAAATATGGTCGATACAGCTCGGCAACCTAAAGTACTCGAGAATCTTAGTATATTTAAAAAAATGCACACTACGTTTCAAGAGATACGATGGATTCATGACCAAAAAGGAGAAAATGATGATGAGGAATCTGCTGCTCATGAAGTTTATGAAAATGGTATTTCCAATGTTGTTGAAATGAGATGCATGACATGAAAATCTGGATAGCCGTTAGTAATTCACCACACGTCGCACATTTAGGAGCCTCTGTTCTATCAAAGAGTCAGTTAAGTGGGTACGTCCTATTCTTGTTCCGCAGATGGCAACGTCTTTGTGCATTTGCAAGTTTTGAGACGTTCGTTTTTCCTTGATGTGAGATATCAGATGTAGTTTCTTTTTTCTCTGCGATGGTGTACTATGTGTATCGCCACTCTCTTTCAGCTGCAATTTTCAGTTCCGACTTCAGGTCTGTACGATGATTCCAAACATACGGTTCTATTATCGATGCGTTCCGCGCTCAATAATCAACCATCTCATTTCCCAGAATACCAGAGTGACCCGGTAAAAGTTTCAATAAAAAAATGATGGCTGTGAAAGGTCATGAATGCATAAAGGAGAATGGCGAGACTGCAGGGAGGGGGTTCCATTTTTTCATCTAGAATTCTCAAAGAATCGCTTATAAATTTTAATTAGGCAGGTGCAAGCTCTAAAACGTTAGCCCCTGGTCCAGTCTGCCAGCGCTACATTTGGGTGTGCCAGCGTTCAACGGCTCATAGTTTATTTCTGCGGTTAAGTAAACGCTGTAAACATTTTTCCAGGACACCTAGTATTTATAGCCCTGTTGAAACAAACGTTATGCATTGTGTCACAATATTTCGGCGAAGAGAAAATCTTATGATCACCTCGAGCCAATCCGAGCGACAGAGAAAAGTACGGGACAGTTCTCCGTGGGAGCCTAGCATTCTGTTCATAGGTTGTCGTGTGCCTTGCTCCGCCACTCTGATTGGCTCTTTAAAGCCGTAGCCTTCGCCCTTCGCCAAGCTACAATGAAACGGTGTCTAGTAACCTATCATCATCGACCGGCAGTCTAGTAACCTATCATACGACGACCGACAGTGCCGGTGCATCATACAGGACCTTCTTCCAGTGATGGCAGCCCTAAATATATCAAGGTCACCAAGGTGTGGCCTTGAGCAAATAACAGCATTTTCTTGTGCTGGCACAAAAATCTTTCTTTTCACTTTGGTGACTCACACCTTCAGCATCATGATACAATCATTCATATTTAAAACTCCACAAATATTTTTTATGCATTATACAGTAAAGGGTCATATAATACTTACAAAACACAACAGGAAGCTTGTTTTTCTACCTTCCACCCTAGTCTCAGGCTTAAATTATCAAAGCAAACTCAACCTTGTTGGCACACAAACATCATACTACGAACAAACATTTCGTGTAAAGGATAAATGCTCTCTTTTTGTCTTGAAGGACACTTGCGGATCCTGCTGCAGGACAAGAATTATGTTTAGGTGAAGACATGGATGGAACAAATTGTAAAAAAGGCAGTGCAACAGTACTTACGGCACTGCATCTCGTCGCTACCATCGGTGCAGTCCCGCTTTCCATCGCAGCGTTCGTACACGGCAACGCACTTGTCACGATCGGCACACATCCATTCGCTGCTAGCACAGCTGCTCACGTGATGATCTGCAATTTACACGATTACCGACATTGTTTTAAAAGTTTTTGGAACACAATCTATAGCTTGGATTAGATGGAATGTCTACTCAATAGTAATACACAAATTACACAGATATTGCATTTAATAAGCTGCCATCCTAACAAAAATAAATAGGGAAATTGACAAGTTTCAGAAGTACAAGGATCGTGACGCAACGAATTATGCAAGAACAAAGAGGCGCCCAGACCTTAGAAATGTTAAATAGTTTAAGACACAAAAATGTTTTAAATAGTTTACTTCATTGCAAAGGTCAGTTATCTTGCAATGCTAGTCACTTTATGATGTAAAGGTTCCGTAATTGTTCTTTATTTAAAACTTAGTTACCTCTATCTATCCTTTGAAAAACCTCTGGTTTCTATGCAGTTCAATTGGGTTATTTTCTTGTTTTAACATCTGCAATATTCAGCCCTATTTCAGAATAATCGCTAATTACAGGGTACCGATTACTACGTAATTGGGTATATGAAAAAAATGCACGGTAATTCGAAGTTTGATCCTTTGGACTGGTTAATTCAAAAACTAATTTTGTCCGCTCGAAAAGTCTGGTAGCTCCGAAAGCATAAAAAGACCTAACGATATTACAGAACCAGCCTTAAATCAAGCCGATGTACACCTTATCTCTTTTATTTAGTGTGTGCGCCAGTGGTAGAAAGTATAAACATGCACGGCGTGCGACTAAAGGCCCGTTCACACTCTTGCGACCGAGTACGACTGAGAGAGACGAGATCTCTTAAAACTTCTTAAATGTTTTTAGAATGAGGGAACACACCGGCATTGTGGCGTCATCTATGCGGTGACCCTGGAACTGCATTTCACAAGAGCGAAGGTTTTGTGGGATTTCCGAGGTCAAACAAAATTTCACACTGTACAAACGCTTGACCATTTTTAAAAACGTATCTGCATAGATGTCAAGATCAGGAGAAGAAAGCTCTTTACAAAGGTGCTGGGTCTTAGACATTGGCGAGGCATGGTATGGTGCATTTGGGTAAAATTGCAAAAGAAATCTACGAGTGCGAAAAGGTGTATGAAAGTTCACAGATGATAAGAGTGGAATACTATGAATTCTACCACAGATGACTTTGTGCAAGAATGACAAATCACGAATGGTACGCCGTTTACTTAGTTCTCGTAAGTTAAGATGTCTTAGATATATGTTAAGTTTTGTAACTATAATAACGACGACGATGAAAGTATCGATCGAATGCATTTCGAACCAGACGCTCCTGAACTCTTTCAATTTCGTTGCAGCGATTCACAGAAAAGGAGTTCCACACTACAGAACTGAATTCAAGTCTTGGTCAAACCAAGCAACAAAACAAATGGACCAAACATCTGCAACTCGATAAATTCCCACGTCATACGTGAAATTAACCCCAGTACACGCATGGAAGTACCCACCATTGAAGTGACATGTTCTCTAAATGAAAGACGGCTATCAACAATAACGCCGAGGTCACGCATGGTGGTCACACGCTGAATCATTGTCGCATTCGGTAGCGTATATTGAGAAAAAAATCGGGTCACGCTTCCTGGACAAAAAAATAACTTTTGTTTTTTGTGTGTTAAGGAAGAATAGATTGGATTAGCACCACACTGACACACGATCAATATCCTGTTTTTGTAATAAACACTCGTCTAAGCCACGCACCGAGAAATACAGTTTGATGTCGTCTACGCACAGTAGGATCTTAGCATTTTTGACAACAGAAACAATATCATTTATAAAAATTAGAAAAAGGAGAGGGCCCAAATTTGAGCCCTGTGGAACGCCTGACGTTGAGATGAAATGATCCGATAAAATATTCGAAATTCGAACCGCGTTTGTACGCGAAGAAAAGTATGATTCAAACCAAGCAAGATACAAAGGACATAAACCATACAACCGCAGTTTCGACAACAGCAAAACATGATTCGCCGCGTCGAATGCCTTCGACATATCAAAGTACACAGTATCAACTTGCCCCTGGCCAAAAGCGACTGGAGAGGAGTGATTGAAAAGTGTGCATAGGTTCGTCTCAACTGATCTCGCCTGAAGGAATCCATGCTGCGCAGGATTTATTTTTTGGCAGAAATAAAAAGAGAGTCGCCTTTGCACAACAATTTCAAAAAACTTCGAAAACCCACACAGTAGAGACACAGGCCTGTAATTGTTCACAAGGCAAGCATCTCCCATAATATGTAGAATTTCCCCGTTCGAAAATGTTTGTTGCAAATAGAAGCACACACGTTGCATTGTTAGATGTATAAAGCCCAGCACAGTAATTTATGCACCAAAAATGTGGGAAATTTACAAGTCGAAGCTATATTTTTTCCACTGTCACAGACATGTTACGATGTGTCCATTTATAAGCCACGTTTATCTGAACCGAGTAGAAACGTATCTTGCAAAACCTAAACTGGCCTCACCTAGTAAACGAGAAGAGAATTCGACGAAGGAAAACTGCCTAAAGTAATATCAAAACAACATACCAGGAACCAAACCGAAACATATAAAAAAGTATAAATATAACTTCTAGCTGCTTTATTGATATTAGCTGTCAATAAAGCAGCTAGAAGTTATATTTATACTTTTTTATTTATACCAGCAACAAAAAAAAATTCGCGCTATTTTTTTTTTAGTTGAGGCGCGTGGTTTTATTTCAAAACTTGCTGAGCACCATCAAAAAACAATTAAAAAAGGTTTGAGTGCCATATAAGTCACTAGCTGCATTTTACAGCTTTCTGAAAAACAGCACAACGTCTACGGGCATTTAAGTTTCGGTTTGCAATCGAGGCGCTTCTCCGCATCGACGGTACCGCGTTCCGTGGAGAAATAGTGTAACCAACATCAGCTTCGCTGTCCTCGCCCTACGCAGCAGGGGCAGGCTGCATACAGGGTGCGGTGCCGTCGGTGCAGAGAAGCGCTCCGATTGAAACCAAAACTTGAAAATCCGTCAAAGTTGCGCGTTTTTTCACAAAGGTGTAAAATCTAACCCGTGACTTCTATCGCACACCTTTTTTTTTAAATTTCATTTAGCGTTTTTCAATCATGTTCAGCAACTTTCCAAATAAAACCATTACCTTAAACTAAACATTTAAAAATTTATTACGTGAAAACAATTAACATAATTATCCCCAAATCTAATAATTTTCCTAAATAGGCCCCTGGCCTAGGATCAAAACGACATTCGCCTTTTTTGGGTGGGATGCGTAGTTTTCGCAATATCAAATGTGTCCACCTTTCCTGAAACACCCTGTTTATATGTCAGTACCTTGATACGAGACATTAATGCAAAAGCCGACATTTTTCTCTTACTGCGTTTCAAAATTATCACTGGCGACACGTTTCAGACGAAATTAATATTAGGTTTTCTTTTCCGCAAGCTCTCCATTGTGGTCGATTTTCCTCGTTTTTTCACACTGGCTACTCCAGGTCAGGACCGTCGGTGGGTTTGAAAGAAACGGGTTCGATGGACATCCTAAAATTCAGACTTATTAGTCAATACCCTGAAGCCGGCACGTACTGACTGCATGTAGCAATGGTAGGAGTGTGGCAGATTTAGAAATATTGACTTTTGATTATAAGCTCAACAAATGATTCCAACTAAGTATTGTTAATCCTAAAGTAAGGTTGAACGGAAATGTATTACCAGATGCACCACTCGCTGACGGCAAATCTGTCAAATGGCCACGATATTTCAAGTTCCCTCCTCAAGGTCATTCGTGGAAAAAGAACTCATATTTTCATTTTTCGGTTAATATCGGTTACCGGTATATAATTTGCGGTTACGGTTTTTATAAGTTTCAAATAACGGTTTCGCTCTGGTTACGGTTACTGAATAAATTTTGTTCCTAAAGGTTTTTGGTTTCGGTTACAGTTACTGTGTCAGCCCCTGCAACCTACCTACAATTTAACGAGTGCAACAGCAACAAACGATTCACCATGCAAAAAAAAAGAGAAGGATGTCTGTTTGTGTGATTTCAAGAACGCTGAGCCTAGAGCCACTTATTAGTCTACGCTTAACTTAGAATACCGTCACTCCAGATATTCACATGTTGGTGCTGCAATTTTGTTGCTTAGTGCAGACCTTGCCCAATTTGGGATCGTTACCACTCGAAATCGAAGCTTTCTGAACTTTAGGTACAGTGTCAATAAGCTCTGGCGATATCGTTTCTCTCCGTCTAGGTTCGTTTTAACCGTTCTGGGGGGCGGAGAAGCGTTTCCGGCACTTTACGTTAAAGCTCCAAGATAACCGTCAAAAATGATAATTCTAGGCGACAAGATGACTGAATCGTCGTCACTTACTGTCCTAGTAAAATCAACGTGACATTTTGCCGTGGTGCCCGAAACACGACTCCGACTGCCGCGTTTGGAGTGCCCACTCGATTTCAATCCGATACGAAATCACCCTAACGTCGTGCCGTTGCCCGCTGCGGTCCCGAAGGTATCGCGGCGACGGCGACGGCGGAGGATAAGGAATGCGATGTGTTACGCCGCACGTCGCTCTCCGTCCCGGCGGTCCCCAGAGCATTCGCCAGGCGGCAGATGGGACGGCACGGCGACGGCGCAGGCGCGTTCGTTTGTGTTTTTTGTTGGACCTTGTACGACCAACCGCTAGAATCGCGACATCCCACATCGCGACGCGGCGGCTCCTACCTAGTCGTTCTTTACTGCTTCGGGACCGCCATCGATGCTCGTGTAGTAGGCGACGCAAAGCAGGCCGGTCAGAGTCGCGTTCCACGCGCTACGTTTCGCTCCTTTTTAGAAAAAAAGACCGTCTCGACGGTTCGGGAGCAGCTGTTCACAAACCTGATGTGCACTTCTGGAAGACGAAATCGTCCAGGTACGTCGTCGCATGACCCGCGTAGCCCCAGATCCCCTCCACGATGAGACCAAACTCCGTGCGTCGGCCGACCCTCACCAACTCCTGGACCCAGCGCTGGTGCACAAAGCCCTTGGTCTTCGAGAAGAGCGTTCCCACCTGCGAACCGAGATAAACACGACGACGGAAGTGGCCTCAACGATCCGCTCACTTCCATCTTGTAGCGATGTCTACCGAGCGAGTAAGAAGCATCGTTAGCTGTTTGGAGATAACCGCATAAGTCGGTTTCTTAACATGTCGCATTGGCATTCACCTGAGAGGCGCCCGAAGGTGGTAGACCTTGCGCCTCCATATCGCGCTGAAGGAGCTAACCAGAGTAAAAAAATTACAAATCGAGAAGTTTAGATCCCTACCTTTGGCCTCCGTATGCCAATGAAAGTCGTCCAATAGGCGCAACGTCTGACAGATGGCAGCGCTTTTTTTTCATTGGTGAAGAGAATAAAAACACGAAGAGGTTGACTCAGCGTTTATGCTGGCAACGCTTAAGATTGCAGGCGGCCGCGATGGGCACGTCCCACGACTTCGGCAATTGAAGATGGGCTTCGTCGGCCAGAGGCAATGCGCTCTTTTTCTGTGCCAGTTGTTCCAGCGCGACTCTCTTTTTCTTACCAAAAGTACAACATAAAAATTAATAGAAACGAGATCTGTTTCTTGTTGATTTTTCTATACATCAACTTCTGGTGGACCTCGGTCGGCTGTATTTGCACGCTAGCAGAATTCAGAGAGATGTTCATTTCTCGTGTCGAGATGTGCATGCCCCGTCGGCCTTACAGAGCTGTTGACGGCACTGAGGTTTTGGGTACCACCTAGACCGATCTCCAAGCACCATCTAGATCAGCCTTCAAGAGCCGGGACACATTTTATTCCGATTTTTTGGGCCACTTGCCCAATGACACACCTCCAACATACATACATTTCCATGTCTACAGAAGAATTATTTGTGTAATTTTGTTGCTGTTTATCATCTTTCATTTTTCTCCGTGTTTTACAGCGAAGCTGTTAATGGCTAGGATCCCGCGGATTTTTCGCGGCGGCAGCAGAAATGACGTCACAGCTTCGTGACGTCATGCGACGTCACGAAGCCCTGACGTCACACGATTTCGAGGCGTCATGGCTTTGTGACGTCACATGACGTCCCGAAGTAGTTTCACGTGACGTCCCTATCCCCGCTAACTTTAGCGGGGAAATTTCCCCATCACGCGTGTCCAGTTTCCTTCGGCTCCTCGGGGTGGTGATAGTCCTAGACATGTGTTTGCATAGCGTTCGTTATGATGAACACCGATGAAGACAATAAATGTGTTCGTAGCTTTGCTCCAAATTCTGTGTCATGTCTGTGTCGTGTGCTAAACAGTTTCGCTGGTCCTCCACCGTCACAAAAGGTTACGGCTCATGATTTTTTTTTTTTAATTTTAAATACAATGCACTGCATTTTAGGCCTCGGCTGTCAGCAGTCGCAGAAATAAAGGCAATATTATATATCAGTCTATCTATCCATCTCTTGGCTCCTGCGCCCATCCGACGACTTTCGTGGAAAAGTAAAAAACCCACGAAACAGGCATTTTTTCATGCTCACTAAAACGTTGTTATAAAAAGCAAATTCGGTTGCTTGACTGCAGACCTTGTTTTGTGTGCCGGAGTGCTTGACATGGACGTTCACGGCCGCCAGGTATGGGGCAGGTGTGTACATCCAGAAGGTGAAGGTGCACTCGGGACCAGACTCCCTGTACAACTTGGAGTGGAGCTGAACACGCGCGCCCTCCAATTGAGGTCTGGTATCGGCCGGCTTCAAGAAGTGCCCTAGACAATCCAAAGAGAGTTGCGCACAGTCAACAATGCACCTCTTTTGTGCAGCTCGATTCACGCAGCCCAGATACATCTTAGCAAAGAGAGTATCCGTACGAGCAATGTGATCGAGATTTAAAACCAAAAGGGTTCTACGAATAGTGGTTCGGAACGAATAGCAATGTGTAATTCATAGCCCTCGCAGTACACGGGATTGCTGCAACAACTAGTGCTCTCAAAAAGCTATTCGATTCAAGCCTCCATTTGCACACTCCCAAATGCAATTCTATAACTTATTACATTGGAAGAACTCAAAGATAAATATTTGCTAGACGGGAACATACTGTCGAATAGGAAAAGAATTTAGGGTAATGTACCTGGTTTCTCGCAGATTCCTGCGAAAACATGCACAGTATTCCCAATTTTGTTCGACTAATAGCTTAGGGCACTCCACTCAGAGTGAAGAAACGATATAAAACATTGTTAGGCGTCAGCAAAGTCACAGGTTGAATAGAAACTTCTGACCTTATCAAGGTATCTTGAATCATTAAGACGCGTTAAATCGAACATGTTTACAATAGTTGCACCGATCAATTCTGCAATGCGGGGTTCCTCAAGGCTCGGTCTCCGAACCGTCACTCTTATTGGTCTACATTATTGACATCGCGAAAGGAATTTCTTCAAATATAAAGTTACATGTGGATGATTGCGCAATTTATCGAAAGGTACAGGGTGTATCAGATGTCGCTGCCTTGCAGCAACACTTCTATCTGGCATTATAATGGTGTCAAACACGGAAAGTAGGCTTAAACATAAATAACTGTAAACAATTAAGAACTTTATATCAGTTGGCAATACCAACCCCTGAATGTTGTTCTTCCGCTCCCTTACTTCCCCGCATTAAGCAGTGCGGTTATCTTCGTTGTATCAGAAAGTGCAAACCTGTTTTCTTCCTCTATCATATGGATAGTCCTTGGTTTCATAACGTTAATCATTTGAGGTAACTAGGCGTTATTTTTTTTTCCTTGAGTGACTTGGAATAAGCACATAGATTATTGAACAGATAAAGCAAGCTAAATATTCATCGAACGTAACTTCAAAATTAAACCACTGTCTCTAAAGTAAGTACTCTATGACAGAAACGTTCTCCCGATTCTCAGGTATGCACGTGCGGTGTTGAGCACTGACACCCAAAGTTTAAATTGCAAGTTAGAGTGTATGCAGACTCATGCAGCTCGTTTAGCCAGTGGCAACTATAATTTCAGCTCTTGCATTTCAAACATTAAGAGCAAACTTGAATGGAATCTCCTAAGCTAACGAAGAAAATGTTTACGTTTCAAGTTATTTTGCAATATTTTTCGTGATCAAACTGGAATTGATAAAAACACTTATATGAGGTTTGCACACAATCTCTCGAAAAGAAACGATTGCGAGATGGAACTTGCGTTCACCTGAAAGACACGTTTTTGGTCATTCCTTCTTCCCCAGAACATTAGAGAATGAAACCGTCTGGAACCATCAATTATCATTTCACCTTTGGACATTTTTTTCTCGGCTTTACAAGAGGCTCGTTATCCTTAAGCGCCTGATTTTTGGTGTCATTATTTTAAGAGTGCAGTGTATTGTCTGCTTTTTGTCATGTAACGCCCCCTAGGCGATGTAGGTATATGCATAAACAAATAAATAAAATATCCGCTTTCGTTAATAATATATGAGACAAGGGGAGGTCATTTTTCTGTTGCCATCCAAGTGGATACATGAATGGATGAATGCTAGTGGCTGTATCCTTCTAATTCGACAGTAGCTTGCACCTCCTAGACTAAAATATTTCCTTTCTCTTCCTTTAAAATTCTGACCCGAGCTTCATTCTCCCATTAAAACGTCTAAGCCACTGAACATGCAAACAAGTTTAGACTACCCTAGATCTTCTTTACCAATCTTTTAACCTTCTCTTTGTGACAGTGATGCCCCTGACATCCGTTCTTCTTTGTTATATAATTATTTCTCCGACCTCGAATGTTCCTAGCAACATAATAATCATAAGCACATTAGGAAGGCCGCTAGGACTTGCCCGCTGGCTCAATCTGCACTCACATAAGTAGGGTCAGTCTAAATTTGGCGACCAGGTTCACCACAGTTTATATCCTTCATGATAATGTCAAATTTCGAGCTTAATTGGTTTATGCCAAAAAAAAAACACTGTATTACACTAACTTGTTCAGTGCAATAGGTTAAAAACCCATCCGAAAAAAATCGGCCTCGATCAAGCATTCCACTTAACAATGTCTTGTACTGTACCTGTGCCATTTCCATACGTGTGGTCGCCGTGGACAGCGGACTGTGTTCTCACCCATGTCCCTTCGACAGAGGGAGAGTTGAACCAGCCACAGAGACCTGCTTCGAAGTCGCAGGTAGTACCTGGAATTAAATTAAAAACACAGTGAAGGACTCTCCAGGCAAGTGCTTATGCAGGGTAAAAATCTTGAAGGTTTTAAAGAGTTTGCAAGAACAAAACAATTAGATGCCCCTTTGGTATTTTCCAAAGGCTGTTTATATGCATAGCATTTATAGAGCCTCTCTGGGCTCCTCCTTTGGTGGGTGCAGGAAGGAGAAACTGAAGGGCACATTGCGAAAGGTTATGTGAATACATAAAGCCATCAGGCGTCGCGTGAAACCACGTTTATTTTCACTACTGGAAAAATATAATTTAAATGTTTTACTTCATTTTTTAAGTTACTCTGACGATTAGTTTCCTAATTGTGTCACCCTAGCCGTGTAACTCACCAGCACAAACTGCGTTAGTGTACCTTTCACAAGCTTGTTATTTTTAAAATAAAAATCTGTTCGAATTGAAATTAAATATGCTGTATATAAAACCTTTCAAAGCATTGTTCTAAACATGCGAAAGCGTGGTACCTAAAAGGATATTGCAGTTGTAATGCGGTACGTGCACTTATAATGGAGATCATGGCTACTCCTGTGGCATACATTACAAGCAGTTCATGCTGGGGCAAGTTTCAACTTTTGGTTTAATATTTAATCATTTTTGCTTCCAGTCTTGGCTCCCTCCACAAAGAAGTTTTGTAAGTATTGACATGATGCCTTTCAAGGGTATACTCCCTACTCACTGTCAGTGAAAAGAAAAGAAAGTTCCACATACTTCGTACGCCATGCGAAGATTTGGTCGTCGGAGACGAAAACATTACTTTTCTCACATGAAATTTGCAAATTTTAATAAAACATTCAATATTTAATCTCATATGTACCTACAGATGATTTTGTAAACCAGATAAAATGTTTAACAAATATTCTGATTCCGCTAGGAGGATAAGCGTTTTTACTACGGTCCTTGAGGTAAAAAATACAACTATAGTTTGACTCGACCTCAGACATCTTAAAGTTGGGAGAGTATTAAAAATACAAACAAAGGTATCTAAGTGTGCACCGATCCGGACGGGGCAGGAGGAACTCACCGCAATCGTTCTCATCCGTACCGTCCTGACAATCAACGAAGAAATTGCAGCGCTGCGACGGGAGGTAGCAGGTACCGTCGTTGCACGGCAGCTTCTCCGGTTCGCACAAGTTCGGAGGCGCCGTGACAACCGCGGCGCTTTTCCCCGGAAGCTCGGCTAAAAGAGGGAGAGGTTGTCTTAAAGAAGCGCTTCATGAGGATTTCTCGAAGACGGGGTAGGCTTCATGAGGTAGTTCTGAAGAAGTGGTTCATTAGGTTGTCGTAACAAAGCGGTTCGGGTCGTGAAAACCCACTTGCATGCAGAATTGCATTCTAATAAAAGCTAATTCAGAGGTCTTGCGTCGGTTGTGAAGTCATAGTGTCATGTGACTTTACATAGCACATGACGCTGCCACATTACTTTGATGAAGTTTTGTGACATCACGGCGTCATTTGACAACACAGCTTGGGGCTGGAATGTCACGGAACCATATCATGCGATGTCAGGTCACGTGATGTCGTATGAACCACATAATATTTTCATCACATTACCCTATTTGACGCCTTGACGTCACTTAACCCCGTTGCGCGACGTGACACCGTTGCACACCATGACTTGGTGACTTGGCACTCTAGTGTCACGTGAATAATTAGGGCACTGCAATTCTGCATTTGACAGTTAAACTAATAAAACAGAATACAGCTTTCATTTTTCTCATTTTTCTTATTTAAGTGAAATGCTGCACAAGGTAATACAAAGTCCCAATTTAAAATTAGTGTAATCGCCGAAACCCCAGGTCTTGAGATATGTTTGGTATGACAACATTCTTTCTGAGGTTTCTCAATTCCAGTCGAACAACACTTACCGTTCGACCTTCGGCAGCCATCAGTCATTGTGATGTCATCAAGAGCGGCACCGGTGAAGTTCACGAAGCCCTCAAAAACAACCTCGATCACCACCTGTGGGGAAATGAAGACATATTTCTCTTCGAGTATGCTACATCACAGTATTTCATTGAACCTTTAGTAGGCATATCTGCTTCGTATATTAGATTTTATGAGGTTTATAGAGCTTCACCTGGAATAGTACTTGCATGGGTTATATTAGACTTTTATTTGAAAAAAGAAATAGAATGACATTTACATGAAAAACTCTTCAATTAAGTGCCACCCTTGTTTATTGTGTGCCAACAAAAGTGATGAAATAATGTAGCTTATCTCGAGATAATATTCCCGAAAAATAACCCAACCCTATTTTTGGCACGATTGGCTATTTTTTTTTTTTTGAAGATCATCAAAAGACAGTTTTATTCTAGTAATTCCAGGGCCCTGGTCAATGGTGACCTTGGCAGATATCATCTTACTTAGCCAAGATGGGAGATACGCGAACATTGCTGACTGGGAAGGACGGCCGTCTTTGGTTCATAACCCCTTCCTGCAACCACAAGTTTCGCACATCACAAAATCTAAAACTAGCATTTTCTACCCTTTTTATATCACACACAGATAGTTTATCCTACTCCATATTTTCACACGATTTGTCTGCGATTTCAGGTGGGCTATCTCTCAGAGATATTAAACTAGATACCAACAATACTAATCCCAGAATTGTTTTGTTATTTATTGTGAGCTTATCATATCCCATCCTGCCACAAGAAGGTTAGTACCATGAATAAAATCCGCAATATTCCAGAGATTACATTTTATAGTCTGCCTTAAAATCACGTAAAGGCGCCCTTCCTGAGAAATCTACCATCGCATTTTCCTGGCCAGATATGTGTGCCATAAAATTTTCGAAACATCTCCCACCACTGCATTTTCGTCGGACATCACACGACGCCACACCGGAATCACATTAACCGGGTGATCGGCGGTACCGGTACGTGTGACACGCGAGCCAACAGCGGGTACTCGGGATTTCGTCCGCGCGCTGCCCGCGCGCAATATCGGCTCCCGTGACATGCGAGGTCCTATCAGGTTGCCGTGTTTTTTTGTCAGTTATATGCGCGCGCGAGATCGGCTCCCGTGGCACGCAAGTTTGCACACGGTTTCCGGATGTTTATCGCACCGCCAGCCCGAATCTGCTGCAACCGCAGTCCGCGGTATCTCTTTCCCGGGATGCAGGTGTTTGTAGCGAATTCCTGGGTGTTTATCGCCTTGCTAAACGCAAATTTGCTGTGTCAGCAATCTGCGGTATATGTTCTCGTGTCACCTGCATGGTTTCTACTCTGCGTCTTTGTGTTTGTCATTACTTTTTTAAAGTTTTGCTCTTTTATTTTTTAAGACAGCCCACCAGAGGTTTTTTCCCTTTTCTTTCATAATTTTGAGTGGGCGTCTTACACGATTTTACGTTATATAGTTTTTTTTCTCATTATAATAAATAAGGTATTTTTGCAAGAAATAAATTTGAACCGTTTTTGAGTCAGATATGGTTTGCGCTTGTTATACGAAAATGTGAAACTTTACTCAAGTCCGCATATATTTTCAAAACGTTTACATTCAAAATATGAAGATGCCAACCTCAGAAGGCAAAAATCACAACATGCAAATTTTTATTTCGGCATAATAATCTTTTTGGCGAGGACAACTTGGTAAAACTATAGCACAGAAAATTAATCTCTAAGTCTTATCTACCGAATGGCAACAAGAATCACTTTCCATTCTTGGCATTGAAGCAGTAAAGGAGTGCGAAAACCTGGAAACCTTGTAAATAAAACAGTACATGTTCGATAAAAAAAAAAATTTGTTTTCTTTTCTCCGCAGAAAAAAACTTGTATTCATTGTCGAACGCTCATTCTCTACCCAGATGTAGTAATAGCGTTGAAAACCAGGCGCAAAACTTTTGCAACACACTGGTATCTCATTTAAAAGTTAAAGATGATTTTCTAAAATTAAAAAATAAAATGGGGTTAGTTTTCGCCCATTTTCGGTAACTGGCGCCGTTCAGCTCCATGTACTCAAGAGGTCCGTCGGCCGCGATTTTGCCTAAATTTTTAGAAAAAATCTATTCTTAGGGGAAGGGACTGGAAAAACACTCTACTTAAGGGAAGGGATAGTCCAGGAACTTTGGTAGGTCGGGTTCCTATAGTTGGTGACAGGTTAAGAGTTCAGAGAAAGTTCCTCCCAGCTCTTTCTATTTTAACAGGCCAGACACTGGAGAGGAGGTCACCTTTTCCCCAACATTTTTTCTGCTAAAGTGGAAAGAGATGGGAGGAGCTTCCTCTGAACTCTTAACCTGTAACCAACTATAGACACCAATTCTGAGAACCGATCGTCCAGGACATTGGTTCTCACAATTTTTTTTATCCCGAGGAACACGTAATCTACTTCGACCAGCCAAGAGACCCTTCTTGCTCTCGACATGACGAAAAAAATTATGGAGTGGCTCATAGACCATATAAACATTAATGCACGTACTAGAAAGCGTTTGGCTCATAGTAATACATCAATGGACAGCTCCTATCTTGTACAACATGTAAACTATTGCTTCTAAGGCACCTTAGACGGCTCGCAAAAGTCAGTTTCTCAACGAATCACGCGTCAAAATACTGCAGAGGTGCAACGCATGTGGAGAAAGCTTCCAGCGAAAAAATCAAGAAATAAACTTATGTTGTTCTAAAGAACAAAACAGAAACCTCTTCTGGGCAGTCTACGCTGCCACTTCGCAGACGAACGCGAAGAGAAATGTGCTGCCGAAAAATGGCGCACGCCGTATTAAAGGAGGTCTGGCCAATTCAAAGCATAACAAATGAATCTGCAAAAAAAAAATACAAGAAAAACCGAATTGGCGGGCGCTTTTTCCAACTAGCGCGCGCCACCGGCCGGCAGCACATCTCCCTAAGCGTGCGTCGTTTACAAAGTGGTGGCGTAGACTGCAAAAACAAGTTTCTGCTTTTTTTTTTTGTTGTTGGGAACGAGATAAGTTGTTGTTTTTTTCACTGCCAACTTCCACCAGACGTTTCGCCTCTGTAGCAAATTTTAGCCCGGTACATTAAGAAACCGATTCTTGCGGACCTTCTGAAGTGCCTTAAAAACGTTATTTTACATACTGTAGAGTTCTGTTTAAATTGGGTAGACACTTTGCTTAGATGCACGGACAACCGAAAACAAATCTGAGACATTGAGGGAACACTCCAAGGTATTCTGGGGAACTTCGAGCTCCCTAGAAACACAGTTCGAGAGCCTGTAGTAACGGGATGCTGACCTCGAAGTCCCTATCCGAGACGCCAAAGTCCAGCTCGGCCCTCTCCCAAAAGTCGACGACCGTTGTCGGCAGCTGGCGCAGGTGCGAAGTCCCGCCGTCTTCGTAGGTGGTCCTCCTATATACATTGAGCGTAATCCCGTCGCTAGGGACGTTGTACCAGAACCGAACCTACGAGGAACGGGGTAAAACGTGCGGTTTAGCATTTTGAAAACCGAAAACTGAGGAACCAAGAAAAGGCAGACGACACATGTACGGATCTCAAACTCAGCCACGGTGTTTATTTCCACTACCAATACCTTATAAGGGCGACCTACAGCCGACCTTCAGGTGCCTGGAGTAAGTCGCCGTATCAACAACCACACAACATGTCTACACTCGCCAAAAACCCTTCCAGGTTTGCATCCTTGAAGAGCAAAGAACCGGCTGAGTGATGCCACTCAGCCTAATCATCACCCAACGCTCATCTTCGCATCTTAATCCCAACCAACCAGAGAGCCGACGCATGGAAATCCCTCATCACTCGCTACCCATTGACCACATTGTATCTCCGTTTACTTTTGCTCCTATAACAAGATCCTGTGGTCATCGTCTGGGCTCGTTCTCGTTTCGACCTTCTCGTTCGGACTTTCTCAGAAGAAGCGTTCTCAAAGGGTCCTTCTCGGTTTGGCCGCCGCATTTGATCCACTCTCGTTACATCCTTCAGCTGTCATCCACTAAGGGAAGCAATCTAAGAGTGGCACTCTGATGTGTCAGTGTTTTGGCTGGGTCACCGGATGTTCCCGAAGAAGCGTCTTCCAGTATGCCCCTCCCCACTCCCAAGTCACCTAAACGCAAGCGCTCAGGTACACACGCCTACGTGCTTTAGTTCCGCGTTTTGGCAAATAGTTCCTAGAATACGTCCCCTCTGCTCTTGAAACGTGCAGCAAAGTTCGGGACCAGCTCGTTGGGTTTTCAGGAAGTGGTAGCATGCGCTGGGGAATAAGATACAGAACTGTTCTTTTTTTTTGTGTGAAAGAACGGCCTCTTAGGTCCCTGTTTTCTCCGGTCGCGGGGGGATACACTCGGAGTGGTTATCGTCCTTTCCATACTCAATTTTTCCTTAAGGTGGACTGCAGAGTACACTACAACAAATCGGAGCCAATCCACGGCTGAAAACGTATTACGCGTCATTCAGTTCTAGAGCGAACGGAACCGAATGCTCATTGGCTCAAATGCGAAAAAACCTGTTTGGATGTTTAGAGAAGGTTAGAACGAGAAGGATTAAACAAGAATGGGGCGGCACAAGATACAGCGAAATGCAAATGGAACATTTCGATGTACACCCAAGAAGAACAGTCGGAGTAAACTTTCTCCACGTTACCAAAACAAACCAGCAAAAAACAAAAAAAAAAACACTTCGTATCCTAACTTAAGTTTTCTAAAAAATAATCGACTTTACCTAAAAAACAACATAACTGGTACAAAAACCTATGGGACCCTTTAATACATGTGTATTTAATGGACATAGAAAACAAACCAAGAATATAACATTGAGCAAGCAATTGAAAGGGAAAACCATCCCTTGTCAGGTCATTCTGCCAAACGCGCCTAAATGCGCTTGCTTTATAGGGGAAGGGGGGAGGGGGAGTGCTTTATGTTAGGGGTGGTGCTTGGGGCAGGTTGGCCCTTAGTCTTTTAGTGACTGGGGTTGGTGGTGCTCCTAGTCCGGGTGGTACCTAGGGAAGAGTTTTTTTATTGGAAAATTACTTCACATTACTGTCTCTGTGTCGTTGCACGCGCCTTCCTTCAGCACCACCCGGATACAAAGCCTTTGCTCTGAAGTTTGTAGGTCACCTAAAAGAGGGAAAGGACGCTTTCCTGCCCTTTTCACTCCTCGTTCAGCGCCCACTTTCTACACCACCTGTTTCCGCACCTCTCTTTGTTGCCCTTTCCACCCCTCTCTGCTCCATACGCTTTCTTACACCACCTGCATCTGCTCCTCCCGTTTCTGCGTGCGGCGTCCCTAGCTCGGCCAGCAGCACATTCGGCTTCCACGACGGTGACCAGTGTTCGATCCCTGGCACCGGTTTATGTTTTTTCTTCAAGATCGTCTAGCTGCTTAGGACAGACAGATCTACATATTTCGTGCTTACAGGAGTTTCGTTGGCCCCACACAGCTACCGCTTCAAGATTTTATCGTTGCTTCGTCGGAACGTGTAGACGGCTTGCTTATACAATATCTTCAAAATCCGAGACAAAGGAATAAAATTCGGCAGAGAGGCTTAAGGCTGCTTCTGTGGAGGAATGCGAAAACATTCCTACAAGCAGCGCTCCACTTCTTCCTCTAGCACCACACTCCGATGGTGACATCACGCTCCCTCACTGCGCAGAAGCGGCGAGCCCTGTCGGCTTCACTACGGATTCCCTGACGAAGCATTGCGTTGCTGTGCTTTCTGTTCTGTTTTATTTCTGAAGCGTGTCCGCTTTGACCTTGAGCGCACCCGCCGGCTTCCGTGACGAGGCATCTGCGTTGCTGTGATTTTCTTTGTGTTTTATTGGGAATAGAAATTAAGGTACCGTTTTTTCTGCTACAGACAGTTACAGACAATGCCGGCTTCGCTCCATCGGTCAGTTAATGCTTTCGTATCAAAAAGGCCATGACGCGCGCACAGAAACTCTCTGGATTTCAAGGTTTTGAAATTTCCCTAGCTTTCTTGCATGTTCTCTGTTATTTCTAACTTTGCAAATACAGTTTGGTGTTCCGTTTATCCTAATAGTTTCGATCATGGTTGTGTTAGCATTACAACTTTATTTTACTATGAGGCTCCTGTCTCATTCGAAATCGACGCAAACCTTTGCATTCACCCAAATGTCTTGCGACTTCAGAGTTTTCCGAATTTTATTTTACATGACTTTTAAGCTCTCCCATGTGGTCGTTAATTATTGGGACAATAAAGTGTGTTCAGCAACACAAAGCTATACAGGGTGTCGCCAAAAGACAGTGACCATTTTAGTTTGTTTTTTACCGCAAAAAATATACTATGCACGGCAAAACGCCCCTTTTCCTTCCAATTGTAGTGCGAGCAATCCGACCAAGATGACAAATTTTCATAAATAACCATTAGGTTATTCAAAAGTTATAAGCTACTTCTGGGAAAATTTAAATGGGAAGATGATAACCGACAAGGTCTTTGAATTTACGGAGATGGATGGTTTCGGCTGCCGGGAACGTGTCCCATTTTGTCATTGAAACTCTCATAAAATCAAATACAACATTTGAATGAGATGACGGTTAGATCCAAAACCTTGTCCTCTGGTTCAGTCTATTAGCGCTACGATTGGGTGGAGACTGAGCATTCTGTGATACACAGTTTAATGTTTTGCGGCAAATAATATCCTACGTTTTTTTCCCGAGTCACAATGTGTATAAGTTATCGTCATTTTAGTACTATGTAAAGCCAGCGCAGAGGATAGGGCGTCAGATTACTGAGCACGAGGTCAGTCCTTCCATTTCTGCTGAGGGACACAGTCTTTCTAAAAAAAAAAAAACAGAATTGACTGTGTTATGTTTTCCTTGCAACATCTTGTCCCACTCTACTATTGGAAACCCATCATAAATCTCCCTCTGTGCTAAAAGCCTTATTTGACATGAATTCTTAGAAATGCTAGTTCGTTTCAAATGGGGTTGGTGGATGAATTATTGGACATTCATGCTGAACTGAAATAGTACTCAAGTTAGTGGTCATCGGTTCATGCAATTCTTATTATTAGTGTTTTTATTGTTTAATTAACACTTCCGAGGCAGTCTGCAAGGGCTACCAGTATTCTAAATAAATAAATGAATAAATAAAACAAATACCTATCTTACGCTTGTCACGGTGTGATACAAAATGTTTCCTCGGTAAAAACTACCCATCTCTGCACGACCAGTTCGTCACCTAAATTTTTAACTTTTCTTCTATGCAACAAAAATATTAACTTCAATTTATTAGTAATCCGTAATGGTAGTATTTGAAAATAACATTGACACAAGATAAAACACGACTCACCTGGCACGAAAGCTTTGGGTCGGCTCGAATCACGTAGGAAACGAGACGTCCATAACGCTTCTCTCTGGAGGAAGTGCCCCATCTTTTATATACGGACAAGTAAGAACCTGTTGAAAAACAGAAAAGTTGCTACATTCTATACACTCAAAAGGCAGGAAATTGTAAACCAATTTTTAACGATTTTTTGTTGTTAAGGCAGGATTCAAAAAACCTATCATCTATGTAAGCTGTGCACCGTAGAGTTAGCACTAAGGAGGAACTGACAATTATTCGCATATTACTGTAAAACTTCTTATTTCCGCGGCACGTATTCTTCGCGAATCGGGCACACAGCACAGAATCGTGGCCACTAAATATCGCGAATTCAAGATGCCTGCATTCAAACTCTTAACAATTGAAATTTTCGCGTGCCCTTAAATTTAGCAAATTTTTCAATTCGCGAAGTTCCCGAAAAGTAAGGGCACGCGACCACTAAGGGTTTTATAATACTAAGACGGGGTATTGGCGAACACCATTCTTTATAACTTAGGTGTATTCCCCGAACTATCACTTTTCGCCACACCAGTGATTTTGCGAGTGGTGACCAAGCATATAAACGCACACCAGAGAGGAGCAGGAGGAGAAGAAATTTACACTTCCGAACTCAGTTATCCTAGGTTAGATCACTGCCCCTGCCCATTTGGACGAAGTAAAGCGATGTACCGTGACAGTGATACACTAACGCCATGTTAGTGTATCACTGTCACGTGATGCACAACAAAGACACCAGTGTTGCGTTACACTGGCATATTGACCTCATGCTGTCTAAGCAATAACGTCTAATATTCCTATTTTCTTTGCAGCAGTTCTGATGGCAGCATTTCATTTCTATTAGACAAACAAAAAAACAAGGCAATCACTCATGTGCACTAAGTGGGTTATGGTTTGCATCTTTTAAGAAAGACATATTCAGGAGAAAGTGAGCTCTTTCACAGTCACGGCGTATGAGAAGAAATCAAAGAGAGATGACGCAGGGACTTTTTTTTAGTGTCACCTCGTATGCAGCAAAGCAGACTACACATGCTAGGAAGGAGTTGGGTTGCCGGTTTCGCATCACTAAAGAGGAAGAGTGACAACGATAGGCGCAGTAGGGCGAGGAGGTAGGACCGAGCGATGCGGCAAAGAAAAAAAGAAACAAGAGCACTGGGCCAAGAGCCACTGGAAGTAATGTTCCCTTACACAAAGGCCATCCGCCAGTTAAAGCACCAGTTCACGGACAATTCGTGCGATGAGGCTTGCAATGTGTACAACAGATTGTGGTTCGATGAGGACGCGAAGACAGGAGAGCAGTATATCGTTTTAATAAAAAAAGAATAAGAAAAATAAAAAATACTATATCGCTGTCCTGTCTTCGCGCCATCCTCTCTTGTGTGCGCTTTACATATTTACTATGCTTAACCAACCAGACCACCATAATATTTTAGATTGTGGTTTCCGGCAGATGGGAGCTAAGGCGTTCAGACGCAACGCATAGAAGGCCTTCAAAATATGACAGAGAGAAAGTGATTTTTAGAGCGCAGCTCTTAGGGACCCGTTTCCGGGTTGAGCGGCGTCGGCGTAACCGCGCGTTGCATTATAGGACATATCCCAAAATGAGGTCACACGTGACGTCACGTGGGAAAAGGTTTCCTGTTAAATTTAGCAGAAAGGTTGCCCACTGAGTTTAGCAGGGAAATTGACGTTACGAGACGCCAACAACAATTCAGCTTCCCCACTAAATTTAGCGGGAATAAAAATGTTAGTAAATTTCCCTATAGATTTAGTGGCAATACTTCTCCATTAAATGTAGGGAAAAAATTTTCGCTTAATTTAGCGGAAAATATAGCGAAAATTCCCCCGAATCGGATAGGAGCAAGAGAGGGGCATACCCTCCCCTCCGTACCCTCCCCGTCCTCCTCCTCAAGAACTGCACTCTAATTCTCAGTATGACAAAAAAATGTAAACGTCTTTTATTTTTTTTTTAAATGCAGTGATTCAGTGTAACTGGGTGCACCTAATTACGTCGAGTCTAGCCTTCGTTAGTCTGTTGGTCGATTGGGGTCGAACTCACCGTCGCGGGTCCGCAGCGTGTGATCAACAGCGGGATAACCGTAGCCGTTGAATTTTGCGTGAGACAGCGACCACGCCGGCAGCGTGCTGCTCGGATCGTGCGTCCAGTCGTCGCAGTGGGGCTCCTCAAACGTGCAGCGGCTTCGGAAGGCGCTGCAGGCCGACTCGGACTCGTCGCTCTTGTCGGAGCAGTCGTACTGCTGGTCGCACAGCTTAGTGCGAGGGATGCACCAGTTGTCGACGGTGCACCTGAAATAGAGTGAAGTATAGACCAAGGGCTCTTCGACCTTTCCATTTCCAGAAATCCTTATCTGACCACACTGAAAGCAGACGCCATGAAGTCACGTAACACAAGGACGTGACGCCGTAACGTGGTCCACTTACTTCGTCCCAAGCCATTTCATCTCGGGAACGTTCATCGTGGGCATCTCGTACCAAGGAAGTCTCACCCCAATACATTTTATCCCGAAATGCTTCAATCCAGGGACGTTTCCTATCCGGATGACTACCCCCCTTCGTTCCAAGACGGTTTGTCCCAAGGCAGTTAGTTATCTCACATCCCGCACAACACAGTCATTTCAATTAAAGATATTGCTCCATATAACCTACATAGACATTTCACGAGAAATGGAATTGACGCCGCAGTCGCCATTTTGGGCCCGGAGAAGTTCGAACCCCCTTCTCAATGAACAAACCCTATAGATCGCGGTTACTCTTCAATGCACTGAAACCGTTTCTCGGTAATGTCAGCGTCTTTAAATCTGTTCCTGCAGTTAACTTCTCGACTTTCGGTCAGATGCTTGGCTTCGTAAACATTGTCACAGGGATGACATCACACGAATACGGCCTGCTAAATTTTGTGGCCTTGCGGCAGTTTTTCGTGGTGTCATATCAAGCTTTGGAGGGATATCCCAGCTCTCAAAAATAATTTTGTGTAGAAAATCAGAAAAAAAAAATTACAGCTAAAATTCTTTTACATCTGTATATTTTTTAAATTTGATATTTCAGATGACCACCACTACAAAATAACCCCAGGACATCTGAAACTAGTATTACAATCGCTTTTCTCATCTTGGGTAAATAACTTAGACGGGCATAAGTTCGATGTACGCGCTTGACAACAGGTCAATGTTGGAGTAGCTTTCGAACACTGTCAAAGTTCATTATAAGTATTACAAGACTCTGCCTGCAACCTCTCCGAATTTTAGTTCGGACTTCCCGATTTAGGCATTTTATAGGGAGAGGGTGCAATGTGTATTACAACTGTGGAAGCCATGATCCTACAGGTTTTGTGAAAACACTGGTCATAAAAAAGCCCTGTGTGTATCTGATGTTCATGAAGCCAGATAAAAATCACCACACTTGCTGCTGGATTATTGTTTAGAACCGCGTCCTCGGTGACGCGTTGCCCAGCAGCAACAAACTAGAAGACGGTGTCAACCAAATACCAAACAACCTTTACCTCGGAAGTATACACCCCTCATGTACACGGAGATGCCACCGCTGGTGCGCGTAGAAAAAACACCTAAAAGAACGAGGTGGCGATCCCTACAATTATTAAGCTGGTCTTAGCTGAACTCAGGCGGATATTGTCTCATTTTCAGGTAGAATCCAGAAGGGACAAGCTCTATGACCCAGATGAAGACTGATTTTCATTTGGAAATGCATTACAGCAGACCCTCACCGATACGTCTTTCTGAGAACAAGCCAAGAACTAGGACAGGAGAACTTTAGAAGAATGCAGAGTACACTCTCCATGACCATCATTCCTCTCTTGTCTCGGGTATTTTGGCATCCCGTAAGATTTCCGAAACCAAGTTTTTTTTTTTTTTTTTTGAAAGTTAGACTAAAGACCCGCTTAGTCTGTCAAAGGTTAAGGATTAGCGAGGAGATAGAAAACAAAATTGGGGTTGGATTCAGCTTGTTCTCCAACACAAAGCCTGGTTTTACCCAACACAAGGCCTGCGAACTGAAATACTTTTTGTCACCTTCCTCGATAGAGTTCGGATCATCGATTCAACACGAGCCCTAGCCGAGTGCTCATGCAGCGCTCGGATACATTGGACGAGCGCTGCGTAAAAAAAAAATGTAGGAAGTTGTTCCCATGGTTGTAGGTCTCGACTTAAGGTCCGTTCACACTCTTGCGACCGAGTTCGACCGAGAGAGACCAGACCGGTTTTTAAGCCTCTTGCGACTTCTTAGGACCAACTCCGCTGCATCGCATCCGGTCCTAAGAAGTCGCAAAAGGCTTAAAAACCGGTCCGGTCTCTCTCGGTCGAAGTCGGTCGCAAGAGTGTGAACGGGCATTTAGTCGTTACAGGCGCGACGGTTGGATTTTCTCCCTACAGCAAAACAAACGCCTCCCCCAAAGGCTTTCACCCTTTCCACGTTAGCAAAGCGAACGGTGAAGAGGATGTGAATGAAGAGGAGGAATTCCTCCTCTCGATTCATGGCTAGCAGAGAGTTTCTGGGAGGGGCTTGTCCTACGAATCAAGGCCTGCAACAGACTACGGACATTTTACTTTGCTGTACCAAAGTCCACCGATATCCGGGATTGAAACCGCCTCGGGGAGGTCAAGAAACATACTTGAATTGGTCCTGGTTGCAGGGCGAACCCGGCGCCATCCGTGGTGGAGGGGCGCACGAGTGGAACGAGAGGTCATCCAGTGACTGCACCACGTGGGGCAGAGATCTCCTTTCGGCACGGAAGGCCAGCCGCAAGTTTCGCGCCAGCCCCAGGTAAGCTCTCATTTGTGTCCATTGCTTCCGACTCGTTGCTGATAAAATCAGAAAAGAGAATATCGGATTTACTCGCATAATGAAAACACCTTTTTCACAGAAATATTTAAGAAAATGGGGGAGGGGGTACGTCTGTTATAAGGGGTAATATTGCCCGTTAATTCCTATTTCATAACCATCATGGTTTCGCATGACGTCATAATCACATAACATCATGATGTCATGAGATGTTATGCTGAAACAAGACAACATTCACGCTGATGATGACATGTGAACGCAGTCCGCTCAAGTTAGTGGGACGCAGGGTCGCCAGATGGGTACGTTCATACCGCGCATACGTGCTTTGGTGGCATGGCCGTTACGCACGGGTATTTCTACAACAGAAGTACAATGACTCTATTGGTTACGACATGCACACCAAATATTAAAAATTACAATTTCGTCTTTCTATGGAACCGAAATTAGAAAAAAGTGTCTCTAAAACCCGTTTTAGAGACACTCTCGTAATTTATTTACCAAAAATACAACTTTATGCAAAATATCGAAAAATATATCAAAATGTGTGTCTTGAAATGCAGTATTTGAATATATAAAAATATTTGCTCAGCCTTTATTCTAGGTTTGTTATTCACGAAGAAACTTATGCCCCTTCTTTAAAAGTAGCAAAATGGCGCGTCAATAGTGAAAAAAACTTGATCTTTTATTTCTTTTCAACTCTCCTTAACGCTGCAGTAACTTTAACTAACTTGTGAGGGCAACATATTGAGTAGCAAATGAGCTCCCATTCAGGAAAGCGACAACAAACGTGCACTCAAATTGACCTAGCTTGTTTTCGTAATTGGTGCTTTTCCGCACGACGTCGGCTCCAAGAAGATATTCTCTAGAACCGACAACACTGCATAACGGTGCGGTTCTGTCCCAGTGCGTAGAAAGTCTCCATAACTTAAAACCATGGGACTACGAAGAATAAAACAACCAGACTACAGACTAGACAACACAAAATCTCAAGAAGAGTTGAGTTCATTCGACAACACCAGAACAAAAAAAGATCCAGAATATATAACACGACGTCGAGAAGATTTGACCAGGCATGGTTTGACAGGCTAAATTGTTAAACACCAGACCGATTTACGACGACATTCCTACGCTCTCCAACCGAGCAGCACCTTTATACAGACTGTCGGTTCTGGAGAATATTTCTTTGGAGCCATCATCGTGCGGAAAAGTCCGTATAACGAAGAAAAGTAAGCTCGTGACGGCTTGAAGCTGAGCTAATTGGTTCATGATTGTTAAAGTGCCAGCTGAACGTTTTACAGACACACATACAGAGAGGCAGACACACCAGCGGTGTGTCTGCCTTTTTTGTTCCTCTCTGTATGTGGGTCTGTAAAACAATCAGCTGGCACTTTAACAAACAAAAAGTAAGCTCAATATGTGTGAACGTTTGTTGTCGCTCTTCTCAATTGGAAGTCATATGCTACTCGGTACGTTGCCCTCACAAGTTGATTTTAGCTACTACAGAGTTCAAGGAGAGTTCAGACAAAATAAAATATTGAGTTTTTTTTTTTAATATTGACGTGCAAGTTTTCTATTTCAAAAGTTGTGAGCTAAGTTCCTGCAATAATAACAAATCTACAATAATGGCTAACCAAATATTTTATATATTCATAAGCTGCATTTCGAGGCGCATATTTTGATATACTTCGCGACGTTTTTTATAACATTGTTGGTTGGCAAACAATTTATAAATGTGTCTCTAAACAATTGTGTTGTTTAGAGACACATTTATAAATTGTTCGCCAACAAACAATTTTATAAAAAAAACGTCGCGAAATATATCAAAATATGCGCCTCGAAATGCAGCTTATGAATATATAAAATATTCTTTGTTATATAAAATATATAATTTGTTTTTATAGAAATATACCAGTGTAATTTTTAATATTTTGTGCGCATGTTGTATAATGCCCAAATCAGTTTTTGCACGTGTCTGCTTTGACCTGACATTGGCGGCTTTGCGAATTACCAAAGAGACATCTTGACAATCTCCACGCCTCGAGCTTCTCAATTTTCTACTTCTGGGAAAAATTTATCAACTGCGTTCATATCTATCGCTTGAATGTTAGTCCAAAGAACATAGCTTTCACACCATTTCTTGCCAAAATATCCAGAATATTACCGGGACTGTCACTAGACAACCTGACGTGAAAACACCCATCAATTATATTTCTCACCTACATTTAGCGTCAAATTGCGTTACACCTGTCACACCTTCGTTCGACTTTTGCTCAACACCTCGATAGCGTAACGATACGCTATCGAGGGAAATCCTTTTATGAACCTTAAGCGTACACTTACATTGTCTAATAAAATGTGAGAACCCTTTGATTATATATGGTAGACTCTGAGACCCACAACTAGTGTAGCGAATGATCTACGCATACGGTGAGCGTGTGTGATGTCTGCGTAGCCTAATATGCGACGCCATGCGATCAAATGGTAATATGCAATACCATGACGTCCACCAATGTCACAATGTCACTTGATGTGACGGCGTCAAGTGACACCAAGTGGCGTCACATGGCACCGTGAAGTAACAATGTCACGTGACACCAGGATGTCATGTGACACCCAGCCGTTAAGGTGACGCTACACTGCACGTATGAGGCTATAGTGCTTATGAAATTGACCTGCGCGTTGGTCCAGCGTAATGCGCAATTTTATTGGAAAACCAAGCCCTATAGCACATCCTGTGTAATAAACATATGTACCAACTTTCGCTGTGTCGATCAGACCATCGTATGCAGAATTGTGCACTCTCCTTAGATGAACTAAGAAGAGTGCAAAATAAATCACACCTACCCTGACTAATCCAGATGTGCCGTTCGTTCAAAGGCAAAAGGGAGTCATCCGCATAGTCGTAGGCGAGCAGCTTCATGAGGCAGAGCGAACTGCAGTAGAACCACGCCTCCAGGTAACAGTCCCCAGACAGGCGAGACACGCGTTTGTCCGAGTACAGCAGGGTGGCAGCACCCGCAGTGCCGAAGGCGGAGTTGGCCGTCACGTACCACCCGTCCTCTGAACCGGTTGCGTGGTCATGCTTTGGTTGCAATTCTCCGTTTTGCTGTTTAAAAGTACAAAATAAATTGAAAGTTTTTGTTTCTTCTTTTTGTCGTCTTTTGCAAACTGGCTGAAGCGACAGCCGAAGCAGTGCACAATCTGCCAAGCACAAACTACACGTGATCGTTCACTACCCCACTTCAAACTTCGGAAAATCTGCAAACACTATAATGGCATGTGATGTTGCAATTTTAGTCATGAGAGAATAGTGGCTTTTGAGTTTGAAGCGAATAGTGATTTTGCCAGAACATTTTCAAATTTTATATAGAATAATTTCCCGACGTCTTTCAGCACTGTGCAACGTCATCCATGCTTAAATGAAAATCTGGCTTAACTCGTGAAGGCTGTTCCCAAGCTCGAACTTGTCCACTCAACTCAGTTAATTTGAACTCAAATTTAATTTTAATTAAAATTATTTATTTATTTTTTAACTAAATTAACTTTAATTTATTTTAATTAAAGTTAATTTCAACTCAGTTAATTTGAATATGTACCGTGAACTGTGATATAGAAACGAAAAATATTTTGCAGCTATCCAAGTAGAGGTGATTTAAAAATCTGCTTCCTATATGCAAATTCATTTTTCAATTTCAAATTTAAAAAAAAAAAACTTGTGATTATGAATGCGGGTTCCATATGCTCTTGTACTACCGTGGCGGGTTACCCCCCCTGCGTGCGCTTCTTGTGGAACACCCATGCACTGCAGAGAAGCAATACCGGCGGTGCCGAAAACACTTCTCTCACCGTGACCAATATCGGAATACCTCCGCCTTGCACCGGCTCAACAACGTACCTTCGTGACCGCATCCTTTGCCTGGACGACTCTCCAGATGTAGTCATTGCTCAAGCCGTAAGCGTCCAGTCGTGGCAAGGGACTCGAAGGCTGAATAAGGGAGGCGTTGGGCACCGCCTTCCATCCACACATTACGCCGTCTTCGAAGCCGCACCTGGCACTCACTGGGAGAATCAGGTGTAAATGTAAGATTACAAGATCCAGCTCATCCAGCACTCCACACCGTTCTCCAAGAAGAACGAATTTGGTTATAGGATTTAAGTGAGCAGCAGCTCCACGTTGGTGAAAGATAAGCTTGAATACGAAACTCGTGGTCCTATTCTGCTATCAGCGAACAGGAAATAAATTTCTACTTAGTAGCAGGAGAGTTCATAACAGTGCTGCGAACCTTATAGAAGATCACCATTTCACGAACACGCCACCTATTCTAAAGAAGCAGGAGAACGAGTGGCTAAAAGAGGCACATAATTAGATGAAGATGAAATATCTATAGCAACCACAGGTGTCCCCGTTATATTTCACGGCAGAATCTAGTTTCATTTCTAGTTATTCCTATAGTATTAGTGTTTCATTCACATATTTGGTTATAGCAACTCTTCTTGTTTCACTGTTTTTGTAAGGGAACAGCGTTGGTGGCTCTGAACCACATCACAGTAACAACACTTAATTTTTTGTCTTTGTTTTTTGTACTTATATAATGTCCTGGAATAGATGCCCCTTAAGAAACCGAAGAATTGAAGAATCACTTAATAAATAAAAAAAACATTTTTTTTTTCCAAATTATGCTAATCATGAATACGTTTGATCCTGGCAAAGATATGTTAATATATCTAACAATTTGGGAATAAGTCAAAAAGCACTAAAATCCCATTAAAGAAGTTTTATGAGTCTATCTCAATCAAGTCCGAAGAAATAAATATGTGACAGGGTTGAAATCTACATCCTATTGCACTACCAGCTCGTTATAAAGAGAGACCAAACTTTGTTCCAAAATGTATGTGTAAAGACACCTTCGTGTAAAGTTACAAGGCAACAGTTGTAAAAGAATGAAATCCAGGTATTCAATTTGCCCAAGAATCAAATATATACTATTCCGAGTCAGATAGAAATCAGATTATATCAGACCCATCAAAAACGAACAATTAAGCTTGGGTGCAAATGAGTGAAACCTTAAAGAAAAGTTGAACACCAACCTAGAATGAAGAAAAAAAACTCACCACATCCGCTTTCATCGCTGGCATCCGCGCAATCGTTGCGGAAGTCACAAACCCGGTCCAAAGGAAGGCAGGACCCGTCAGAGACACAGGCAAATTGATTTGCATCGCAGCTGTGCGGTGAGGCAGTTACTGCCGAGGGTGTGGATGGTTCTGTATCTGGAAAGTCTTGTCCTGAAAACCTGTCAAAAACAAGAAACCCATCAAGACAAACTTACCAGCACAATTTACCTGCAAAACCTTATGATGAATAAAATGCAGTATACAAGTGACAATTATTTCTATGCCTTTTGAAGACGAGAAACAGTCATTTTGGGAAGTAAAGAATACCTTGTTCATTGTCACATAATCTTACGTTATGCGACGTCAGGGTATATGATATTGGTTTCGTTGCTACATTTAGCATGGAAATCGAGGTCACATAGTCATGTCATGATATCACGTGATACCGTGTCATGTGACCCTTACGTTACGCAATGTCTGGGTGACCACACGTTGGATATCAATTTCCTTCCAAATTTAGCAAGAAAACTGTTGTTGCGGTACCAAGTCCTGTTGTGTCATGACCTGACGTCACATCACGTGATACCAATTTTCCTTCTAAACTTGGGGCAGGGAAGTATGCGCAGATGTATAGTCTAGAAATTCTGGACTCAGAAGGTTTTGTTAACACTTCATGCATTAAAACATGTCTGCCATGTAGGACTCACCGGTCCAGCATATAAAATCAGCTAAACTTAAAGCAAAGGTAGGTTTCTGGCGAAATAACTATCAATGTCAATGCTCCCGCCTAAAGCTCCCGCACAGCATATACTATATTCAGTGTGGAATCGACAAAAACAAAATAATTACTTCCACCTCACTTCATCTCAGCAGCGACTGGACCATAGCGAAAAAAAATTAGGTATGTTTGATGCAAAACAGACATATACAAATATTCCTTTTTCCTAGCACTATATTGAACTGCAATCGACTAACTGAAGAGATAGTCTCAAGATATGTAAACTCTGAATTTTATCATTCATTGTGAACCACCTAATACTTGTTGTTTGTACGAGCTTACACATTGCATATATATACGAGTCCAGTATCTTTACGCTAATCCGGGTTTCTCCTTTTTTGTTTTTGTTTTGTTGTTTTTGTTGTTTGGGATTATCGCAGTCCGATTACCTGTGGATATGGCACCTCTTTGGATTGTATAGATAATTCAGTGTACTTGGCGTCAAGTTCATTTTGTATTTTCCCTTCCCCTACTCTATAGCCATCACGGGTGCTGTGGCATCATCTGAATAAACAAAAACAAAATAGACAGCTCGCTGAGTGCAAAATTGCGTCTGACACAAGAAACGATGACCATATTCGGGACTCGCCTCATGAACCTACTGTATCCAATAATAATTACGAGCTACACGGATCGCTTAGGCCACCTGACAGCTTACAGCATCAGAAGAATCAACCGACCAATACCTACAGGGTGAAACAAGGAGTCGCCAGGCTCTTTAAATCGACCGGAAAATTCGGTTTCTTAACCTATCGCGCTACGACTTTGTCCAGCGTTGCCCACAGATGGTGGTTTTTTTTCTTTTTTTTTTGCAAAATTTGCGAAGAGCGAAATTACCTGAGGAAAAAGTAAAGAAAGAAAAAGGTTTAGCTCCTATGGAAACGCAGCGACGCCACCGGTCTGCAAACAACACGGCGCCGTTTCGGACGGGAGACAAGAGATGGCGCAACAAACGCCGCCAACGAACGAGCATACAACGCCGAGAGCAGGCCTTTTCAGCAGACAATCTTTTCGACTCAAAAGCGGCCCGCCTTCTGCTGGCGGTGACAGTCGCAGAAACGAAAAAGACAGGCGCGGTAACAGCAAGGAACTGCAGTTCCTTGTCTGCAAAAGGGCCGGCTCTCGGCGTCGTCTGCTTTTTCGTTGGCGGCAGTTGGCGTCGCAACCGCTTGCGCCATCTCTTGTCTCCCGTGCGAAACGGCGCCGTGTTGTTTGCAGACTGGTGGCGTCGCTGCGTTTCCATAGGAACTAAGTCTTTTTCTTACTTTACTTTTTCCTCAGGTAGGTTCGCTCTTTGCAAATTTTACAAAAAAAAAAAGAGCACCATCTGTGGGCAACGCTGCACAAAGTCGTAGCGCGATAGGTTAACAAAACCGAATTTTCCAGTCGATTTAAAGAGCCTGGCGTCTCCTTGTTTCACCCTGTTTTTCTGTTGTAATGTATTCATTCGTTGTAACCGATATTCGTCAGTGTTAACCCTCACTTACGCCGTGTTCATACCGGCGGTTGAACCTCGTTCGCTAAACAGTTACGAACGCAGTTGCTTAAAGATCCAGTACAATCGCATGCGCATTTGAAGAGGAAAACAAGCGGATCCGCATTGCGTTTGTGATTCCAACGGCAGTCTGAACGCAACTTTACTGTACCCATCTTGGGGTAGTAATTTTTGTAAATACATTAACAAAAAACCAATATTGCTATACATAATTGATTGTAAAAGAATATTTCCGGATAGATGAACTAACTGGATAATTTATTTAACGAAATCTACCATGTATTTGTTTACTGATTCCAAGTGAATAACTTTACAATTGCAGATACTACTTGCAAAATTTGAAACGTTTTATACAAATTAGTATTGTATTGCGCAAAAATGTTTACAATCATAAATACTGCGCTTTGTCTTATGTGGTGGAGTAAAGTCAAAGCTACGAGCTACAAGGTTCAATCACGAGGCAAGTAGAAACTAACGTAAATTCTCGAGGGATGCCCCACCCCCGGAAGATATCCCACCTCTGTTTTTGGCCTTATTTGCTGCATTTTTAATAACCGAAAGATAGCCTACTCCTAGTAATAGTAGTGTTGGGATCAATGATGGCTTTGGCGTAAATGCGGCAAGTTCGCTATAGCGGGATATAAGCGAACGTTGCGACTGGGAAGTACAATTATCCTTCCCTCGTTGCCCCTCGCCATCATAACAAGCTTGAAAGCGACACAACTTAAAAATATGAACTTTTTTAAACTTTTCTTGATTGTACACAAAACGTTAGCCCACTCCATATATTCAACCGATTCTCTCTTGATGTTAGGTCGACTATCTCTCGGGATCAATGTCAATGTTATGTGGGTGCAATATATCACACGCTTTCTGATTGGCTGGTGGCTGGACCCTACAGCAGATAGCTTTGACTGCCTTTCGTCATAGTGCGAGATAAATTGTAAACTAAAATTAATACGATACTTGTTTCATCATTTCAACGACAATAACAGGTACGCCGACAACAGTTGCCCGATCAATTAATGTGTCTTTCCACTCACGTGCAGCTGTCGCCAAAGCTGACGTCGTCCAACGCGATGACATCGCTGGGTCCAGTTCCAGAGCGCACCGCAAACACGAGCTGGCTGTTCCTCTCGTGAGTCACGTCCACGCTCCGACGAACCCAGAAGTCTCCCTGCGGCCCCTTCTGTGACCACAACTCCTCGCCCTCGTCGTCCTCCTTGCTGAACGTCCGGTGCAAGCTAAGCATCAGCACGTGCCTCCCGAACATGTACGTGTGAAACGTGACGACGCACGGCACTCCGCCGGTGACGACGGGGGACACGAGCGTGGCCATCTTGTTGTACCCTTCGAGCTCGCCACCGTACTCGAGATAGGCCCCCGTCGCGTTCGCGGTCGTGTGATCGAACGGCGGTCCCGTGCCACTCTTTCGACGCTCGGGTGATGCTCCACGCTGAAACTTGAGGACGCCCTCAGTCTCTTCGCTTTTGCGTTTACCCAGGCGGAGTTGTCCGGTTCTGCCGTCGTCGAACGTCACTTGTACGTTGCTGCAGCCTTTTTCGTCGCTGCCATCGCCGCAGTCGTCGTAAAGGTCGCACCGCTTACTCGCGTCGACGCAGACGCGACGCGTTTCGCACTGGAACTGCGTTCCCTCGCATGTTCCATCGGGCGGAAGTTGTTTCGGGTAGGCACAGTCAACGAACTTTAACTCGTCTACTGCGAAGAGGGGACCCCCGCTGGACGGAGTCGTGACTTCAAACGCAAGGCGGAACGGTTCACGGCGGCGACCGACGCCGACAGTTACTGCTTTCCATGACTTGGGAAGCTGCCTGGCGGCCTCGCCCTCCCAGAGCACAACATCTTCGGTCACGTTTGAGGCGATTATGAGTCTCGGCGTGATTAGCGGGAGGTAGGTCCAGTGGTAGAAGCTGATCTTGCAGTCGGGCGTGGCTTGTCGGAAGACGGGGCTGAATCGCCGTGCGGGATGCACGATCTCGGCAGCTAGGGGAGACGCTAAGAAAAGAAGGTAGCTACCGGCAGCGTTCTTGAGGGCGTCCGTCGGGGGAACGCCGGTCTTGTGTTGCTTGGCCTGTGCGACACTCATGGCGCGCCACGTGACGCCCGGTGGAAGCGACGGGCTGTACCAGCCACACTCATCGTCGTCTTCGAAATTGCACGCGTTCGGACATCCCACTTCGTCGAAGCCGCCCGGGCAGTCCGCCTTGAAGTCGCAGACCAGGTCCTTCGGTATGCAGCTGTTGTCGCGGCAAGTGAACTCCTCGTCGGTGTCGCACTTGGAACCGGGCTGCACCGTCGGAACCACGCTCGAGCTAGAGATGGAGCACTCTGGCGTGAAGGAAACGTCGTCGACGGCGATGTCGGCAGTCGGCCAGCCCCTCAGGACGACCTCGAACTCACTGGGACTCGACAGCGCAATGTCCGCCTTCTGCCAGGTACTGACGTCTTCACTACCGTGTAGCTCGGCAAGACTGTGATTCCGAGCCGAAACCGACTTGGGAGATACGAAAACCTCCAACTTCGCGCCGTCCGAAATGATGTTCCAAAACCGAATTCTGCACAACTGGGTCGTCGTCTTCTTGAAGGTGAGGCTGCGGATTCCGGCGTGACTTTGCGGGTTAGCGTCCTTCTGGAGAAAAAAGTAATGTCCGGACTCGTTACCGAATGTGTGGTCGAAGTCGGGTCCCAGGCCTTCGGACACCGTGTTGCTGCTCCGAATCTTCCAACGCGACGTGCCTTCCACCATGTCCACGGTCCAGCCACAGGGTCCGCTCTCGAAGTCGCAACGTTCCGGAAACTGGCCACAGTCCTCCTCGTCCGATCCGTCGGGACAGTCTTTGCTCCAGTCGCAACGCTGCGAGGCATCGAAGCAGTGTCCCGAAGCGTTCGTGCAAGGCAGCTTGCCCAACGCAGTACAGTCTTTGCCTGCGGTAGTTCCGTCGGAGCAATTCACAAGACCTATGTCGTCTATGGCGATCCGGGCTCCCAAAGTCGGAAGCTCAGACGAGATTTCCAGAGACCACCCCGGCTTGTCATGTCTCGCGATTCTAGCGCTTGCCTTGACCCACTTCTGGTTAGTATTCCGGTACAGCCGAAGGAGCGCAATCTTGAATGGTTCATTCTTCCGTTGCAGACTGAGCGTCAGAACCTCATCGCCAGGTGTAACGTTAAAGACGAAGTAGTACATCTCAAACAAGCATGCGGAAGAACTTGGCCCGTGTTCGTTCGAACGAAGGACAGCCAATTCAGATTCGGAGCCGTCGCCCTCCTCTACGCTCATGAAAAATCCTTTTCCGGAAACGTCTGCAGTCGGCTCGATTCCTTTCGGACTCCTCCGGAGACGAACCCACGAATATCGTCCGATGCTAACGTCCTGCCAACCGCACGTCCCGTTGTCGAAACTGCAAGTCGCACAGACGGCTTCGTCTGAACCATCGGAGCAGTCATCGACGAAATCGCAGCGTCGCGCGAGGTCAACACACTTGCCATCGGAACAGGCAAACTCCGAGTCCAAACAAGGTTTAACGGTCGGTACTGGGGTTGTCTTGGGAAGAAGAGTCGGAAGGCTCGCGTCCCGGGAAAGCATGCATCCGTCCGTAAATGAGACGTCGTCCACAGCCCACGCCCCGTTTCGATCTTGGCCAGCCTTGGCTTGGATGACAATCTGGAACGTTTCGGTTAAAGAGGAAAGGTTGATCACCTTTCGTTCGTAGTGCTGGCCGAACACGTTGGACGTCTTCCATAAAAGCTTCATCTCGCCAAGGAGATCGAAGCGGGCATACACGGCAAAACTACCCGAGTTGGCACCGTAGAAAGCGTAGTCGAGGTGGGTGAATGTCGTCATATAGGTGTAGTAGAAACGAAAGAAGCACTTGGTTTCACCAGACGAGTTGACAAGCGGGCTGGAGAAAGATGCGACTTTACCGAGCGACCTCGGCGCGAACGGGAACCACAGAAAATTTCCGTAGGCGGAGTTTGCGGTGTGGTCCCTTCTGTCGTCACCAAAGTCCAAGTTGTTTACGCCTTCCTTACGGCGAAGCCTCCATTCGGTGCCAGCCACGCTCCAGTCACAGACGCCGTCCTCGAAGTCGCAACGGCCTGGAAACGCGCCGCAACCCGCGCTCGACGATTCGTCGCTCCCGTCACCGCAGTCGTCGTTGAAGTCGCACAACCGCTTCCGCGACACGCAGTTTCCGTTGGCGCAGCGGAACCGCGAGAACATGGAACAGTTCAAAGGCGGCAAGTATCCCGAGAATCCGCACGACGTAAACGAAAGGTCGTCGACCGCAAATGTCTTGTCCCCCGGCCCAAGCTCGCCAAGCAGCACTACAGAAAACCGCTGAGGAACTCTCGCGATCCGCGCGGTGGCCAATCTCCACTCGTGTCTTCGTATCGTGCCGTTGTGACCCCGCGTCGCGAGTACCGTCGTCTCCCGATGCCGGAATATGCTCTGCACGATTCTCACCTTCACGGTGGATCGGGTGTCAGTCATTGTCGAATAATACCAGAACTTCAAAGTGCAGGATGGAGAGGCGTCGCGTAAGTAAGGGCTCCTGATCTTCGCCCCGGTGACACCAAAAGCTCCGGGTTGAGAAGCAAGCTGAAGGAAATGTCCGCCTGCCGAAAGCGACGTGTGGTCTTCTGTTGGCTCGTTGGAGAGGCTTCCGTTCCGCCTGCTCCAGGCTAGCCGGTTAGAGGAATCCCACTGCGCCGACCACCAGGAGCAATTGTCCCTCTCGAAGTCGCACTTGGTTCCGCAGTGCACCTCGTCCGAACCGTCCGCACAATTGCGCATGAAGTTGCACAGTTTCTCCCGCGTCAGGTGCGTCGTGCCGTTGTCGCAGGTGAACGACGGGTGGTTCGAATCCTCGAGAGGTTCGCATGGACCGTCGGCTACGACGAAATCGTCCACGGCGAGGAAGACCGACTGCAGACGAGGAAACGTAGGTTTCAGACCGATTCGACACTGATCGGATTTCGACGTGAAGTTAAGTTGCGCCTTGACCCAGCGTCCCTCTGTGTCGGCGGCGGTTGCGTACGGAAGCGAGTCGTCCCCACTCGGAGTCCGCAGGATTACGTCGAGCATGTGGGGCTGCGTCCCGTGGTGGTAAACCCAGAAGCTGAAGCACCTGCCGCTGCACCTGGTGAGCAGCGGAGACATCAGACGCGACGGCGGTGCGGTCATGTAGGAGTAGGTCGAGACGACCGCGTACGTGCCGTAGAGTTGGCCGGAGGTGTGGTCGAAATCTGGTCCCATCTGCAGGAAAGAGGCAATCTGGCTGTGATTTGGTTAACCTGCAACATTAATTAGTAATTTAACGGTCTGCATAACATGGTACATTAGTAAGGTAATGCTTTGTGTAACTCAAAACATAATTAACGTAATGATTTGTGTAACAGTCGTAAGAGAGTGGAAAAACGGCAACCACTGCAACGTAACAAGGTAAAAACATAAAAGTTACCAAATACTATAAGGTCAGAAAACGTAGACAATACAGGTGGAATTCACTAACGGCCACAGCTGAGTTCGTTGCTGCTGAGCACGTGCTGACGGAAGGTTTGTACAATACTTCCAGTGCGCACATTCCACACAATTGTGATTGTCTTCGTAGGGAGACCATCAATGAGAAGTCATCCCGAGCATGCACTGCGAGCTGTCACCTCAAATATGGCGTCCAGTGAATACTGCCTATTGAAATTGTGTTTGTTTCTATTTCATGAAGACCCAGGTCTGCCTTCTAAGGTCTCTGACAAGATGAGAGTGACAGAGAGGAGCTTTATTTGTGCCGCCTCCTGCTCAAGCTTTCAGCCATCGGCAGCGCTTGCACATATTGTGCACCTTGAGCGCACATGTGCAACCAGAGCACGCTGGGTGGGAGGGAGCGCGTAGTGGAGGCTGGGCACTCGAAAGACATGCCTTGCTGTTGTTCTTCTGTCTGTGACTACAGCTCGTTTTCCAGGATAGTCTATTCTTCTCGCAACCCTTTTCTTCGTCTTTCTAATTCATTCAGCCGTCTTGTGCTAATCTAAATACAGTCGCAGCGGTAAGGGGATCGGTGGCCGAGTGGGCTAGCGCACACCAGCTCGGAGTACGTGGAGAAAGAAGCTGGCTCTACAGAACCCATGAAACCTGGGTTCAATAGACCCTTTTCGGAATTCAGTGCCATCTGGTGACTCACATGGCAGTTTAACTTTTACCGTACTAATGGCGGCAATGAACCTGTGGTCTGCAGCATTCTGTGGGGCACCGTCACTTTCGCAAGTCAACGGTAAACAAGAACGCGCGCTTCACTGTACAGTTCTTTTGCAATATCTTTCAGTGTCAACGGCGAAAAAGGTGTAACGAGTCAGAACGAAGCGCCAGCCCACATAGACGCTTCGATAACATCCTATGCATCAAGGGGGTTTAAAGCCGAGCGTGTGCTACTAGCAGATGGACTGGGCCCGAGTTAGAAATGAACGCTTACGCAGCTCTTGCATCCAATTCCTGCTTCACGCCGCGCTAACGTCTAAAATGTATAGGCATCGAATATCTGCTTCGGAGTATCTTGAACTTCTTCCTTTATCACTAAACTGAAGGCCGCCATTAGTATAGAAATTTGCCGTTTTTCAGATGATTATAGTGATCAAAGTTGCCAGACTGAATTCCGGAAAGGGTCTATTCACACCCCTGCACGTTTCTATCTGGATGAGCTTCATACCGGCGTGCGGTCGTGTATCACCACCACGGTGTGCGAGTTGAAAACTCCAGTCTAGCAGTCGTACTGCACCGGCTAAACTTCTTATATGCAGTGGTTAAGAATGTCGCCATATTTTGGCAGACTAAACTCTTGCGGTGCAAAATAACTAACGACTTATATTTCTTTTCAAGGCAATAGCTGCGGCACATAACGGCGAAGTCCTTGGGCATTGGCATCACGTTCACGCACCGTTGGGTACCGTGGGGCAGTCGGGCGCGTGAGCAAAAGCGTTCGCAACAAAAGAAAACATCTGTTTTGCTCCAAACGTTTTTGTTTTATTATGTTCTGACAGCTTTTTGATTTTAGTTTATTTCGAGCACTTTTGTTGGTTTTTGTTTGTTTCAGAGCGCATAAAAACATGCCTCCAGGCATGAGCTCTTCTCACTGACGGTGCTATGACGACATTTTAGCAATCGGATATTTTAGAGCAATAGCTGTTATGGGCTCTTCCCACCCCAGAAGTGACGTCCCGCGTGGGTGTTGTAGTTGGAGACGTTAAGTATCTCTCGTCAATTATGCAAATATATTGAAAAAGATGACCCGCCGCCCGCAGGAATCGAACCTCAGTCTGTTGCGTGCGAACCGAAGACGTTACCACTGAGCATAGCCTCCTGTATAGACGCTTTCAGGCAGCTGTGCACGGGAGCCGCCATAGCCGACATTCAGTTTTTTTTTCCTCTCATTCTGTTCGCCTCGCTTCATCACTGCCACAGCAGGACAGGTTATTGCCACTTCAGGTGCTACTTATTCCTTCTCCCCAGCATATGCCTTTGTGGAGGATCGTCAACGCCCCCTTCACTGGCTCGGCATCTCGGTAAGACAAGAGAAGGTCGTCCATGGCGGCTCAATTTGGCGCGTGTTTAAAGCGTCTGTACTGGCAAGGCCTGGCAGGTCGCCACGAGAGACGGCCGCTGAAAGTGGAAAGCTAGAGCGGAAGACAACGAATGAGAGGAGAGGTACGTAATGGGCGGCCTGCTGCGGCGGGACGACAAAAGACACTTGTCCCGTGCGATTGTATGTCCTCTCGTGCTCCTCGCGTTGTTCGCGCTACCGCTTCGTTTCCCGTCAGGTTTGAAAACAATGTTTCGTGTACTCGCCGCTGCAAAGCTACCGCTTCTTTTCTCGTCGGGTTTGAAAACCATGTTTCGGGTCCTCGCCGCTGCAAAAGCTGAGCGCTGACTACAGGATCCCCGAGAAATGCTTCTGTGCTACCAGATCCTCGCGCTCCAAATCTGCGACCGGGCGCTCTATGGCTCCGTCGTCGGACTGCTAGGCTTTGTTAGTATAGAAAGGGCTATGCACTGAGCTACGACACAGCATTGTTCACCTTTATTGTTGAGCTACACCACAGCATTCATAATCCACTCTAAAGTTAGGGCCATTCTAGTAGCCAATGCTAAAGCCTCTTTCTATCCTGGAAATTGGGGCGTCATTCATTGTTGTAGAAATGCTAGAGACACGTGCTGCGCACCACTTCTGGGAAGAACATAGTGTCTTAAATCGAGCTCAGTGCGGCGCTGGGCTGCCACGATCTTCCCAAGGGCTGCACGTTACACATGCGGCGTGCATGGAAGCACCTTGCGCTACTTTTAAGAAATAGAGAGGGTTTAGCGAATGCCCCGTCCCAGCGCGCTCTTGGGACAAAAAAAAAATAGCCTATAACAAAATGCCGTCAGCCCTACGTACGCCAAGAGCTCGCGCTGGGAGACGCACTTTCACGTGCTCCGGAGCAAAAAAAAAAAGAGCCCGAAATTTGTAGTACAAATACCCACGGCACGCGCTCTCCGGAAAAACGCAGATAAATAGCCGATATCAGAATGCGAATGCCGTCGTAGCACCGTCGATGCCAAGGACTCGTGCCAGGAGACGCACGTTCACACACTCCGGAAAAAAAAAGCAACAAAAGCATATGGAATAGTGGTCAGGCGTCTATTTTGTTCCGAACACTTTCGTTCATGTACCCCACGACGTTGCGTGAGGTAGCGACACTGATGTCTAACGACTTTGCCGTAACGTGTCGCAGCTCTCGCTCTGACTGTATTGTGAATGAACCCACACCTGCTCCATTCTTTTTTTCCAGAGAGCGCGAGCAGTGGGAATTGGGGGCTACTAAAACCACAAGTGTAGAGCGTGTTATTAAGGCTGTGGCGTTACTCAGTGATAACGCATCCGCTTCGAACGCAGCGCACCCAGGTTCGATTCCCGCGGGAGGCGCGTCGTCTTTTTCGATGATGTGGGAACTTCGACGACGGATGCCAAACAACGTCAACTCCGTCAACCACTAAAACATTTACAACTACGACGTCAACTACTACAATATCAACAACGGACGTCATTTCTGCTGGTGGGAAGAGAGCATAATATGTTATCGCTGTAAAACGAGGATCAGTCTAAGACCGTCACCCCCTTCGAAAGCGGTTCCTAGACGTCACGGCCGCTCACCACGTTCGATCTTCCGGTGACTCTGTTCCACTGACGGGATTCCGACACCACCGGCTCGTTCTCCCAGAGGCAGAAGTCGTCCTCGAAGTCGCACGTTCCGAGCTCGGGACAGCGCCCACGCACCTCGATGTCGTCCACGGCCACGACCCCTCCTCGAGCGCCCAGCTCAGCCGTGAAGTAGTACTCGAATTCAGACTTCGGAACAAAGTACACGTTCGCTTGCGCCCCGTGCCAAGTGCCCGGCTGCTGCAGTTTGCCGGTGACTAAGTCGACCTTCAGGGGCCACGTGGTCTCCAGGTGGTATATTCCGACGGAAAGTTTGTGGCCTTCGGTGAGCTGGTACCAGAATCGGATGCACAGGGCGCCCTCTCCGAAATACGGGCGGCTATAGACCTCGGCCCAGCTTCCTGCAAAAATAAACACTTTTCCAGCGCACCCCTGCGCATGCGTACACCCTCTTCTTTGGCCTTGCCTTCTGCTCTCGCCATTTTGGAAGGCCACAGTCCCACGCGACCAACGTACTCAGCACCATTCGTTGCACAACTTTCGTATTTCCTGACAATCCGTTTTTTCGCAGCAGCAAAGCATTGAGGCTACAATAACACAATACCGACAGGTTGTAACGAGTGGAGACATGCTTGGCTGTTCTTTATTTGCGGTTCACATGCAACCCTTAGACGGCAATTGACGCTCGGAAATAGTTTATTACGCCTACATATCGGTGCTACTTTTTTTTTAATCCAGTGAAGAATCTAAGAAGCAAATCTAGTTTTAAATTATTTCATCCCTGCGGCTACGTTGGTGGTCATGGTAGCCACTAGAACAAAGTCAAAATAAGGTATTTTAGTCGGTTAATTAATTAAAATGCTTCGATTGACTTTTTCAATGTATATGTTTGGGGGCAAACTTGGGTAATTTACTTTCAAAATAATATTTAATTACAAATGCAACTACTATGTTCTGAAATTATTTGCTTACAATAGGACTACTTGGGCAAACAATCGTACCTGCAAAAAATTCCCGAGAGACCCCCCCCCCCCCTGCCTCCAAAGATAACCCACGCGTATTTTTGCTTGACTTGCTAATCATTTTTTAAACACCGAAAGAAAGCCCTTTCCTGGTACTCGTAGCATTCGGATCAATGATGGCCTTGGCGTAAGTGCGGCTAGTTAGCTATGGCGGAATATAAGCGAACATTGCTTTCTCTGAAGCACAGTCATCGTTGCTATACTGCTCCGTACCTCAATAGCAAGCTTAAAAGAGACACGACCTTAACATTTTTTTTAAACTTCTTTCGAGTGAACATTGAACATTTTTCCTTATTTTCGCTATAATCGCTCTTGGTTTTAGGTGGGCTATCTCTCAGGATATTACGGTAATTCATTACGATTATGAATTGTAGCAAATTAATGCTTACTGTTTCCCAATAACAAATGCAAAAAGATAATAGACATCAAATGTGCAAAGGAGTGTTCTCACATACAGTGCTGCACTACCTAAACGCTGCAAAGAGCTATGACCTTAGCGATGATGAGGCACAAACTTTGTGCTATAGTGCTGATACAACGCAGCTTCACCGTTAATCGTGTCCAAAAGTGCGCCGCGTCAGTACTGTATGTATTGAGTTTATTCAGTGATAAGCTAGCGCTGTACTAAGTTCTCACTAACCTGTATGTTCTCACCGACCTTATGGCTCAAAAGCATCTAGATCCCAATAGACTTGGCACACCCCAACTAAGAAATAATTTGAAGGTTATAAAATAGTTTTAAATTATTTATTTCATTTCAAACGCCTCAAGAAGAATAGAGTGACCAACAAAAATGTTGCTACACCTCTATGACCAAGGTTATCAGAGCAGTCGTTCCTGAATGGCGGTCCGCGGGCACCTTGGAGTGCTTGAAGACCTTTGTGGGGACCCCGAAGTACTTGACCGTCAATCAAGCCGATCAAAAGAACTTCTTTTCTTATGATGCTGCCTTTCCCCAGAACCTAAATAGACCAAACCATGTATGCCAAGTGAAATTATTCGTTTCAGAGTTTCAAAGTTGGTTTGCAAGAATTGAGGAATCTAGTTTTCTTTCTTTACCGTTCTGTCGTTGTAATAATTCAATGCCTCTCGTCCTCCTTAGTAGATAGGATTCCTCACCACTTCCTCCGATCCAGAGGGGGTCCCCCAAAAAAACCGCGGTTGAGAATCACTAATCTAGAGCATCGAAATTCTCGAACTGGGTTACAAAGAACCCACATGTTACACGGAACGCACTCATGGGTTCGCCAGAGCGCCCTCGCGGGTTTCCCAGAGCACCCTCCTGGGTTTCCCCAGAGTGCCATCGTGGGTTCCCCACAGCACCTTCTTGTGTCTCGCCAGAGCACCTTCTTGAGTGTCCACAGAACACCCTCGTGGGTTCCCCAGAGCACCCCCACGGGTTCTCCAGAGCACCCCCCCGGGTTCCCGAGAGCACCCTCGCGGCTTCCCCAGAGCATCCTCGCGGATCTACTAGAGCACCCTCGTGGGTTCGCCAGAGTACCCTCGTGGGTTCCCTAGAGCACGCTCGTGGGTTCCCAAAAGCACCTTCAGGAGTTCTCCGAACTCCCGAGTGTCCTTGACCGTCCCTACCCATAACTGAGGCGTTCTCCCGCTATAAGTGTTGTTTTATAGTCGCTGACAAAATAATCGCTTAAGGGGGGGTGTCTTTCCGATGCCCGGCCACTGGCACGTGCTGCATACCTTCCGGCGAACCTGCCATTGCCGTGCTCGCGCGCTCGCGGTCCACGAGATGGTAAAGCATTGTGGAAGGTAGGAAGCTCGCGCTGGAGCCGCAACAAATGAAGCTCCTCCCTGTCGGTCCCACCCAGTCAGTAATTATAGCAGATTTAAGACAACCATCACTGTTGGCCTCTTGGGTCGCACTAGGGGCGCTGCGAAAAGGGTCTCATTATGACTTATTTCGGGAAGTACAAACGTGAGTGCCACAAACTGACATTCGCAGGCGGAAACAAAATGAGAATAGACTATACGTCGTTGCTAACGGAACGGAGAAACAATTTATTGTCTTCTACGAACCGAGCGTTGCAGTAAAGTGCGACTGAACGCGGGTGAGAAAAAGTGGTTGTGTTATTTTGCGTTAAAAGCCATTAGTAACTCGAACTTCTGTTGCTTGCAAATCTCAAGTTGTTCTGCTTGCGCACAGAAGCTAACATGGACCAGTTGATGAAGGCGTTCTAAGGGCAGGTACACTAGAGACTTCATGACCTCTAGCATTATTTGAACGTTGGTAAGACGTTCACACTAAAATATGGCACGATTGTGACCTTGCAAACGCATAAAAACATCTAATTGGACGACTCTTCGAAATCAGGTAAACGTTTCCTGAAGCTGAATAAAAGTTTCAGAATAACCGATCCTGGGGATCACACGACGTTCGCCACAAAAGTTGACCACAACGAAAGGCCAACCTTTATGTCGCCCACAAATTGCCACCATCCCTCCCACCAAAGGCCAACACAAATCGTCACGCGTACCTTGAGTGGCTTTCTTTCCAAACGTGTCGACTGCAAGCACGTGTCCCCCGACCGCTCCGAGGGTGTGGTCCCGCTTTCCGACGCTCACCAGTGCCGACGTCCTCTGCCAAAATGGTCCAGGGTCGCCGACGACCGCCTGCCATCCGCACTCGTCGCCTTCGAAGTCGCACAATGCCGGAGGAGGACACTCGCCTACGTTGACCGCAATGTCGTCGAGTGCTGTCTGACTCCCCAACCTCGCCTCGGCGGCAAAAGCGAGATACACGACTTGATCCTTGCCGAGCGAAACCTGCGCGTAGTTCCACTGCGGGCCCTTTGGCCCCGTCGTCGTCCAGTAGATAGTGGTGGCATTCGTCGCCGCGTCCCTTCCGAACAGACGGAAACGCGAAGCGAGGGTGCCCTGCCGGTAGTACCAAAACTTGACACAAACTCCGCGGTCTTCCGTCTGCAGCGGGTACTTGCTCTCGAAGGTCGTGGTTTCGGATTGTGATGTGATTAGCTTCACTGTGAAAAGAAGGTAGGTTCCGTGGACGGACAGGGTTGTGTGGTCCGTTCGCGGCATCAACGTGTGGAGGTCCTTGTAAGCGTCTCCTTGAGTTCGCCGCCAGAAGGACAGACGCGGGTCGCGGGTGCCATTGTGCCAAGCGCAGTCGTCAAGCTCGAAGTCGCAGTCCAATGGGTGAGCAGGGTACGTCATAGCGGTTGGGTGGACCGGGCCTTCTGGACCTTTTTTGCAGGAGCCGCGGAAGAACTCGATGTCGTCCACGGCAATGGCGGCTTTCAAGGCGGAGCTGTAGTTTGCGTACGTTTCCGCGACCAGTCGGAAGGCTAGGCTGGATATTCCTGGCCCTGCACAACAAGAAGGAGTTTCTGTAAAGCCTGCCTCGTGAGTACAAGAAAAAGTCTCGCCGCCATTGCAGTTGAATGCTCCGAAACCAATTTAAAGGCTCGTTTACACGGTGGCGTTTGACAACGTTTAACTGCATTAGGTTGACATATGACTGCGAGTTTTCGGGATATCCATACTTTGTATGCAGCATGCAAATTTACTTCTCGAATCAGTTGCATGATTGGTGCAAAGTATGGGTGCCCCAGGAAACTTTTGGTCATTTCAGAAAGTCCTCAAGACAGAGTTGAAAGCAGAGAGAAAAGTTAAACATTTTAGCATACCTTCGTCGTATCTAGTAAATTTAGATACGCACAAAATGTGTTGTACGTCTCCAAATTATGTCATGCAACGCCATGGTTTCATGTGATGCGATAATGTCATGCGATGTCAAGTTATTAGCTAATCTCATGGTGTGACGTGATCCACATCTTGTGAATCACGGGCGTCAAAATGTCAAATTACATCGTAATGCCATGATACGTTGCAGTCATGTGACATCACAATTTCACGTGATTTTTTAAGTGATATAAGAGTGACACATGACGTCAGGATGAAACACAACCTCACGGTGTAACACGATACATTGACCTGTTCCGTTTGAGCGTAACGCTAAAAGACGGCCTTATTTTCTCAGGAAATCCAGCAATATAAAACATCCTGTTTTAAACAAAATGTTACTTTAAATTAAGGGGCTGCTATCAAAATGAGCACAACGTTATCTGGAACATATTCGTAACACGGGTTGATCGTCACAAGTATAACTTCATCTTATCTGTTACGGGCAGTTTATGGGCTTAATACTCCTCCAGCTTTGTAGAAATGTTCGATCATATCTTCTGGTTTTTGTAGACAACTAAGCTGAAATTTAATGCCACTCCTTACTTCTTCAGTTACAGTGTCACCTATGATAGGTGGCACTGTATCTGCAACTAAATCACACATTCTAACGAGTTGTCTTTGTCGCGGCATGTTTTCGTCGGCTGGACAGACAAGGGAGGACTGTGAATGGAGCACTTTTGTCTCACACATAATTGTTTTTCCTTTTAAACTGCGCTGCCAAGAAGGCAAAGACAAACTTGAGACAAGGGAATAACGACATGAAGAAGGGAATAAAGACGTGTCATTATTCCCTTGTCTCACTTTTGTCTATGTCCTCTTGGCAGCAAAGTTTAAAATCAATTATGAACAACCAACTCGCCCCAACCAAGCTTTGGTAAGCAGTTACACACGCCTGGCATGAAGAAGTCGTCGCGTTTTTAACAATACATAAAAGTCTCCTTACAAAAAGCAAAAAAAAAAACACTGTAAACGACTAAATTTTCGCGGGCTCAAATTTGCGCGAATCGGGCCAAAGCTGAAAATTTGAAATTATTCGCGGGTCCTAATTTTCGCGAATCGAGTGTAGCTTTTATGGCGTTCACATATTGTCCGAATTGTACGCCGGATGTGTTTTTCGAATCGTAAGCGATTCGCGAAATTCGCAAAAATTAGGTCCTCGCGAAAATTTTATTGCGTACAGTATATATATATATATATATATATATATATATATATATATATATATATATACTGTAAACAAAACTTTTATCGCGATATACAGTATATATATATATATATATATATATATGACTATCAGTTTAATGTTTAACTGGAAGAAATACATTTTTATTTTTGAATGCATTTTAACAACAGTAAAGATGCGGATTGCGTCACCGTAACCGTACCGTGATGTCATCGGCTAAATTTCAGTGGCTAAAGTTCAAAGCGAATTAGTGGACTAATGTCCTGCTAAATTTAATGGGACAACGCACAGCGCCCAATTTAGTGGGACTACACACACTGCTAAATTTAGTGGGAGAACGCGCACCACTAAATTTCGTAGGACAATGCACACCACTAAATTTCCTGGGACAACTTACACTGCTATTGACACACACTACAGCGCACTTCATCGAAAGTACCCTCACGCCGTACAATCACTCCTTACACACTAAAGAGAAACGACAAGTCAAACGAAACGCGCTGACTCACTACACATTTTAGAGCGCAGCTCTTAGGCACCAGTTTCCGGCTTGAGCGGCGTCGGCGTCGCCGTGGGCGTAACCGCGCGGAGCATGATGGGTAAATTCCTCCGCGAAATTTGGTGGAAATATTTCCCCGCTAGATCTAGCGGAAAATTTACCCCTAAATTTTGCGGAAAATGTTTCTCTAAATGGGGGCGAGCAGGAGAGGAGGAGGGACATAGCCTCCTCTCCGTACCTTCCCCTCCTCCTCCTCAAGAGCTGCGCTTTAATTCGGCGTTACAGCGAATTGTAAACGGCTTTCATTTTTTTTTCATACTTCGTCGTTTCCAACGTCTGGAACAACCCAATTTCTCGAATCACGCGAACCTACCTTCTAGACGCCAATAAAAGTTTTTATTTTTCAGTCAGGTTCAAATATGGTGTACAAATACAGTTTTTTTTTTTATATAACTCCTGATTATGTATTCAGCTCCCAAATTTTACTAGTTAGTTGATTACTGTGCGTACCTAAAATTTTACAACATGACAGGTGAACCTCGCACCTCGCGCCTCGCATTGGAAAGAAAAAACCTTATTCTGAGAAGAAAGGTATGTGCATTGGGTTGTGCATAGCTCCAGTTCTAAGTGATTTCTACCTCGCCCACCAGGACAGACTACTGAACAATTGCCTTGACTCCGCCAGAGTTTCCAGAGTATTTCGGTATGCTGACCACTATTCAATAATTCTTCACGTTGAGAACGGCAATTTTCCAACCACTGTGGCCAGCGTTCTTTTACTTTTCAAAAAATGCCTGGATCCATTGAACGTTCCTTATGAGGCTCCGCAAGAACGATCAATCAGATCCTGATATCTCAGGCTCCATTTCTTCCACAGTCACATATGCTGGATATATGAGCCAAGGGTGAAAAGTAAATGGTTCTTCTCTTCAACTAAACACATTCTAAGCTGGTAATAAGAGGTATCGTAAAATTATTTCTGAACAACTCGCTTCAAAAATCTTGCGAGCGCTTCATTTCAGTAAGCTTTGATGCGCAAATTCCAGGATTAACATCTGCCGGATACCCTATTTTTTTATTAACATCGACTGCAGAGAGCATCCCAGAAACCAAATATAAAGGAACATTTGTCGCACCAACAGCCAGGGATAGAACAACGAGACCAGTCCTTTTGCCCGACATACAAAGGTTCTCTCATGGCATGAAACAAATATAGGTTTAACATTGGCGTCGTCTCCTCTGCTCCTATTAGGCTTTCCAACCTGTGCAAACAAGTAAACTCACCTCATTCCCACCGAACGGTAACCTGTACCAAGAGACATCAGAACCGCTTCGTCAAGTGTGCAGAAGAAGTGGTGTATTTGTTTCCCCTCTCATGTGGGAAAGTGTACAGAGGGCAGACAGGATGATGCCTTAATAACAGGCTCCGAGAACACAAACAAATAGCACCGGAGCTAATCCTGGCCACTTGGGCATACACTACAGCGATTATGGGTGTGAGGTTTACCTGCCATGTTGTATCATTTTATGTAGGCAAGTAATCAACTAGTTAGGAGAATTACTGAAACTGAACTCATCGTCAGGAATTATAAAAACGTTATTAGTACACCATCCTTGAAACTCTCAGAAAAAAAAATGTTCTGGCTTCTGGGAAATAGGTGCGCATGACGTGGGAAATTCGGTATTTTGAGACGTAGAAGAATACAAATTATATAAAAATTAGCTGTGAGTAAGCGCGTTTTGTATGATTGTTTCTTTCTTTTTCGTGTGTAAGGAGTGAGCGCACGCCGTGAGTGTGGTTTTGCAGTAGTGCGCTGTAGTGTATGTTATTATCACCAACCAACTCGGCCAAGCTGCTACGTTAGCACACTGCTAAATTTAGTGGGACGCGCACGCTGTTAAATTTAGTGGGACAGTGCACACCACTAAATTTAATGGGACAACGCACACAGCAACATTTAGTGGGAAAACGTACACTGCTACATGTGGTGAAACAAAGCGCACTTATAAGTTTAATGGAAGACGTACACCGCTAAATGCAGAGAGACAACACATAGAGGTAAACTTGGTGCCAAAACACACCGCTAAATTTTGTGGGACAACGCACACCGATAACTTTAGTGGGACAACGCGCACCGTCAAACCTCTTGCGACTATGCGTACTGCTAAATTTAGTGGGGCAATGCACACGGCTAAATTTAATGAAACAACGCACACCACTCAAATTAATGGGTAACGCACACCACTAAATTTATTGGACCAACGCACACAGAAAATTTAGAAATAAAACGTACACTGCTAATTTTAGTGAGAAAAAACACACCGCGAAGTTTAGCGGGACAGCGCACAACACTAAAGTTAGAGGGAAAATGCACACGATTAAATTTGGTGGGACAACGCGCACTGCTAAATTCCGTGGGCCAATGTGCACGAATAAATTCAGTGGGACAATGTACACGAATAAATTCAGTGGGACACGCACTGCTTAATGTAGTGGGGTAAGATAGACTGCTAAAATGAGTGGAACAACGTTCAATTCTATATTTAGTGGGACAACGCACACCGCTGAATGTAGTGGTCACACAGCTAAATTTAGTGGGACACTGCACATCGCTAAACTTGATGGGACAACGCACACAGAAAATTTAGTGGGAAAACGTACACTGCTACATGTGGTGAAACAAAGCGCACTCGTAAGTTTAGTGGAAGACGTACACCGCTAAATACAGAAAGATAACGCATAGAGGTAAATTTGGTGACAAAACACACCGCTAAAGTTTGTGGAACAACGCACAGCGACAGCTTTAGTGGGACAACGCGCGCCGTAAAACCATTGGGACAATGCGCACTGCTAATTTTAGTGGGGCAATGCACACGGCTAAATTTAATGAAACAATGTACACCACTAACATTAATGGGTAACGCACACCACCAAATTTATTGGGATAACGCACACAGCTCAATTTAGAGATACAACGCACACTGTCATATTTAGTGGGACAAAACACACTACTAAGTTTAGCGGGACAACGCACACTACTAAAGTTAGTGGGAAAATGCACGCGGTTAAATTTAGTGGGATAACGCCCATTGCTAAATTTAGTGGGGCAATGTAGACGAATAAATTCATTGGGACACCCACTGCTAGATGCAGTGGGGTAAGACAGACTGCTAAAATGAATAGAACAACGAACACTTCTATATTTAGTGGGACAACACACACCGCTGAATGCCGTGGTCACACCGCTAAATTTAGCGCAAAGCCGCTGTAAGTCGCGTGATCACGTGGTTTGAGCTATCAGGGCTGTGGTCCAAATCTAAACCCAAATGAATACGGTTACTAGGGTGGGTCGTGTCATGTGACAACACAGATCGAAAAAACGCTGGATGTGGGTATGTTTTAGAACGACAAGGGACAAAACCCTTACCCTGGAGTAAGATCGAGCATTTTTTTTAGCCCGGCCTATGAGTCACGTGGTCACATAACTTGTGGTATTACGTGTCAGATGATTAGGTGGCGTGTTTCAGGTCTTGCCAGGTCACGAGACGTGATGATGTCATATCATTTAAGGTACAAAGCCATGGTGTCACCTAATGTCGCGGTGTCAAAGTTTTTTTGTGTTTAGTAACGTTGTGTGTCAAGCCGTGGTCAATGAGACGTCAGGTCACATGACGTCAAAATGTCATCGACTCTTTGACGTGACGTCGAGTGCACCTTGAGTTGACATCGTGATGTGACAATGTGACGCTCCCAGATTTTTATATATACCGATGAATACAGGACCTTTTGATGGCAGATCAAAGGAGAGCCTTGATGTTTTTTTACGAGTGCGTTCTTCCTTTTTAGTGTCTCTAACGTTTAGCGTCCCGCGAGGCATTGTATTGGGACCTCTCCTTTTTCTTATCTTTATAAATGACTTACCCCCTTCTGTTTCATTTTCAATTAGCCTGTTTGCCATTGACTGCGTTTTATATCGCTAAGTGACTAATGATTTTGATATTGCCGCGCGCAGGGCCGAACAAGCAACGCTCGGTCAAGGAATTCTATAAGGCTCGCGTTTAGTCTTGCTCGGGGTGTAACTTTTTTACTAATTTCTTGTTTTCGAAAGTACCTGTTTCTTCTTGCCCCAAGCGCGCGACGCTCGAAGCTTCTTTGTCGAATTTTCTAGATAGTCACACGCAGTAGATAAGAAGCTGCGCGGGACCCTCTCGAGTCAGTCTTGCTCTTACTTGCTGCTACGCTGCCAAATTGCAGCCCGCTTTCTGCTGCCTCGACGCTCCTTTATTTTGTTTGTCACAAGTTCGACGATTAAACATATATTTTCAGTTCACTGTTCATATTCCCGTCGCTTTCGTTCGTGACAACATCTCTTGCCTTCAATGTGACCTTAACCGTATTTATCTGAATGGTGTACCGAGAGGGATATGAAACTTAACACTAACAGCTGCAAAATATTGAGGGTTTCTTGAACAACTGATAATGTCTCATGCTACAACCTCCACCAAACTCCTCTACAATAAGTATCATCCTAAAAATATTTGGGCGTTCATATCTTATATAATTCATCTTGGGAAACTCATAATCAGTACATAACAAATAATGCCAACCGTATGTTAGGTTTTAATAAAAGCAATTTTGCATTAGTCTCATCTCTAAACCTGTTTCTTTGCAAAACGCTCGTACGCTCTAAGCTGAATTATGCCTCTTCAATTTGGAACCTTGCTACCGACGTACTCACATCAGCTCTTCAAACAATTCAGAACAGATCTGTTGGTTTCATTCTTACTAAGTTTCACCACACTGCCAGTGTAATATTATCGGAATTAAGTTTGAACCTCCTTAACCTTGCATCAAGTCCAGAACTTACCCTTTTGTGCCTGTTTCAGAAAATTTACTGTCGTAATCCTCCTTGGCGTGACAAGTTACTAACACCCCCTTTCTATACATCTTAAACTCTCGGGCATCCACAGAAGATGCTCGAGACTACAACTTTTTACAACTCATTGATAACCCAAACCACACTTTTATATAACCACCTTCCAGCGTCTGGGACATCTATATCAGATTTTATCGCTTTTAAGCAATGCCTTAACCGTGTTACCTTTAGCCATTTCATTAATATATATTTTTGCATTCTTAAGACTGCTTGTTCCCCACTCCCCTCTGCAATTCCCTCGGGCCCTTAGGGTATTTGGAATAAATGAGTGAGCTGGGAGTTTAACAAGTAACTAATTAAAAAACTTTGATTCGAGCGTAGAGCGAAATTGGCAAAACAATCTTCCGTTTCAGTATGAAATTAATTCTAAAAAGCCAACTGGCCCTACTCAAACTTTTTCAATTGAAAAACTTTCTCCTGCGTGAGGTATCTACAAACCAAAAAAAAAAAAAAGAATGCCACTTGCCTACATGAACGGAGGTGCGCATCTGCGTCCATTTTGGGGCTCCTCTGATCCTTGTAACGTTCATGGAAGACGCCTTCTCTCCCCAACTCATCCTCTGCAGCACCAGACCAGTGTTGCCACCGTCCGTCACTACGTACCACCACACGAAGCAGTACTCTTCGAACGGAACCACGTCCACCTCGTCCGAGACCAGAATGGCCTTGTCGCCCCTCTTCAAGTTCGTGATGGCCGCCAACATGTAGCTTCCTTGTTCCGCAGACGTCGTCGCATCTTTCGATGGACCCGCGAACTTTGCGCCGACGGATCCGGTCACGCTAACCCACAAGAAGTCCGACTCGGCTTCATAGTTCACCCAGCCGCAGAGGCCGTCCTCGAAGCTGCAGGAGATGGTGTTCTCGCAGGAATCGAGACTAAGCTGAACGTCGTCCAGCGCAACGTAGCTTGCTTCGTCGTCGTCCTTTGTCGCACTCGTCGTCGTGAATGCTTCGAAGACGATGTGGTAGTTATTCAGCCTCGGGAGCGCCGCATGACCCTTGCGCCAAATGCCTAGGTGGTCCCCGGACCGGCGCCATACAGGCTTCAGATTCTCGCGTCGCGCCGACCCGTTGACCGTCTGGTAGACCGAGAGTTCGCCGGCTTTTGGTCCCGCCATGTTGAACCAGAACCGCAGACAACGGTCACCCGCCGATTCGTAGCGTGGCGACGTCAGCCGGGCCCTGTCTCCCTGACGTTTCGGAACGGCCAATGCAAAGTAACCGTCGGCACTCTGCAGGGTGTGATCTACGAATGGCGCCGCTCCGGCCGCGGTCTGACCGTTCTGTCTCGTCCAGCCGAGAGTAAGACCTTCTGTGGTCGGCGTCCAAGTGCAGAAGTCCGTTTCGAAGTTACAGAATCCAGCACGACGACAGGGACCGGCTTCGAGAAGTACATCATCTACGGCAACAGAGGCGTCCGTCAAGTTGTCGGTCAGCGGAATCGCGGAGATGTTGAAGAGATATGGTTCGCCGAATGCCACGGGCAGCTCGCCGTAGTTCCATCCGCCCGGCACGAATCCCGCTCTTTCGAATCGCGTTGAGTTCCCGGATTCGGTTTCGGCTTCGACCTCGAGGCTGACGAGGTTGTCGTGGCTTTTCCAGTACCAGAAGCTGAAGCAGCTCACGTCGGACATGGCCCTGGCGACGCGAGGGCTCTCCATCCAGGCGCTCTCGTCTGCGGAAGAGTTGCCCTGTCGGAAGAAGGCGTAGCTCGTCTTGCCGCCGAAGTGGTCTGCGGTCGGACCCGCCGATCCGTCGCTGGCTGTGGCGTTTCGGATCGTCCAGCCGTTTAGTCCCGTCTGACTCGTATTCCAGTGACAGAAGCCGCCGTAAAAACCGGGGTCGTCGAAGTTACAGTCGACCAACACCGACGAGGGACGGCAGTCGTCGAACGAAATGTCGTCTACAGCGACGAAACTGTAGCCGATAAAATTGGCCACCAACCTGATCTCAATTCTCGCGTCGTCGCCGTTGTATTGCGGAACTACCATCGTGTTCAGTTTCCATTCGTTTAACGGTGACAGTTGCGCAAGTAGAGTCGCGTTATTGCCCGGCACGAAGTGTCGAACAGTCAGCGGCATGGTGTCTTTTTTGGTAGTGTAGTAGGACCACAGGTGCATCTTGCAACGGGACGACGCGGGAGGCATGGGTGGTCCCACCAGAGAGGCCTCCGTGTGCATTCCGCCCATTACGCTCGCCGGGCTCATGAAGTGTCCCTCTCCCGACCCTTTAGTATGATCCTTGCTTGGGTCCACACTGTCCTTTCCCTGCTGCCTCTCCCATACGACGGGTCCCTTCCCCGCGTCGGACCAGCCGCAAGTTCCGACTTCGAAGTCGCACGGCCCGCAGCCGTCTTCGTCCGACCCGTCGGGACAATCCGGCTCGAAGTCGCACACTTGTTCGACGGGGATACAGCTCCCGTTCCGACAGGGAAACTGACCTCGTCTGCACTGTGGAAGCGGCGGAGGAGGGGGAAGCGGCAGCGTTCTGTTGTACGGGACGCATCCCGGGCTCAGCGAAATGTCGTCGATCGCCAAGTCGGATGCGTAACCGCCTCCCAGCGTTCCCTCGAGGACGAATCGGAAAGGCTTGTCGCTGTGGTACGGCACCGCGGCGCGAATCCATAGTTGACCCCTCTCGCCCGTCACCTCCCAAAGTTGTTCCCAGTCCGTCCGGTTTGTGTTCTCTTGGCGCTGCGCGAACACCCTGATTGCACCGACGTCCTGTCCGTACAGGTAGTAGAAGAACCTCAAGAAACAGCCTCCGTCAGACGTCTTGTAATTTGGGCTCTTGTATTCCGCCGAGGAATTAAAATGTTCTGGACGCCGGGCGCGGAGCACTAACACCTGTCCGCGACCCACGGCTCCGACCGTGTGATCGATGTAAGGTCCTGTGTCGATGTTGGTCCTGCTGTAATCCGCCGACATGCTCTGCCACGTCGCGAGCTTCCTGTTGTTTCCCGGAGTGACGGTGATCCAGTCACATGCTTCCCTGCCGAACTCGAACGTGCAGCCCGTATAGTTCCTGCACACTTCGGACAGCTCATCGGACCCGTCGCCACAGTCATCCGTATGGTCGCATATGAGGTCTTTGTGAATGCAGACGTGCTTTGTCAGGCACTGGAACGAACTAGGCTCGTTGCATGGCGTCTTGTCCGGTTTTGGCAGTGCGCAATCTACGAAATCGACGACGTCTACGGACACGGCGGACGGATTCCGCATCATCGGAACGAGCTCGAACGAAAGTCCGAACTCCGAGCGGCTGCGTCCGACGGACACCGCACCCTTGTGCCATACTTTTCCGCCGTCTCTTTTGGTCCTCCAAATGACCGGCTTGAACTCAGTCACAAACTTTCTGACCTGGAAGATTGCGTACTGCGCGGTCGGCATGTAGTACCAGAACGTCATCGTGCAGTCTTTACCGGAGCGCTTCAGCGCGTGAGTGCCATTTGGACTCCTCAACACAGCGCTCAACAGCGTCGCATTCTTTGGTCCCGACGCGAACACGTAGCCTCCATTCGTGGTGCCCTTACTCACGTCCTCGTTCGGCAGGAGCAGGTTCATCGGCGAATACTTCCCGATGGCTCGATACCACTCGGCCGTGCCTGGCTGGCTGAACCAACCGCACAGGTCCGTGTCGAAGTCGCACTGTCCGCAGAGTTGCTCGTCGTCGCCGTGGCCTGGACAGTCCTTCTTGAAGTCGCATACTTGCGAGAATTCGATGTGGTGCTCACCGTCTTTGCAGTCGTACTTGCCCTTCACTGTATTCTTGCACGCACCTTGGGAAACACTGATGTCGTCAAGTGCAATGTCGGCGCTACGCGCTCCTCCCGTGGTCCCCACAAACCGAATTGTGAAGAAGTTGTCCATGTCTTTGACGGGATCGAGCGTCATCTGCTTGTAGATCCAGCTGTTTCCTTGTCCTCCTTGGAGCACGAAGTGGGGGATCCTCTTTTTGTCGTCTTTGTCGTGAACGGTGACGATTCGCAGCGAAGGGACGTCTGTTCCGTTCTCAACGTTTATGTGGGCCCAGAAGGAGAGGCAGTAAGGGACGCCAGCGAACCAGGGCTGTGACACGAGCACACCAGTCAGCGTCTCGTTGGCTTCCACGCTCCTGCCATCAAGATAGACGTAGGTTCCTGCGTAAAAGCAAGACGGGTTTCAAGATTTAGTTGCAAGACCTGATTACATAAAACACCAACAAATATAAAAGATGGTTGCTGTGGGACTAGCTACGATGCTTCAAAGAATCCAGTGAGCGCAATAAGGCAAAATGCGGACTGCAAAGGAAAAAGAAACATGTCTCATAAGGAAAGACTTGATTGAAAAAAATGAGTGAAATAGTTCACAACCCGACTCTGCTAAAAATCAATATTACCACATTTCCGGTTTATAATCCACATTTTTTTTATAAATCGCATCCCCTATAAACGGCTGTTTTCAGAAACAAAAAATTGCATTGATCATTTTGATGAACCCGGAAACCAGACGATGCGTTGTGCGTATATCAGGGCTAGGCAGCATCGCGATGCGAATGTATCGCGATAGTAAATTAGGGATATTTTCGAGTCTCTGTATTTTTTTATTCAGACACTCTTGAAAAAAGTATTTGTATCTCAGGGCAGAAAAACATTTACAGTGTATCCCTTGTATCGCGATACTTTGCCGGACTCAGATTTCACGTTACATTTGTTGTCGTTTTTACGATGAATATAAAATATTTCAAAAACCAGCTTGGTGCAAGGTGCTTCAGAATTTCTGACAGGAACCCGCCCTATCATCCATCGCAGTTACCAACGTTAAAATAACAAAGAAATGGTATTTAAATAAGGTTCCTTGCCTGAATAACAGAATTAGCTTCTCCCACGAGCCCTTCCACTTATTTTAATTTAGCACAGCGATCCAATTTAGCACAGCGAACGCTGTAAAGGAGTTGAGTGGTGAAAAGGCATACGGCTTTATTCTTTAATGTCACCATACTATTGGTGACTCAGAAGCATATAAGTAGGGTTGTTCATTTTCGGTTTTTATTTTCATTTCCATGTCCGTGACATCATTTCCGGAAGGGGGGGAAACCGATTGAAAACTTTGGGAGTTTTGAACCCCCAAACTAGGGGGCAATGTGAAACGAGGACACACGGAGAATCCAAGAGAATGGGGTCGCTGCCGAGCACAATGAGCCAAAACACGTAATCGCGAGTAATAAGGTTGTGCTTCTCGAAAAAATAAGCGGACAAGGAGGTATACACGAGGTTTCGGGTGGACGCCCTTCCTCGGGTAACAGACGCGAAAGACGGCAAGAAACAGGCAGGGGTCGGACACGTCACAAAAATAGGGGTAGGTACATTGGCCGAGAGGGAGGAGAAGGCGAAACCGTCAGAAGACGGAGTACAACCTCTTCGTCTGTCATCTAACGCAGTTAAAAAGATGCAAAGGAAAAGCCGGGGCGCGTAAGTGCCACGGGATCCAGAACTCGCCTTGCGGCGTCTTCCGCGAGAACAAGACGCCCAGAATGACCCTCGGGGGTACCCGGCCGCCACAACCACGACCACAGCGGTTACGACGGGCGGACGCGCGGTTAGGATCAGTTCGAGGAAGCCCCCCACCCTGGGTATTGGGTGACGCGTGTTAACTTTTAGAAAAAATACATTTTCGTAAACAGCAGTGGGGACAATTTATTGCTACTCGTTTTGAGGTTTATTTATTGGCCTCCGAGTCCCCGAAATCGCACGTGCGGGACGGCCGTTCCCAAACCGGCACGAGCACAAGAGATCAACGTCCGGATCCCCCCCCTCCCACCCCGAAAAAAGAAGAAACGGGCGTTTTGAAACATTTGGTAAACCCTCTCAACCAACCACCCCCACCCCCCTTCACCCCCCACCCCCCGTTCCCTCCCCCTCCCCCCAACCCCCACGGCAACAACCTCCTCATGAGGTTGTTCCCACTACATACAACATGGTACAGGATAAAGAAGCCGGAATGGCGAACTGACGCAAAGAAAAAACTCTACTGGCGAGAGGAAAGGATGCACGAAAGCAAGCGGTTAGGCTCCTAACAGAAAGCAGAAAAACGGGGGTAGAAAGGATATTCCATGAAATCGACTACGCCACAGGAGAAGTGGCAAAACCGCTGGGGGGCGACCATCCCCGGTTACGCCGTCAAAGTCCCGAGCGATCATGCACTCGCGCACCGCAAGTGCCGATCGTACGGCTGTGCAGGCGCGCCCGTTGCCTCAACTTCGCAACCAAGAAAGAAAGAAAAAAAGAGAAAAGAATTTTGTCTTTAAACGTGTAGAAAAAAACATTTAGACTAATACGGAAATTTAGTACGCGAAAAAAAGTTTGGTGTTGAGGCCAAGGGGGAATTCTGTTTTGAGGTTGAAGGTAAGACGGTTTTCCTCTCTCTTTCGCACGTGGGAGGAGGGGAAGCCTGATCTGATGACACAGACGCCCATGTTTAGTTCCGTATGGCCGGAAGTCGATGGAGACACGTCAATGGAGACACGTCCATCAGAAAAAAAAAATAAAAACTTATCGGGCGTTAAACCCATAGAGTTATTATAATGTACGCTAAAGGTTCAACTGGCGCTAGTGTCTATGCAACTTCCGTGACGCAAATTGAAGCAGACAGCAACCAGTCTACTTTTGCGGTGCTCCTGTGCATTCCTATGGGAAAACGCGCATGCATTTTTCCTCTTCGCCGGAAAATAACACGGAACACTTTGGTTATTTGGGTCGTACCGAAAAGTATGTACCTTGATTAACACTGTGAAAGTGTAATTGCTTCAGTTAGCGCATTTTTTTTCATCTGTGAACGACGTTGTACTTCGCTACATTTCAGTCCCAAACGTGTGTTCCGCAGCAGGTGTGTAAAAACAAGCGACGATTCAAAGCAAAATTACAATCGAAAGGAATATAGAGTGTGTTCAATGCTCGCCAGCATTCCGGTGACGCTTATACATTGATAATATGCAAGTCCTGTCACTATATGAAAATGACCCCGTCGTGCATGAGCAGATAAACACATTCAAAACGTAGAGAATAAAGTCCGTGGGCTATGAAAGGTGTCTCTTCGTATTGTTTTCTCTGCCGGGCAGCTTTTATCGCGCACTTGTTCTCAAAGATATCGAGCGCGCAGGTGATATTTTGAACGTAGAACACGCAGCTTCGCTCAGGGCAGAAAGAATAAAGCGGTACTTACTTATTTAAAATCCGAATTGATTACGTGGCCTTCAATTTATTTTGATCGTACATGCACTGCGAATTACTGATCCAGTGTTACTGCGTAGTTTTTGCCGCCGCTCTTGATTTTCCAGATGTCCTCCGTTCGTTTGGCATGTAATATCCCCCATGCTGGAAATCGCCGACGCCGCGTTCGCGCTAACAGTGTCCGACAGTGCACATAAATACACGTACGAAGCCGTGAAAGCACCGTTTTTAATGCGATGAATTCGAAAGAAAAACGCCGTAACTGACCAATTCTTTCGTCGGCCTGACTGAGCAATGTTCCAAACTACCTAGTACGTACGAATTATTTGGGATATTTGCTCTTATGATCAAGCGCAGGGAGAAAATGCACTCACTTTTTCCCATAGAAATGCATTACCGGAAGTCACTTTTGGACTGGTTGCTGTCTGCTTCAATTTGCGTCAGCACACTAGCGCCACTTGAACCTCTAGCGTATATTATAATAACTCTATGGTTAAACCAGTCGCTGACAAAAAAATAAAGCCCGAAAACGAACAATCCTACATATAAGACGATAGTTCGAGCTGCGCCCTCTCGGACAAACAGGGTGTGTTTCGTGCGAACGCCTTTCGTCAAGCATGGCACGCAGTCTTTATCGTTCATTAACTCTGTGGTGCACCGAAGGTGGTAGGGTTTTAGCGGCATTTTTGATAAATAAAAAGTCCGAGGTAAGGGTAAGGGCCTAAAATGACTCAAAAAGAGTACCGCAAGCCTATATTACCATTTTCTTTCGCCACGCCCTCTCCACGTAGTACCGTTCGGGAACAAATATATTCCTTTAAGTATATGTATCTGTATTCCGGAATACTTGTTCGCTGTTTTTGCAGAAGTATTTCAGGAATATCTCGTTGCGTAAAAAGCAAATGTATCTTAGTATCTGTATTTGTGGCCTTAAAATACACGTATCTCAGTATTCGTATTACCGATTACTATTTAAAATATCTCTACCAAGCACTGCCGTATACATGGGTGTTTCACGAAAGCTGCACAAATTTGATATTGCAAAAACGACGCGTAGCAACAAAGAAAGACTTGTACCGTTTTGGTCCTGGGCCAGGGGCCTATTTAGGAAAATTATTAAAGTTCGGGATAATTAGATTGTTAATTATTTTAGCGTAATTAACTTTTTTAATATTGTGTTTAAGGGCATGGTTTCAATTAGAAAATTGCTCAACATCACAGAAGAACACCAAATCAACAAATTTTAGAACGATAGAAGGCACGCGCAGCATTTTACCACTTTCTGGAAAGCCGCACAAATTCGACGGGTTTTTAAGTTTCGGTTTGCTATCGGAGCGCATCTCGACGTCAACAGCACCGCGCCCCCGTGGAGAAATAGTGCAAGCAACCTCTGCTGTGTCGGTCAAGATGCGCTCCGAACACAAACCGAAACTTAAAAACCCGTCGAATTTGTATGATGTTTGAAAACGCCATAAAATGCCGCGCGTGCCTCTATCGTTCTGCAATTTATTGATTTAGTGTTTTTTTATAATGCTGAACAATTTCCTAATTGAAACCATGCCCTTAATCGCAATGTTTAAAAAATTAGTTACGCAAAAATACTTAACAACTTAATCATCCCGGAGTTTAATAATTTTCATAAATAGGCCCCTGGCCGAGGACCAAAACGACACCAGCCTTTTTCTTTTTTTTTCTTTTTTTTTGCGACGCGTACTTTTTGCATTGTCGAACTTGTCCACCTTTTGTGAAATATCCTGTATAATGCGTGCATTATGAATTCAGTATTGCGAAGCACTTTTAGTGTGTTGTGCTTAATGCACTAATTCTAGGAGGTTTAGAATACTTGTACTTTGCGAAAGCAGCCACCCAGCGACACCCTAGGGATTTTTTAGACTTATGCATTCTGCTTTTTGGAAGCTGATCGTTGTGCGCTCTTTAGACTTTATTTGCATATACGACAATTTTATGCCCAATCCTGATGATATAAAACTATTCAAAACACTAGCATACCGCAGTACTAGCAGTTTTTAATAGAACGAGGGCAAGCACACCATAATTGCCCTGTCGCACAATTTGCTAAGCTCAACAGGCATTGACAAATATCTCTTCATACGGGAGTTTTTGCTTTCCCGGCGATATTTATACCAGCATCATAAGAAAATACTTTAGCTTTAAACATGTATACTGACAGCTAGAAGCCCAAACTAATAGCTTTGTATTTGGCCATTGCTCTTGCTTAAAGTATTGTGCAGCCGAGGTGCCTCCTTCAGCAAGGAGCTTTTACTTGTATGCCTTTTATTGCCATTCCGATTGATCTACAGAAGAAAGGGCTGAGAGGCAAATATTTAGACAAAGCAATACTCTGTCGAAAAACAAAATTAAGCATAATAGTGCAAAATGCGTGAAAAGAGCAGAGCTCCCTTTCAAGTGGAAATAATCGATGCTATAAAGCTTGTTTAGGGCGCGTTTGGCGCCTGAGGCATGAGAATGAGGGCTCGCAGCCGCGGGATGCCTTCGGGGTGCACCCCAGAAAGCCGCGGGCTGCGCGTTTGAGACCCCTTGTATAGGCGGATAAAACGTCATCATAAAAGATTGTGTCCAAAAAAACTTGTACTTTACTATGAAAGAGCATTGTATTTAGGGTACTCTCCTTGAAGTACATAACCTCTCACATACTTAGTACTTCAAGCACTTTTTAGATGTACTTTACCCAACACTGTATGAATCTCTATACTTGGTTCCAGGGAGCTTTCGTTGGTTTAGGGTGCGCTGCACACACGGCCCTCTTTTGATTTTCGTGTTCATCAAAATAGTCGGGACAAATTCAAATTTCTTCGCGAGTGGAGCGCGTCAAGATCATGCTTTAATGAGACATTTTCAATGGGTTTCGCTTCTTTGGTGGGTGCATGTAGGGCCTTCAATCGTCTTGCTCTTGGATTGTAATGAGACCCTTCTTGTAAGTGGAGTAATCGCAAGAACAGAAGGTTCATCGCACTGTTTACTTCATCAATCGACTTTTGTCAGAATATCTGACGTCTTACGCCCACTGTGCTATTCCTTGGTGCGTTATCATTCACCCCATGATGTCGTCTGTTCCAAGCGCGGACCTGCGATTTATCTGCAAGTAGCTGCACACACGTACGGTCGCGTGCGCGATGGGTATACTGGACTGAATAGGGAGTTTTCATTGATCGTTTTGGCCGTCCCGCAACACTCTCCGCAGCCCGCTACAATACCCAGAACTCTAAAGGCAAGGCCATCGCCGCGCAGGCACAGTAGCGGCTCCTTCGTTGCGGCGGGCTTAGCGCAGGGGGGGGGGGGGGGGGGGGGGAGAGACGCGGTCTACGAAAACTTCCTAATGTTTCTCGCCGTCGTCAGTCGCCTGCGGTCTATAGTCCATTCCGCTTCAACTCCGACTGCACCCCAAGCTACGACTCGACGGAGCCAATTAAATAGTGCCAAAAATGCATTGTCCCGGCGCTCATCCTCTCTGAGCGTTGGCTATCACCGATTAAAACATTCACTCGGAATGAAGGCACCGTGATCCTGCGTTTCTTGATGGAACAAACTAACGACGTCTTGCTTGAAGTGGCAGCGCCCCCCCCCCCCCCCCCCCCCCAACTTAGGCAACAGAAATAGAACTCATTACAGTCCGGTTGTACCTGATGCACTTCCGGCTCGGAATGTCGAAACCACTTTTAATTAGGCAGCTGTAGATTACGGTGACGTGCCATCGCACTCATGGCGTTTCTCGTTAATCTAGCGTGTTCGGCTATGTGCCCTCAATCAAACACTCAAAAGTCTTTACCTGCAACAATCTTCAACGTAAGATAATTTTGAATAATATCTCCTCTGTCGAGAACTTTATTTCCATCGCAGTGGTAAACTGTATAGCCGAACCCGGAGGCAGCGGAATACCCATCAGTCGGTGCCATGCGAATGAAGACAGGAGCAGAACGCGGAAAATCCTGAGCGCTGAGTTGACACCGATGGTCCCGAGAGAAAGAACGACAAAGAGAGCGACTAAATAGAATAAAAAGAAAGCAGACAAAACGTTAGGAGTGTTCTTTTTCCCGACGAGTTTAAGTTGCTCCAGTGCTTGTCAACGTTATATATTTTTATAGAATGTGCAATTCCAGTGTTTTCCTGAAAGGTAAGCTAGAAAATAACTATCGCAGTATCAAGAGAAATGCCCCGCCTCCAAAAAATAACCCACCCCTATTTTTAAATTGATTCGCCATTTTATCTAAAACACCGAAAGATAGCCCACTCTTAGTAATCATATTGTTTGGATCAATAATGGTCTTGGTGTAAATGCGGCTATTTAACTATAGTGGGACATAAGCGAACATTGCTGACTTGGATGAACAGTCATCTTCGCTTCACTGCCCCCTCGCTGCAATATGAATTTTGGCAGAAAGACATAACCTAAAATAACTTTTTTTTTTACTTTTCCTGATTACACAGCGAAAGTTATCCCCGTCCTCATTTTCACCCGATGTGTTCTTGATTTGAGGTTTCAGTTGCCTGGCAGTACAATCTCGCGGCCACGTTTTTATCCAGGCTTCAATTGTGGGCTTCACGAAATGCGCAACACCTAGCCAATGAAGGTTTCATGTTACAATAGAAGACTGCTGAGATATAGGAAGTCAAAACCAACATCAGTCAAGCATACCATCAGCCGTTCCCAGAGTGTGGTCGGCAAAGGGTCCTGTTCCAGCAGAGGGTGTTGAGCCACTGTTGCGAACCCAGTTTCTGTTGGCCTCTGATCCACCCTTGTTGTCCCAGCCACACATGTCCTTCTCAAAGTCGCACCTTCCCATCCTGGGACAGTCGCCGTCGGAGAGGAGCAGATCATCTAGTCCGATGGACACGATGCCGTCAGCCTCCACCTCACCCGTGATCAGGATCTGCAATGGCAGAAGACCTCTACTTTGTGAGATATTTAGGTAAGACATATGTGCAAGGTCTCTTGTAGACACCTTGACACGATATCACCAAGACATTCCTACATTCTTGTATTTTTGCTAAACACCAGTTCTCTATGAGACGTTTTGGCAAGACATCCTTATATCCTAAATGTCTAGGCAAGACGTCTGCAAGTTGTCTTCAAGACAGTTTGGCAGGATGTCAACAAGACATCCTTATATCCTAAATTCGAGGCAAGACGTCTGCAAGTTGTCTTGAAGACATCTTGGCAAGATGTCAACAAGACATCCTTATATCCTTAACGTCTAGGCAAGACGTCTGCAAGTTGTCTTGAAGACATCGTGGCAAGATGTCAACAAGACATCCTTGTATCCTAAATGTCTAGGCAAGACGTCTGCAAGTTGTCTTAAAGACATCTTGGCAAGATGTCAACAAGACATCCTTATATCTGCAGGAAACGAGACCTAGGTAGCATAAGTTCACATTCCATTTTTCACTCCTATCATTGCGAATATTAGGTATACAATAAGATTACTGTGTGTGTCTCTTTATAAGGCATTGTCTACTTTGTCTTTCCACTTCTCAGCAGCCATTTGTTAGTATCAATTGCAAGGCAGGCTTGATTACTTTAAGAACAAAACTAGCGGTTTAATTGCGTATAGAAGCACAAGGCATGACAACGATCTGCTGAGTGATGAAGAAGAGTATTGACTGATGTGGATAGTTATTTGACGAACGAAGTCAAAGGTAAACCAAATGATGCTCTACGGAATTAATGTTAAAACAGAAAGATACAGATCTCACAAGCTGGTGTTTCATTGAAGTCCCAAAGGTAGTAAATAAACTGCTATTATTAGCTGAAATAAAAACAAAGCTTTTATCATCTGATAATTAACATCACTGCCATTTTATATGTAGAACTTTGTGACAACACAAATCGGCTTGTGAGCGATAAATAAGCCTTAAAACAATCCACTCGAACTCAATAGGGTTAATCCCAAATGTCCACTCTCTGCTCGAGCTAATGCAGTTTTAATTTACTCTGTTCGCTGTGCCATCGCACAGATAAAGCATATGTAAAGGTGAGAAGTAAATAAGATGTTCGACAATAATATACACTTTTAGAGTCGTCCATACAAATCTTCCTGCAATACACAACTATCCTAACTAAACCTAAAGACGGAAACAAAATTGTCAGAAATTTGCGGTCTATTCTATATACTAGCAGCAGTATTATACAGATGTTTTACTGCGAAGTAGTATTGTTACATCATCACTTGCCCTTTTTATGCACTTGACGTTTTTGTGAGGAAAGTCCTGCTCTGGAGGGGTGTTCTTCTCTTAGCATCCCGCTACACAGAAGCGAAACAAGATAGGCAAAGTCGCAATGCCTGTTCTGGAGTTCCGCTTCACTGCAGTGCATCGAAGCTAGGTGAGAAGCACACTCGGCGAAGCTAACTCCCCTTAAGAAACAGAGGAGACGATAAATGTTTAAGCGACTTCCAAGTACTGCCAGGTTTTGGTACAGCGGTGAAACCGAGTACCAAAACATGGTCGGATTACCATAACGATCGGACCAAGTAGCAGGGAGTCAGCTATTATAATTTCGGGATTAATAAAGTGAAATTTTGTTCTGGCGCAACGTTGGCGCAATGTTGGCGCAAATTCATCATTCATCACATTTTGCCGAAATGTTGCAGGATGTAGAAGGCTAAGCACGTTGGTGCATTTTGGCGCAAGTGGCGCAGCCATCACATCATTGCATCTAGGCAACAGGTCTGTGCAAGTTGACGAGATGTCAACAACTTATCCTTACCACCTTCTCTTTTGCGACAGCAGACATGGGCTCTTCCCACTACTGAAAATGACGTCCAATGTCGTAGTAAGGCGTAGGGTGTTCGTCGCCGATATTGCCGACTGCTTGAAAAAGATCGCCCGCCGCTCTCCGGATTCGATTCTGAGTGCGCCGTATGTGAAGCTGACGCGTTACCACAGAGCTACAGAGCAGATAGAGCTTGGACAATTTGCTTGATGCACGGAATTTTAGGAACAAACATGTGCATATGAGTCTCGTGTAGCGGCCGCTAGACGGCCACAGTTGCTGCAACGTCGCGATAAAAACATTCTCTGTCATTCTTAATTACTTCCAAATGAAGGTTCTCCCCAGAATATTTTGAGGTGTGAACATCACACAATTTCTAAGGTTTTCTTCGGGCACGGGGAGAGGGCGACTGCTGCAATTTTTGAGTACTCGGCACTTTCTCTGTGTTGCACAGCGGGTATTTTGTGGACACTGATTAGTTACATCGCACAGTGCCAGACGAGTCTGCCCGATACAAAAACCCGGAGCAACCTGCGTTTCCAATATCAACATTGTCTTTCCCAGTGGAAGCAACCTATTGAGTGTACTGGACATTGCAGAAACATATAAGCGATGAGTCAAACAAGTTGGTGGCAAAACCACCGCTGCCAATTGTGGGACGAACCATGCTCGAAATTTAATAGGAGTTAATTGCTGAAACTAAAACCTTTGGGTATGTGAAGCAAGCAGCTGCTCGTTAAAAGGGTTCCGCCGTATTCATCCCTCTAATACCATTTACAACACGGTCCGGCGTCCTACGTCGCCGTTCGTAGATTCCCTCCCACTCCTCCCTCCCTCCCTCCCCCCCCCCCCCCCCCCCTGAAGCTGAAGCTTCAGGAAGTATGGCGGAAAGCGGCAGACGTGTGGATACTGGCGTCGCCAGGTGCTCGCGTCTTGCTTGTTTCGAGACGCTGAAAGATGCGCTTGGCTGATTCGCCTTGCCATTCTTCGCAGGGAGAATTGTGAGGTGTATGCTCGCGAGAATGAAGCAAGGAGACTTTGCCGTAAGACAACGCGGTGGGTGAACGCGAAGTTGATGCCAAACAATTTCGCCGTGACGTTTCGCAGCTGTCGCTGCGACTGTCCCGTGGGTAAAGGCACGATTCCTCATGTTTGTTTTGTTAAACGTTAGGACGTCCTCTATGGGATACGGCTCATTCGTCGCATGCCAATTCGCCATAGGGCAAGTGGTAATATGCCCGTTCGTCACAGTGTAACACTCGTCATAGCACCCGTTTGTCACAGAGGAGCGTTCGTCGTAGGAAGATTCGTCGCTGTAAGAACTTGTCACGTCATGAACTCCAAAGTCGCCGAGTACAATTTAGAAAAGGCCAAATTTACACAGTCGGCGAACGCCTCTCATTCGAAGCGTAATCAAGGATCGATCAGGTTGACGTCGGTGGTTTAGTAACTGTTGAAATGCATATTTTGATAAGTCAGGTGAATTCGCTGTGTGGAAGTTTGGAGAACAAGAAATTAGCCAGTAGCAAGGAGCGCGGGGTGTACCGGTTGTAGAAGACAAACTTTGCTAGTGGTGGTACTGGCGGTAGGACCGCGATGCTGTTGTTTTTAAAATGCATCATGCAATGGTGAGTACACGTTTCATTTTGAAAAAAAGAAAGTGGTCATTGAGCTTAAAATGATTCGATTATGTAAAGCGAGGTTTCCCCCCGCGTGCTCCGAGTTGCGATGCGCTAGCATACTCGGCCACCGGTCCCTCTTTCGATAAGTCCATTGTCAACGTTCAACACCTCGTGTCTGATGTCGCTAATACTATGTTTAATGATATACTTTTCTATTACTATTATCTCAAACGTTGCGCAGGTAGGGCAATATGCGATAGCACCAATTCGGTTTTGACTGAACAATTTTTCACGCTCAACTACTACAACGAAATTAGTACCACAAAATATTTCGCCGGTCCCGCGGACTTCCTTATGAAAGTGTTTGACTCTCCGCAAACACGAAATTTGTAAAGCTGGTCCTATAAATGGCATGTAGTTAAAACACGGAACCCTAGGTCTAATTGCAGCAAAACATTGGCGCTTACCTCGTGCAAGCCAGAGGTCTTGATCCTAGCCTGTTGGTACCTCCAGCCCACGTCAGCCGCACTAAACAACATGGCCCGGGGGCTGGGCCGCCCAGAAGAACCCTTCGGTCGCACCGAGACGTTCAGGGTACCGCGGCCTTTGCCTTCCATAAAGAACCAGATTCCCAGGCACTTTGTCGTCGTCCCAGGATGGTCGGGAATGACGACGCTGGCACTCTGACTCGACCCTGACTTCAACCTTAAGTGGCCAGGTAGTTGGAGCATCAGGTAGTGGCCCTCTAGGAGACAAAATGACAAATGTTAGGCGTCAGTTTTTTTTTTTTTTTTTTTTTTTTGCATTTTTTAGGATTTGGTAAGTTAAGGTAGCATGGAAAGTTGGGCCAATTTGGGCATCGCAGAAATAATGTGGTCATCGGTAGGTTGAGAACGAAAGAAAGGAGCTCCAGCTGTCCCGCCTCCAGGCCGAGCTGCCTGCCACTGACAATGCTTCAACGTTTCGCGCACCTCGAGCACGCGCATGTATCCAAAGCATGGTGGAAGGCATCGAGCGCGTGCTGGAGGCTGTGCGTTCGAAAGACGCGCCATGCCGCTCTCACTCTGTCAGAGACTAAGAAAATGCAACGGGAAAGTACAAAAAAGTAGACAAAGTGCCACTGTTTTTGACACTGAAGTTCAGTTGTTAGTAGTACTTTGTTTGGCTTCTTTTTTGTGCTATTTTCTGGAACTTTTTGGGTGTTCCTGCTAAATTAGGTGCCCGTCATCCCAAAGAAACTCATTATCCAATTCTCAAAGGAGCCTTGAACATACTTTATACTCAGAGCGAATAAGGCTCACAAAACATTGGTGTTGTAGGCAACTTAAAGCGACAATGAGAAGACCCGAAAATGCAATCGTTATAACCGATTATCGTGGTATCTGGAAAGGATACCCCACGCCCCAACGCATGGTCTGCTGGAAGGTGATCGTTATAAGCAGTACATGGTTATATGTGGAATTGTTATAAGGGGATTGACCTATACATCTACTATCTAGAGTGTGTCAAGCGTAGGCAACGCTGTTGTGGCTGTTATTTGTTCCGACAGTGCCGTACAGGCGTAAGCGTATACCTGGCGCAGTGCTGCCGTCAATCTTATCTGAGAACATATTTTGAATCTGGTGTATGTGCTAGTTTTTTAGATGGTCAGTGCATAAATATAATGAAATAAACTCCCAAACGTATTTTTGCCATGTGTAACACATAGTTAACCATTCATTGTGATACCCTAAAGCGGTCTCGTGGGTAGCACAAAAATTTCACAGCCCTCGATGTCATCGCACTTAATATTGTTCCCTAGTTTGGCGACGTCTTCACTGTGAAACAGTACTGTGAAAATCTAGTAGAGTGGAATTCTGTGCCTCTTACAGCTATTTAATTCAATATGCCCAGCGGAAGTTTATTCATTTAGTTCATAATAGACATATTGGTTGCTGCCGTTCTTAAAGCTATAACTCTGTCCTGGCAGACCTATGACTCGCGATATTTTATGAGAGGAAGCTTGCACCTGACATGATATTTTTACGCCCAGTTGTGCACAGCACGCTTGGCTGTGATTAGGTGTAGTCGGTGCAGTTCTCAGCCTTCTTTTTAAATGCCTGCAAGTGACTGCACATTTTTATTTAGATATTCGTTCGGAGTATACAATGACCGGGTTGCAAAAAACATAAAACTAGACTTCTTTTTAAAAAAAATGACACGTTTAGTTGACCTATGTGTGTAGTCAGTCATATGGTCACATGTATTCTCCAACCATGCCTTTGGCGACGACACTGGTCTGTCCTCGCCAAAGCGACAGCACACTTTGTTTAGATGATTTATGGGTTAGATGTGCCCGTGCACGAACCCACATCACCGATCAAGCGACTATGTACAACTGTCGCAATCTGCACCACAAGTCTTAGACTCCTCTGCTCCCAACACTACATCATATTCTAGTACTCCGTAGCAGAACACACTCACACAAAATAAAATACAAATCTGTGAACCAGGCTTAAACAGGGAGCTCCGGCAAAATATTGATAGTCGCTGATTTGCCTTAAAATTGGATCAACACTTTCATTACCCCATTCGAACTAGTCGTAGCCAAACTTTCAAGCGGCAATAATTCTTTTTCGCAAAGTTAGTGAAATTTTAAATTTAATCCTCTGGCAGCACTGAAAACGTGACGTAATCCGACGGGTTACAAGAAGTTCGATGGTGCGAAATGTATGCTGAAAACATTAATGCCAGCAAAAGTTTAAATAAGAACCCACAAATAGTGCACGTTTTTAGACTGCCTGTTTGACTTGCAAGTTATGCAAATTGGGACGTTGCCCCGCTGGACAGCACGGGAAATTTTGAGTTGGTTTTCACATTACCTTCATTTTTCGTTTTCTCAACAGCCATTCTGAATTCAGAAATAATAAATAGCACGTCATAAAAAAAAAAAGCCTGGGCATTTCAAAAATATGTTTTAGTTAGGGTGGCTCAAAAGAAAACGCCAGAGCTCCCTTTTAAGGCGTTTCATCATTTTGCTTGCTGCCCGACAAGTTCACGGACGTACCGTTGAAGAATCCGAAGGTGTGGTCGTAGGTGTGCCACATGGCCGCGGCCGTCCTCGCATTGACCCTCCGCCAGTGGCCCCCTCCAGAAGTGTCCACCTCGAATCCACACAGCCCAGCGCCCTCAAAGTCGCACAGGGTGCCCACTGAAACAGGACCAGGGCGGCATTCAACCGGGAGGACAACAATCTTTCGAGTGTATGAAGTAAAAAAATTCAGTCTAGTGCAGTGGCGGATCCAAGGGAGGGGGGGGGGGGCGACGGGGGCGGCCGCCCCCCTCCCCCCACCCCCCAAACAAAGTCGACCCCCCCTCCCTCCCCCCTTCTCGGAGGGCAATTTGACATGGGTGGACCTCCCTTGCACAAGAAAGAATGGGAGAATAGTATCCTTAAAACTTTTCCGCCCCCCCCCCCCCCCAAAAGGGAGTTCTGGATCCGCCCCTGGTCTAGTGTTAATCCACAAAAGAATTACAGCGATAGCCAAGACACGTCACGGCGAAGTTGTAGGGCATCGGCGTCGCGTTCACGCAGCGCGGGGTGCATGAACAAAAGTGTTCGAAACAAACTGGATATCTGGCCTTTCTTAACGAGGAGCTGTTGAGAGCTAGTTTCCCCAGCTTTATGTCCGTGGACAAATAAATCTCGACGAACCCTCAGGACAGCTACCGCCATCTATGAGCGACGGCGGCAACCAGAAAACCGGCTTGCCAGTTGTCTGGTTGCCGCCCTCGCTCATACATGGGGGCACATAGTACAGCTCCGCTGCTCTTCCTGTTTCACCAAAATGAAAAGGAAAGAATTTTTTTTTTTCAGAACGCTTTTGTTTACTTTTTGTTTTGGAGCGCGTGAAAACCTCTACCGGCACAAGCTCTCTAGATTCAGAGTGCTCCGCCGGCATTTTGCTTTGGGATATTTTTTTATTTTTTTGTATTTTCCCAGAGAGCGCATACAGTTGCCATGGGGTACTCCAAATAATGAAGTCACCTTAAACATGACATTGAGGTAACCTATAGTCGGTGGCAGGTCAAGAACGAAGTGGAAGCTCCTCCCACCCCTTTCCACTTCAGCGGAGCGAATGGTGGAGAGGAGGTCGCTCCTTTTCAGCGTTGCACTATTAAAGTGGAAGGAGGTGGGAGGGGCTTCCACTTCATTCTTGACCTGTCACAGGCTAAAGTCAAAGCATTGACATAATTCAGCCTTAGCAGGCCCGTCCTCACGCAGCAAACTAACGATCGAATCCCGCGGGAGGCGGGCGATCTTTTACGAAGATTTGGTAAAATCGACGTCGGACGCCCTGCACCCTTCTTCGACAACGACTGCAACGGACGCCATTTCCAATGGTGGGAAGATCCCACAACAGCTAACGCTGTAAAAAAAAAAAAAAAATGGGTAGGCTGTGTAATCGACATGGCTGCAAGACTTCGGCGTGACAATGTCTATCCTGCCGAGTCTACTGGAATGAAACGCGCTGGGCATTCGAGGCTCGTCACGAGCTGGCAGAGCGGGTGACGTCGTGTCAGCGTCGGGCGTACCGGAATCATCTTGCTAGGGGCGTATCTCTAGAACAGATGGAGATATCTCGACGAGTCTTTCACCATCACGTTTGACTCAATGACGTCTATCTATGTTCGACGTTTCGGCGATGTTCATATAATAAGAACGCAGATAGTTGCCTCAACGGTCAATTTAAGGCTAAAGTTTCAACTTTCACGCGGAATTAGTAACACAGAATTGCCATAAGTTATCTGCCGGTACATTATTGTTTAGTGTATGTCTACTAAACTTTGAAATTATACCAGAAACATATCAATCGAAAGACACGTCTCCTAGCTACAGCGAGTCAGACTGTGAAAGCTTGCTCAAACAGTTTGTCGAAAGTGCCGTTTCACTCCGTGCTTGCGCGATAGGGCACTGAATGGGCGTGTTTCAAACGAGTGAGGCATCCAGTTAAGGAAAGTAGCTACGTTACGGCATGAAAAACAATGCTTTCTGGTTTATAATTACAGAAAATTAGGCTGCTATGGCGAGGTATGACGTTGTAATATCCTCCTGAGTGAGACCATGTAACGTGAGAAGTGGGGGGTTTACGTGCCAAACTAACAAACGGCATCGGGCACGCCTCAGAGAAGGACCGAAGGCTAATTTCAAGCGCATGGGGTTCTTTTGTCGTGAGATTCGAATCTCGGTTACACGATGCCTTCTCCGCAATAAACCTCCGCAGATTGCGGGCGCCTCGGTCGGGATTTGAACCCTCTGCGTAAGGTTCTTCAGAGCATAACAGTCAGATATGTTACGTTGTGGTTTCAAAGGCGAAAACACAAACACACTACTTCAATCATTAAAAAATTAAATAATGAAATGCGGGGCATGACATGTACTATGCCAATACAGGGTGTTTACCTTTAATTCGTACAGATTATTTTAGGGGGCTGAGAGACGAGTGTTTTCTTCACCATGCATATATCCGGTTTGGCAGTGGGAAACAATAGTGGAGGTAAACTGACTAATTAACTAAAATCTCTCAAATCCTTTAATACTGATTTTAGGTGTCATGTTGAAATTGCAGTATTGACGGAAACTACTAATAAAGGCCACTCCAATTTTAAGAATTTATGAAAATGTAGAGGATTTTATACCCGATTTAAACAGTGCCCGCAAAAATATAGCATCAAGCTCTGTCCAAAATGACGCTTAAAAGAGTGACGTAGTCGTTTAGGTCACGTCGTCACTTGTGTCAATGACATACGAAACAGGCAAACGCTGACGAGATAGTTCCAAGCTTCATTGTAGGCAGAACTTGAAACGCACTTTTCAAACACAATTTTCCAAGTGAGCACAAAAAAATGTTAAACTTTATTGATTAATATTCAAAAGGACATTACTTTGTTTGCGAAATCTTTAAAATAATTTGGTTTCTTACTTTGGTTGCCGTCAATACCACAATTTCAAAATGACCCCTAAAACCAATACTTAAAAAGGTAATTAATAGATTTACAGCTAATTAGTCAACTTACCTTGATGATTACCCCCTCATATAATGTTTGCCTTGCCTGATAATTACATGGTGAAGATAGAACTCACCTAACTCCCACCACCCTATTTCTAAAAGATATTTTTGAACGAAAAGCAAACACACTATATTACCCCTCCGCACACAATGAGGTTGGGGCATAAGTCAATAAATGAACCAAGGAAAAAAATCACAAAGCGAGAGCGTAACAAATGGCTTATTATGTTCTCACTTCTTAGTTTTTGGCATACAACATATTCACCCAGCTTAAAATCAAGCTCACGTCAGTCATATTCGATAAGACACCCACTAGCTCGAGGTGATTAAACGAAAGTTAGTACAGTTTAGTTTTTGATACTGCACAGAGGACTGGGCTTTCACACAAAGCTTGTGACAGACAACCAAATTTAGCTGCGAGAAAGATAAGGAAAAATGAACTGCATAATATATCTTTCAGAATATTGTCACAGGAAAGAAGTATAATTTTACCCATATTCTTTGATCCGTTAAGCACAGGAGAACATGTCATATCAAAAAATGAACAGTACAACCACTTCCCACAAAAAAAAAAGAAAAATTTTTTAAGCAGTATTTTTTTTTCGTGGAATATCTATATAAAACTGTCTTCCAGAAGCAATTTTTTTTTTTTCTCTTCATATCATTCAAACCCTTCAAGTGTATTTTATTTATTAACAGTGCATTCCCATAGCTTTTTATACCTTTTTTGTCTGTCGATTAATAGGTGTTGACTTTTCCTTCTGGCTTGGAATTTCTAGCATATGTACAAACCAGTTATTTTTTTTATTTTTTTGTTAAACACGTTTTCTTGTTTTGGCCTGGATTCTGGCCTATAGTACTAGGAAACAAACAAATGAATGATTCAATTTACACAAGACGTGGGATGAGAAAATACCGTAGTTACTAAAGCAATCAACACTGTTTATAAACAAGTTAAGTTATCGACTTTATTGCAGAGCACACATATAGTCAATCATTGCAATCATGCAATCTACGTAAAAATCTTGGTTAATAATAAGGTGAAGAAAAACATTATTCTGCATTCTGCGCTCGTACCGTTTTTGAATAAAGACATTACTTATGTACCATAAGTCGGTCAGCTTCTACTGTCGATCGCAATGATTGGGTATCCACGTGTTCTGCAAATGGGCAAATGCACTGACATGTCTCCACACTTGCAGGGATGAGGGCAGGCTTCCTGGAGGACAATATTTCTGTCCCGGAAGTCACTCGGCTCTTACTCTACACTGCGACGACTGGCTGTCTACATGCTCCGCAGATTACCCACCCCGTGGACGTAACACCACACTCACAAGGATGAGAGAAGGTTGTCCTGAGAACAATATTCCCGTCCCGTAAGTACCTAGACCCCTATTGTTGATAGTGATAATTGACTCCACATGCTCTGCAAGTGACCAATCATTCCGACATGTCAAACACTCGAAGGGATGAAGGCAGGATGCGATGAAAATATTATTTCTGTCCCATAAGTTACTAGTCCAACTGTCGATCACTATGACTAGCAGTCAGCAGGTTCCATAGATGACCAATCACCTTTACACGTCAGCACAGTCACAGGGATAAGGGCAGATTCTCATGAGAAAACTATGTCTGTCTCGCAAGTCACTAGACTGCTACCCATCGCGATGATTGAATATGTTCACATGCTGCACAAATGGCCATTCACGTGGATATATCACCACACTCACAGGGATGAGGACAGGTTCCCGTGGGTGCGACGTGCATCTGGTCGATCGCGATCTCTCCGAGACCGGGTCCTTCCCTCGATGCCTCCACGATGACCGACAGTTGTCCCGCTGCGCTCTGGTTCTTGGTTCTCACGGTGAGAGAACCGTGCTGCCAGATGCGACTGTTGGCGCGCTGCTGGTGCCAAATCACCTGGCTCATGCCACCTGCAAGTGATTGGTTCTCGTCATCACTGGCCCTATCAGAATCTTGAGGTGATCAAAGAGAACCAGTTAAAAGACATTGACGATCCTAAACAGAACGATAAGTAGTAATAAATTGGCAAACCATATTCACTATGTAGGATATGTCAGCAGCTAGATTCTTACACGGTTTATGAAGATAAAACTAGAAACACTATTTTGTATTAATTACATAATATCTGGATATTTTCTTTAGTATTTAGCGATCGAGATTGTTTTTCAAAAAGACGTTTCCCAGGGGTCGGGATTTGTTTGCGAATGAGTAGTACAATGTAAGGGTCAATGCACAAGTTTTTTTGGTCATTTAGCGGGAACGTACAGTGCTCGCAAACTGTGTAGGTTTAGATGGATCAAATTAAATTATGGAAGGCGAAAACTTGCCACCTCTCATTTGGCTTTATTTTGGCGCCTCCACTTCCGCAATATTCCACCGGCTTCGGATTCCTAACCGTAGGTATTTTACAAAGCCTCACCATCAGATAATGAGCTGCCTTCCTCTAAATTTAATTTCAAGGAGCATTGTAAATCTATATCGGAAGAGCGACCGGGGTACACAAGGTGGGCATTATGTGCGCTGAGCGTCGAATTCGAAAATTATAAAACGCCCAGAAATGCGATAAAATGTACGAATATAGCGTTCCTTGTTCATCAAAGACATAACAAATAAGAACACCTTGCGCGGTGTGCACAGTTTCATGTATAGGCGGGAATTTTTAAATGTTTAATCGCTGCCGTACATGTCTGGCAACGACCGTCAAAGGGTTCAGAAATGAGGTACTAAATATGGTAATTTCTAATTCCCATAGATTGTTCTTAACCCTGGTATTTTCTACGATTCATGTCTGCAATTATATTCAGCGTTACTCCGAAGGTATATCTCAGAAAAGTATGTTTAGTTCCTACTCACGTTACTCCGTATATAAATTGAGAGCTTTAGATGAAACAATTATTTACTGTCAAGTAAATTGTGATTTAGGAAATACGAAGCAGTATGATGTATGTGATTAAGATTTTCGATGCAATTCACTGCCTTATTTGCATGGTAAAAAGTTACAAATATTGTAGTGCGTCAAAGTAATAAACAACAATGAAGATCAGAATGTACTAAAATTTATTATAACTGAAGATCGATGTTCTCTGATTGTGATAGTACTGTGACCTAAGCCGATATTTCTACCATCGGCTCTAGAGTGCTAAAAATACATTTAGCGCCATGTGAGTGTATTTTTTGCGTGTTTGGTTTTCTTTTTTGTGACTGTCGACTTCTGCGCTGGTGCATAATAGTGCTCACCAAGGCTTATCACCCGATGATCAACTCACTAATGTCACCTGTGACGGATCTGTTTGCATCGTCCCAAGCTCTAGCATAAACATAAAGTGATTGGGCAGGCTGATTTCTTAATGATCGTTATGGTCTAGTCGATCTGTTTACGATCAACGAATCAACTGGCCTTCGGATACTCCGTTACCCTACGGCCCGATCGACAGGTCAACCAATCGGATGTAAAACGTCGGGACAATGTGCAAACCCAGAAAAATCAATGAGCTTGCGCTGTACCCCAGTATGCTGAATCATGTAAAAACGGGATCTCAGAACCCATCGAATGAAGGAGACCACCAAAGGGTAGTGGGTTCACATTTTACAGCTTTTTACACCCAATAGTATGACACCGACACACAAGGACTTCAAGGTAATGAGTAGAAACACAAGTTCCCCTATACAAATAAAAAAAAAGTAGAGCGGATTATTTTTGTTTTCTTTCTTCGAAAAGTTTATTGATATAATTGTAGCAGTGTTTTTAGTGCCGTTAGTCAATATGTCTTTATATTTTTACTTGTTTTAAATGGAAGACGAACTAAACAATTTGTCTCTATACAGATTGGATATACATTAGTCATGTGCGAATAGTGAAGTTTAATTTTGAAGCCAATTCGAAGCGAGCAGTAGTTTTGGCTGAATATTTTCAGATCGAATTTCAAATGCCTTTTTAAGCTTTCATTATTGCACTATGCTTACATAAAAACTCGACTGAAGTCGTGGACGTTATTCCCAAGCTTTCGCTAGTCAAGTTTTTTAAGCTATATTAATTTTAGTCTAACTATATTTATCGACCGTGGCCTCAGAAAGTTTAGTGCCTACATTGGGTTAGCAAGTATCTGACACATATGACATAAAATTAAAGATATGTGATGCCAAGCTATATGTAATATAGAGGATTTATAAAGATAATGCTGGGCGTTGAATAAGAATTTTCGCCCCCTTAATCGATCAATTAATCAATTAATTGGTTTCGTTCATTCCTAAGCATAATATAATAGAAAAGTCAAAATTACACTTTTTGTCTTTGCTGAATATTCAATAAACTATGCAATATAAAATTTCGATTATAAATAAAGCTCGACGTGTATTTGAGAACAGTCAAAAGACACTTAGGATCACATTATTACTCCACCTGCAAAGGCAAAGAGGTTCGCTGATATCCTCTGGCAAGAGCGAGCTCCTTTGGTGGTTCACAGTAGTCCCTGCTGCGCTTACAGGACACTCACACGACGGTGAAGCGGCCGGGGCGCGTCTTACCTTTTGTATTTCTTTGAAGTTAACAAATTACGCCCCACCAGTTTACTTTACGCCAAAATATTACCTAAGTATGCCCTTCAAACAGGCGCACTCGTCCACACCTGCGTGTTGAAAGCGTTTATTTTTCACTTTCTCTTGGTCAGTCAAAATTTAACCGGTTAATCGGTTAAAACAATTAATCCCGATTAAAGCACTGATTGATTTATCGGCAGGCTAATTGACCCCAGCTTTACCGAGTCGGCTTCGTACAAACGAAAGGCTAAAGTCGTTCTTGGTCGTCAACAAAGTTCGGGAGAGCGACAAAAGTCGTGCTTTCCTCAGCATCCTCGGGCCGAAGACGTACGGGCCCTGGAGCTGCCTTTGACTAAGCGTTTCTGGAGCCCGACGAAGACCCTGAGTGACCATGTGTCTCCAAAACCTTCCATCATTGGTGAGCGAGCGAATTTCCATCGACGTGCACAGCGTGAGGTTGAGTCAATAACAGACTACGTCGTTTAGTTTTGGAAGCTGTCGCGGACGTGGGATTTTAGAACCGCATTGGACGAGTCACTTCGGAATCGCTTCGTGTGCGAACTTTTGAAAGACATTCAACGCGTACTGTTTACAGAAGACGGCAAATTGACGTTCCTGAAAACGGTCGACCGCGCCCTTCACATGGAAGAAGTCAAGAAGAGCGCTGTAAAGGCTCGTGCCGGAGAAACCGAGTTTCAGATGTTCACAAGGTGCGAGCTGTGCCCAACTTGGCTGCGGCTCAACAAAGCAACAAGGTCAAACATGTCCCTAGCAGGCTGGCACCTGCTACAAGTGCTAAGGAAGAGGCCTATTCGGCGAGCCTGCCGTGGCGGTGCGGGTATTTTCGCGCGAGACGCCAGCATAATATATATATATATATATATATATATATATATATATATATATATATATATATATATATATATATAAAGACGCTAGAAGTAGCCGCTAATAAGACAACTGTCGTCGACTTAAATAGCGTTTACTCAACCGGTCACTACCCTGTCACAGCACGTGACTATAAATTGCACACCAGTGAACACTATGCTTGACACCGAGGCGGCGGTATCGGAGATGTACAAGTGCCGTTAGCTATTTAGCTCGGATGGCCTGACGGCAACGACGCTCCGGTTTCGTACGTACACAAGAGCGCTCGTCCGGACCCGGGGTGTTTCGGCCATCAATGTGGAGCATGGTGAAAATTCAGCGCGTCCGCGGCTTTGTGTTTTGGAGGGGGAGAGGTCTCCATTTCTATACTGAGAGAGACTCTGAGAAACCCGACTGGACTGGAACGAGATGTGGAACCTGAACCATCTTCCAAGGTCAGATTTTTTTATTTATTCTCGTGTGAAAGAAACACTCGATTTACAGTCAAGGCACAGGGAGCTTTCCAACGACGAGCTAGGCACAATTACGGAAGAAAGGGCTGAGCTGCTTCCAACGACCAAAGTTTCTAAAGGCCAGGAATGTTCCCTTCGCGTTGCAAGCGTCTGCAGAATCTGAGCTATCGAGATTAGAAAAGCTCAGTATCATCCAACCCGTGACTACAGCAGAGTATGCTATGCTGGTCGTACCGGCCATCGAGAAGAATGGTGGTATACGAATGGCGGTGATTATAAGACAACCGTACACCTTTGCCTTAATGTTGTCCGATACCCGCTACCGACGGTACATGACTTGTTTGCAGCGCTATCAGGCGGTATACTGTTCTCAAGATCTCAATCGGGCGCATCAAAAAGGGGTTATTTTAATATCGTCGAAACCTTACCTGACGTTGGAAAAAAAACTATACAGGAGCACCTGGTCAACCTTGAAGAAGTTTTAAAGCAGCTCCTTGAACGCAGGGTCAGAGTGAAGAGAGTAAAATGATCGTTTTTTCAGCAGGAACTTTGCTACCTCGGCACAGATACAGCGCTAACGGCATCTCGACGTCGCTGGACAAAGTGGAGTCGCTCATGCAGTCCTTCTTAGGCGTCACCAAATACTACGGAAAGTTCGTGCCCCTCTCGCAACACTATCAGAACGGTTTTCCAGAGCGTTACGCTTTACGGTGCTGGGACGAACATTGTCAAGAAGCGTTCACCAGGAACAATAGTGGTGCCACCCCCAATCCTGACGTACTACGGCTGTGAGAGGCCGTTGAAGCTGTCCTGTTACGTCTCTAAGTACGGGGTAGGTGCTGTACTTTTTCATGTTTTGCAATGATTAATACTTGGAATAAATTGCAAGACTCAATAGTAACGATATCGGATATCTCAAAGTTTAGAGAAACACTTGCCACATCTTACGGCTTGTAGCCCCCTTGTGTTTTATCCATTGCATGTTCTTCTTGCTTGTATTGTGTACCTGAACCGTACAAAGACTGCCTGCACCCCTCCCCCTTAAGTAAAGACCCACGTGAGCATTTAAGGGATCAATAAATGAAATGAAATAAATAAAATGGCAATCCAAGACCTACTGCTTACGCATCACATACGATCTCCGATGCCAAAAAAGCGTAAAGTCAACTGTAAAAAGCCTTAGCAATCATTTTAGGAGTAAAGCTATTCCATTTTTACATCTATGGTAGATAATGTACTTTGGTCACAAATTATAAGCCGCCACGACAAACAATTTTAGGTTCAAAAACTAAAATTTCGACCGTTGCAGCGCCACGAATCCAAGATTGGGTTGTCGCTTTATCGGCCTACATATACGACCTTATATTCAAAAGATCAAGTGAAAACGCTGAATCCGATTTCTGCTCGCGTCTTCAGCTGGCGACCCTTGGTCGCCAGCTGAAGACGTTGCTTCTGTTGCAACAGCGTTGCTTCTGTCAAGCAACAAGCAGACCATTGATAAATGGTCTGCTTGTTGCTTGACAGAAGCAACAAGCAGACCATTTATCAAGGCTTCACCATTCACGGACCTCGATTATATGTTCTTGAATAACTGCAAATCTTGTCGTCGGACAAGCTGTACAAGGGCCACCTGGGTGTAGTACGCAGCAAGGCACTTACGCGCAGTTACGTATGGTGGCCGTCTATCGAGGCGGACCTTGAACGTCGCGTCCTAAACTGCGCGAATTGTCAAGGGCAAAGTAGAGCGCCTTGTACGGCTCCCCTTCACCCCTTCTCGTGAACAACCGCACCTGTTGTAACAGGTTCCTGTAGACCTTGCTGGTCCTTTTCTGCTCACTATGTTTCTAGTAGTGACCGATGCTCAATATAAGTTGCCCAAAATGTTTTGAAATGCACCCAGCAACGGCACAATGTGCCATTCATTGCTCATAGAGATTTTCGCTCGTTTTGAATTCCCTCAGACAATTGTTTCAAATAACAACCCCCAGCGTAAGTCAAGCGAGTTCAAGCGATTCGTGGAAAAAATGGGCACCCATTCCGTCTTTACGGCTCTCTATCACCTGAGCTCAAATGGCATCGCTGAACGTTTCATTCAGACATTAAAAACGCTCTGCAAAAAAAAAAAAGAATCAGGCAAGCCGTTACATAAAAAGCTGCAAAAGTTTTTCTTGTGCTATTGCAACACGGCTCACGCCACAACAACTGAGTCAACAGAAAATTTGTATAGGGCGATGATTGCGCTCTCGTCTCAATGCCGTAAAGCCGCCGTGGTGGAAAGGGGTGCCCAAAAACTGTTCTTGCAGACTGACTCAGAAGCGTTGCGAGATCCATTCTGTTGTTCCCGATGAGCTACTGGTTTGTAACAACAATGCGAAACCGAAGTGGGTGTCTGGTGTTATTTTTTTACGATCGGGCCTTGTTTCCTTTCTTGCGCGTGCAACTACTCCCTGAGGCAGTATCCTCTGGCGTCGTTACAAAAACCAACTGCTACGACGCTCGAGTCCCGCAGGTGCTGAGGTTGTAGAGTTAATACCATGTCCTCCGAATGAGAGCCCACTACGGCTGTCCACCACCTCACCCACAAGGTCACCTCTCCCGTCCCTAGCAACAGAAGCATCTGCTGCAAGACGGTACCCAGTGAGAAAATGCCTAACTCCAGAAGGACTCGTAGTCTGGTATCAGCTCCGAACTTTGTTAAAATCAAAAAGGAGGAAGTGTCGTGTCCGGCATTTAGCCTATATTAACTGTATCGGGGTTAGTGTTTATGCGCTAAGAACTGATAAAAACTATGCTTTGGAGGCTGCCACGAGCCTGTCTCGCCTTGACCACCATACCAAATACCATGTAAGCCAATACTGGCAACTCCCTAGGATTGCGGTCGAAAAGTGATCGCAGCGTCCCTGGCGAGCTCGCAGTCTCCGCTTGCAAACGAATTCTCCACAACGCATTGGTTTTGCTATCTCCGTTAGAGGTGACCAATGAAAAAAAATTGTCACGGGACACTAATGTACCTTCACCCTGTTTGTTTGAAAAGGGCAATGTAAAAAAAAAATGTTTTAGAACATTGCTACGTTTCAACTTTACTTGCATATCGATCAATCCATTTTGTCGTCGCAATTTCAATTTCTCACGAAAGTATTGCTTAAAACCGTTTCGTCGAATAGGCGAGCTGGCTATATCGCGATCGTCTCCAAATGAAGAAGCAAAATGCAATTTCGAACCACCTGCCTTACTGCGATGTCAGTATGCTCTGGAAGAGACGATTGTGCACATGCAAATCTGACGCTAATACTGAAACTAATAAAAGCGGACTTACAAAAAAGAACACGCGATGGACGGTCGGGCACCTCCTTTCATTTTTCAAAGTCTACTTTATTTTTATGTTTGAGGCGACGCTACGCCGCCGCGGTCTTTCTCCCTCCTGTGTTTATGTTTTTTTTTTGTTTGTTTTTCTTTCTTGTGCTTGCTTGACGTTCGAACCATTGCGAATTTCGCTTTGCCTTGTTTGGCTTAGTTTTTACTTTCTTTTCTTCGCTTCGCCGCTTACTACCACCGGTTCGTCTGCTACGCAATGCCCGGACATTTGGAGGGCCGTCTGCAACTTTGCAGTTGTTCTTGTTGGTGTTATTTTTTCACTGTCGTCAGTGATAACCTCCTATGTTCGCCTTCGATTGAGTTTCTGATCCGAAATCTTCAAATGTGCCTTTAGATACTTAATAAATATATTAAAAAGTGTAAGCTCGTTATACGTTTATATTTGGATTTTATTTGAGTACGCGGCCACGTCTGCTGTAAGTGATCGTTGGTTGATCAACCGGCTGCCTTCGGACATACCCCAGCTCATACTTGGAAAACAAGTTTTTGTGATGTGGTGAAAATCCTCCTTCCGCTTTCCGAAGACCGAACAAACGTGAGTAATTAAGTTACTTCAAATTAAACTGGAAGAGCTATCTAAGTCTGGCTTCAAAATTGCCACTGACGCCTCAACAGACGAATATTTCACCAAACAAGAGTTCAGCTGAAAACGCACTTGAGGCCGCTGATCGACACGCAAAACAAAGGCACGGTGTGCAAGAATTGCCTGGACATGTACGCCAACAAGTACTGGAGTGTACTTTTGAACTGCTGCGCCAAGCGAGAAAACAAACAACCTGCCAAAGTCACTGGGAAAAGAAAGGCGAAAGAAAAAAATGTCACACACTGCTAGCACGTAGCAGATTGCAGCTCTTTTGTAATTAGTTCCTACCAACACCACGAAAGCAAATAAACAAACGTGTAAAATGCAGCTGAAAAAAAAGGAAAAAGTTAGGCTCTTTTTTTTATTAGTTTCGTCCTGTTGCTTCCGCTTTGTTTGTTGTGGACTCAACACCGATGGCGAGCACCATCTGCTAATTTTCAATGCTCCTACCGACGCCCCGTGCGATCGTCGTCGTTGAAGGAGGTCTTTGCTGGGTGATTTGTATCTTTGTATAGTCTGCTAACTTCGTTTCATTCGCCGTTGTTCGCGACTGTTCTTCATTTCTTTTTATTTTCGTCTGGAATAGGGACCTCATCTTTTCTGCAAAGTTCGGAAAGTGTTTGCACGTTGATTTTTCTTGTTACTTTTTGTTTTTGTAATGGCTGCAGAGGCTGGCGCGCTTGCTCTCGTAATTTTAACATATTGTTCGCGCACGTTTTAATAATCACCTATTTAGGTAAGAAATTGTGACAACGCAGTTTGTAACGGATAAACAGTAACGTCTTACGACGGTAGTACGAGTAGCTAAACGCCTTTTTTCCGCTTCCCAGAAGCGTTTCAAACGTGTGTGATTCCCCTGAGTGGCGTTTGAGACCTCTAAATAAACTGCTCTATCTTCGTTTATGCGCGCGTTGTTATTTGTTTGTCTTCGCAGTTGCGATCAGTGGATTCCGCTTTGCAAACGGCCTAACCGTAATGAATTATTTCAGCTGTTGGGGTGAAGAAACAGGGCTCGCAAAGCTCGAGGACGTCGCGGAGCCTATACTTTTACATTGCGTCGTCTGCTTCAGTAGACTCCAAGTCCGCCAGAGGCGCCACTGTCACGTTCGCCGCCGCTCCCATAGATTTTCGGAGGAGCTTCCAGTATTAGCGAAGCTATATCGTATTTGACGATACCGTAACCATGGACTATAAAGCTTGCAGTCTCATGAAAACCTGCCTCGTTCTTCACCAATGCCTGCATCTCACAGTCCAGGTACTTAAAAAATCTGTTTTTTTAGTTCAGTGTCCCTTTAAATAAACTTTCTGCTCACCTTTAATGGTCCCTAGGCCCACTTTGAGCTCCACTGGAGCAAGACCGAACAGGAAGTACCAGAATTGGACGCAGTAGTCCTCCTCAGAGTCCTTCAGGACCGGACTGGCCAGAAACGTCTTCGTCGTATTCGGGACTGGAGAGAAGTAGGCGTACTTCCCTGTACGCAAACAAAACCACCATCATTAAAATACATGCTGAACTATAAACTATTTGCATAATGACCTTCCGTGCGCTGTCATGTTTGATTGCTCGGCTGAGGAATCTTTTCGAAGCATGTGCAATAGCCTTCTTCCGTGGAATTTCAGATACCGCCGCATGCATTCCCAACCTAGTAATTCAGCATTTGACACCTGTATGATAAGAGCTTGTACACCATGCGGGCCAGACGGATCTCATTAACTTTAAATAAACTGCGAAAATCAGCAATGCATCATATTGATGCTTTAAATAAAAGTAAAAGTGAGGCTAGATGATGGATTTGTATTGTGAAAATATCAAAGGTAACACCTGGCTCAGTTGAATGCTCCAAATAAATAACTTTTTTTTTCAATGGCTCAATACGGAGTTCCGCCTTTCGGAATCAAAGTGTAAAACAAAACGCTCTTGCTGGCTACATTGGCATTTCATTGGACAAAAAATTAAACCAGCGCAAAGACATGATGTGACCTGGCATGACGTCACGTTACAGCATGACTTGACCACCCTACTGAAAAAAACCATTTGGCGCCTATATGAAAATAAACGGGTCCATACCGGTAACAGTTTAACCATACCGGTCACCAGTTTGTCAAAGGGGTCGCCCGTATGGCTCAAAGGGGTCCCCCGTATGAGCCATAACGGTCACCTATTTGGACAAGCAGGTCACTCCTTTGGCAGACGGGTCGCTCGTCTGGGCAAATGGGCGACTCGTTTGGGCAAAGTTGTCGCACGTTTGCTCAAACCGGTGACCTTGCTGCAAACTGTAGCGGTTTAATCAAACGGCTCTTTGGAGCCCGTTTGATACTGAACGTACAGGTCGGTGGCGTGGGCACGCCTAGCGTTTCAGCCGTGGCAGCCAATGTTTCCGGAAGGCTGGGAGCGCCGGTTCATCGATTTCAGATCGTCCGCGTAATGCAAGTAATTATATTTATATTTCAATTGCGCTGATGTTCGCCTATACTGAACACTAAAACTAACACATTTTTTTTTGTTGTTGTTTTACGTAAACGCGCGACGTTGGCAAGCCGATATTTTTGACAGAACTTTAAAACTTCGTCCACCTTTGTTGCCTCAATTTAATTATTCAGCTCGAATCTCTCTCGCAGAAGACGCGACCGCGTGAAAGAATGTACGTCTAGACTCCGTTTCACTGTAATTCAAGACGCACCGAAGGTAGCACGCGTACACGCGGCTGCAAGAACATCGAGCATTGCGAGAGCACGCCCGCCGTTGCAGCAGTCAAACTACGAACTCGCGCTGAGTACTTTCTTCGCTCGGGCGCAAGCCGAGCTTGTGGCCGCCCCGCTGCCATTTCCAAGGTTTTTTTTCTTCGAGGTTACAAAAACACATCTCCCTGGAATGCCTGGGGAGAGGGAGAGGGGCTGTCCCTGTGGTCCTCGCCCCCTCCCTCCTCTCTTGTCACCTGCCACGTGACCCGCAGCTGCGCGCGAGCTACACGCTGATAAGATCCGGAAGGGTGCGCCTAGCAGCCGCTTTTTTCTTTGTCTGCTTGTTGTCAGTTCCAGCTCGACTTCGCGCGTCCAACTGCTTCTTTCTGTCGCCTAACCCTGCGGTCTTATTAGGATGTCTCTCGACAACGTATTGGATGTGCACCAAAGCTATCAGTGTTCCAAAAGTCGTACGTCTATATCGGCAACACGCGATTCTTCAAAGAAGTCAGGAATTCTTGCGGTTTGGTTGGGTTCAGCAACTGACAGCTTGTGCGCCACATCGTGTTGAAACTTTTAAGAAGCCGTTCTCTCTCATTTGTGTTTGTGTGGTTGTCCTGCTTTGACCGTGTCGACAAATATCACGGATTACATCTTTCAAGTCCGCTATTTTTGTGGTAAGTGCACTGCAACGTACTTCTTGGCAACGATTGACCGTTCTTCTACTCGTACTCTTCCAGATTATCTATATAATTATGCAGCCACTATTCTCGCGGCAGCCGGGCGAATAATTTCCCGAAAGTCTACCTTCATAGTCTAGAATTAACTCGGTTCTTGCTTGGTTTGCTATCTTCTCAGTTGTATAAAAGCTTAGAGTGCCTCTCACATTTCACAGATCGCTTGCACGTTTGTACTTGTCTACAGAAGACGTAATAAACTTTGAGGAGAATTGAAAACAATCTTTTGTGTCTGTTTTCCTGTCCATTTGCAAGCACCTACGTGAGCACATTTGTTCTACGTGTTTCCTCCATGTTATAAATAGGTTTATGAGTTTCGGAACGTCTTAATTAAGTTTAAGATAACCAACCTACCAGACGATCCCCGTTTAGGGCTAGCGCATAATTTCCCGATTCGAATGGCACGTTCAAACGTGTGGTCACCTGCAAGGTGGAACGGGCACCTGTATCGAACGGGCACCGGTATCAAACGGGCACCTGTATCAAATGGGTACCGTTTCGAGTGGGTACCGTTTCAAACGGCTACCCGTATCCCATAATCACGTTTGATCCAAACGGGTCGACAAGTTTGCACCCGTTTGATTTACCAGTTTGCCACCCATTTGAATTTCAAATGGTTTTTTTTTTCAGTAGGGCATCCACGTTGTTACCCTCATTGTTGTTGACACTGACACGACTTCAGGTCATGAGTCACGTTATACCGTGGCATCCTGTGACTTTACATCGCATGACACGACAAGACACCGTAACGCCACTGACCCAGCATAGCCTGATGGAAGTCGCATGGCCGTGTGACACAGTGGCCCCCGTTCATGTTGCCATAGTCATATTATGACAGCATATTATGACTTTGGCAATGGTGATGGCAAAGAAACAGTAATTTTAACTTTCTCTAGTTCCTAGATCTGGAGAAATTTTTGGGGGTTAGCGTGGTTCCACACATGTCCCCAGGACAAGCATAAAAGGTAGGATTTAATGGTGAAGTGCAGTAGTCGGTTATTTTATAAAGCCAGTGCCAAAAAAAAAATAATGGTGGAGATGCCATGAGCCCACCTTCCGGTGAGCGTAGCTTGCTGTCCCAGTGTGGTCCCTCCTTCTTGAAGATGGCTGTCTTTCCAGACCTCATGACCCAGGAAGCTCTGCCCTGTTGACTCCACGAGCAGAAGTCCACATCGAAGTCACAGTCCCATACCGTGTTGTTGCGTTCCATGGCTGCAAACACGAATCTCTGTGCAACTCGGGCTATGCGACGCTTATATTCTTGTGTCCTCACCACATTTCCGAGGATCAACTAAACATGCACACTTAAATAAATCAAGCAACCCAACACAAAAATAGTGTGCTTACGGAAGTTCCGATGCGTAATTGAGTGCTTGGACAATTATTCAACTAATCAATTGATAGATTAATTACAATGATGTACTAAAGTGGCTCCAATCATTGGCAAATTCATCCCTTCATCAATTAGTCAGTCCATCAGTAGTGCATGCATGCATACAACAAGGTTTCCTGCATTGAAAAAGTAAGGTGATAAATTATAGCTATACCTAATTTATAAAAAAACTTATTTCATTCATTAATTATTCTATTCATAGTATGCATGCATTTACCAAGATATCTTGCACATATCTCGTAAGTTTCGAAATTACCAAAGTATAAAATCAATATTCTAAATTGCATTTCAAAAGTATATGTGAAACCAGTGCATCAATACATTATTTCTTTGCATTTCCATTACAACTCAAAGCATGAGTTAAAGGTATGCAGGCACCAGATATCTGCGAAAGCCATACATCTGACAGTAAACCATTGAATAGAGTCATTTTAATGTTCAAATTTCTTAATTTTTATGCCTCTAATCTAGGGCCAACTCCAACCAATTCTAGAAATCTTTCAAGCATAAAAACTCGTGTCACATTCCATTTTACTGCATAGGATGTAGCATAATGTCCAGCAAACGAAATGTCTGCAACACAGACATTCACAGAAAGTGTAGCTTCAGCTGTCATCCGAATTTAGAAACAAAACTTGGGAGACGCTTAAGCTTCGACATTAAGAAAAGAACGCGATAGCATTTTCGGGCCTAATTCGCAAAGCCTTTTTATGTAAACCCGCGATCGTTCCCAAGGCGTGCAAGCATGTGTGCATGCTCTAGTCATTAACATCACGTGACACGCGACGTCACACGCGAGCGTTGTATGTTGTTTGAAATTCCCGAGCGTGGTCCTGTGGAGTGACGTCACACGCAAGACGTCATGACCCTATCGACTCGCAAAATATAGCGGAAAAGCTTCCAAAAAACTTTTTTGAAACATTTTTCCGGCAAAATTTAGAGGAGCATTTAACGCTCGAGACGTGACACGTGACGTCACCAGGTGCATGCAGGGATTTTCCGTTCCCGCCGACGCCGGTACCGAACTTTGTGGCACGAGCTCCTAAGCGCTATCGCGCTAAACCAGTTTTGAGAGAGAGGAAAGTTGCATGTAAAGTTAGTTTACTTTATAGGCCCTAATGTCACATCTGAAAAAAGATGTGCCTGCAAAATAAATGTCCATAAAAATATGCAGTCAGCTATCGGCATTTCAAAACATATTATGTAACGACATGTTGGTTACTAGGCCCGCAATAATTCAAGCTCAAATATTTCATACTCCTAGGTAATTAAAAGAAATTCAAAAAGTTTCGATGTCCCCAATGTTTTCATTCTACTTACTCGCCGCTTAATTCAAGCAGCGTTTGTGCGTAGTTCATACTTTTTGTTTTCCCTGTACCGTTGAGCGCGCATCTTTCCGAGAACCGATGCAGTGTAGACAAGAAACACCAGTGGGTGGCCCTTTTTTGCACTGCACCGGTGTTCGACAGGAAGCGCGCTAGACGAGGCAAGCAGACCACAATAAACAACTTTTTGCTGGATGAATAAATACACTTATCTCATACATTTCACCAAAGTTTTGTGTGTGGCATACCTGCTTATGAATAGCAGGCCTATGTAAAGAAAATCATAAAATATCTCAATTGTACATGTAGCTATCCATAGAACAAATGCTAATTTTATCTCATATCATTCATATTTAGATGAATTTCTGATAACTCAAACTTCTGATAGTTAACAAAAAATGCGTGGCTTCCTGGAGTTTGAATTAATGAGAGTCCACATTACCTGGGGGATTGGTAGGTGACGAATCGTCAGGGCACTTTCCTCTGAAGACTTGAATGTCGTCAATGGCCACGTCTACCCTCACCTTGAGTCCAGGGTATCCGGTGATCCATATCTGTCGTTGAAGACAAAGCCATATTTACATGCGGAATGATTTGAAAAAAGAATTGTACAGACAGTAGGATGCCTTACTACAGCAACATTTTCAACCTCCCCAATTTTCGCAGGCTTTTCTAATCAATCAAGCAAACCTTCCCGGGATATCAGATGCGAGGGTGACATGTAAAGTCCTAAACGTAAACAGAAAGAGTTGCCCATTTTGAGGCACATCCTTACAACCCTAGGCAAGCTGGACTTCCGATTTAATCTGCCCACTGATATCTGGCGGCTCTTCAACCGACGGACACGAACAGTAGCTAGAATTCATCAGAGGTAACGGAGACTTTTGAAAAACCTGTACTTCTGCCTAACCGAGCCTAGCTTGAGGCAGGACTTCCTAACGACTTACCTTTAATTTCTCTCACCACACAAAAATCTTAAATATTCAGAGTTCACTCTTGTGGTGGAATGCCCCAAAACCTCTCCAGTTAGCACATCCATTGTGCGTACAAAGCGTGAGCACATTTTGACACCCCTTGTATTCATATGTCGGATATCCCCCGTAAAATAAATATTCTTGTTGCGGTAAGGCATCGGGGTTCCCCGCAAGTCTTATTTCTGCTTTGCGGTCAATTGTCGCGCACAGTCTGGCAATGTTGGCTTGCGAGATCTAGTATCATCGATAGAGCATGCATGATGCCTTTAATTACTTAGTTTTAGGCAAGGTGGCATAAGTAACAGTTTGTTTTTCTTTCTACCCTTTTTTTCTGGACCAGCGGAATTTTTCCTCGCACATTCACCCATTGTTAATTGTGGCATCTTTTATGGCGCCACAGGGTTTTGGCTGCCCGTCTTCCTGGTTAAGTGCTCGAGGGGCGATTCGGGATAGTAAAGTCGCATCCTGACCTTCATTTGCCCTCCTGACCAGTAGAAGAAACTTGGGGGTCCTCTGACGGCGGCGGGGAAAAACCTCCACGCCGATCGGTCATAAACTATGATGCACCACGGGCGCAAGTCTCTTCTCTCACGCCTAACGTCAGCGTAGAATTTGAGCAAATGAAAAGGTGGCGCAGATACAGTTTTCACGGACGACGTCGTGTGTATGACAAGTGTCGGCCCATGGGTCGGGCCTGGCACTTCGGCCTGGTTCACACTTACAGCTAATCCGCTACCGCCGAAGCGGAATCGGCCGCGGCAATGCACAGTGGACGCTACGCCCGGCGACTGAATTCATGCAGATTCGCCCGCCGATTCACAAGTGTGAACCAGGCCTTCGAGTGCCAGGCATTACGAGGCGCGGAACAGTACTACCACTGCCGCTTCTACCCCGTGCGTTATCTGTACATATAGCTGGCTTCGCGTTTATTGAAAGGTAAAAAAAAAAATAGAAGCGGTACACTACTCCTCGGTCGTCCCTTGCCTCTATGTGCTTCCTTTTTGTTTTGAACACATGGTCTACAAACGTGCCTAGTGCGGTCTGTTTGGTCACGGACTACAAGAGAACCAGTTTGCCGGCGAAGGTACGCGTTTTCCCACATTATCTTAGAGCCTAGCTCTTAGGCGTCCGTTTCCGGGTTGAGCGACGTCGGCGTCGCTGTCGACGTCGACGTAACCGCACGCTGCGTTATAGGGAGTTTCCCATAATGACGTTCCGCGTGACATCAAGTTTGACGTCACGAGGGGAAACGTTTTGCGTTAAATTTTGCAGGTAATTTTCCGCTAAATTCAGCGAAATGTCAAAGGTGACGTCCCGTGTGACGTCACGTGACGTCACACGTAAACTCAAAACCAATTCCGTTCCAAATTTAGCGGAAAACTTTCCCGCTAAGCTTAACAAAAATATTTCCCGGTTAAATTTATCGGCGAATTGAAGTCACTTGAACTAAACACCAATTGAATTTCCCCGCTAAACTCAGCGGGATAATTTTCGCTAAATTCACCACTAAATTTAGCGGGAATTTTTTTGATAAATGTTCCACTAAATTCAGCGGAAATATTTCCCCTCTAAATTTAACAAGAAATTTAGCAAAAACTTCCCGCTAAATGCATGGGCAGTAGGCGAAGAGGAGAGGAAGAGGGGAATACTCTCCCCGCCATACCCTCCCCTCCTTCTCCTAAAGAGCTGCGCTCTAATTCGGCATTACGGAGAATTGTAAACTCCTTTAATTTTTCTCTATTTGCTTTTTACGGAAACGATGTTAGCAATTTTAACGAACGGCTAAAGTATTTTTAGCAGAGAAGACATCATTGAAGAGGGCTCTGAACGTTTCTGTGATGAATACTCAAATAATGATTTTGACGGTTCTTTGAATAATAGCGAGGAGGAGAGTTATACCGACACAGCCATTCCTCAAAGCTGGTCGCCCCACACGATGCGGCCAAAGATTCTGAACCTCCTCCTTGTACAGTCGAAGAACCAGCAATTTCAAATGTTTTTCACAAAGGCATGGGCGATGAGTCTTATTTGATTATCACTAAATGACTATTCTTATTGGTGTAAAATAATTCTGACCCGATTGGCCGACAAGGCGAATTGTCACATAACCCCAGAACAATAAGGATTTCTTAACAAAATGTAAGGGCGCAAACGAGCTGGTGTACAATGCACATGGTTGAAAAAAACCCGAGACTGCGGGTAAACGACGCAACACTAAAAAGTCTCTAAAAGAGAGAATTTTTATTGTTGTGTCGTTTACCCGCAGTCTCGGGGCTTTTTCAACCAGGATTTCTTAATTGTGCAGGCGATATCAACGACGACTACCGCAAGGCAGACATTGTATCGAGACTTACATTGTAAGTTGTTGGAAGTTGAGTCTCGTAATGTTGGAAGAGGGTCCAACCGGATCTTGGAGACCGGTCGAGCTCCCAAGCGCGAAGAAACGGCTTTCCATGCACGACATAGTCCACACTCAGCGCCGCATCCACCCCTATCACAAAAGTAAAGTGAAAGCCCCGTACAAGCCTCAAGCCATTCAATTTAGAAAATAAATGTGAGCTTTGATGTGGCACCCTAATGAGATGTACACTTTTTTATATTTCCTGTTATTTGAATGCGCAATCTAATCCTACATGAATGCAGAATGCTCCTTCAATTTTAATTTCACAGGGTTAATTTTCTCAAAACTAAACATCCAGCTATATCTTTTATTTATCTGAATCAACCAAGTACTTGAAAAGGCCAACTGGTACACCTGACTTCCTTTCATTGTGACGAGATTGAGTAAAATCGCTGATTTCTGTGGAAAGTCAATTTCTAGAATTTCGATACTCATTTAAAAACAAAAAAAAACTTTACCATTCCTGTGAAGACAAACATTTTTTAACTAAGCAACTTTTAGTTGTGAAACCCAGATTGCGGTTATTATTTTCTCGTAAAAAGGTTGACAAATACTTACTGCTGACTAGCTTGACTGCAAATATTTTTCATGTGAATGGCGTCCAAAGATTTACAAGATGCAATTTTTTGTTTTAGGTTTTAGGAAGGTGAAAAAACATGTAAGCAAATTTGCAATAAAACTAGACCTGAGACCACTACCTACAACTTCATTATATTGGGGTTCAACCTTGCAAGGATCCAGTGCCAAAGCGCATCGTTCTTCAAAAGATTTGTAAGTATACATCCATTTGCCTGCAGCCCAAAAATAATTGTAGAGAGAAAAAAAAACTTAAGAGAACACTTCAATTTTCCCTTCAAGTCCCCTTACCTATGTTGTCAACGTAGTAATAGAACTGGAGGCAGCTTCCCGGTGAGTAGTGGAGAGGTTCGCTTTCCAGGACACCCACCGCATTGTTGAGGCCATAGCGGGAGTCCAGATGCAAGAAATGACCTGCACATTATTAAGATATTAATTCTTTCGTTCATCACTAAATCTATCTTGGATTTAATTGTTCTAATCTAGACCAGATCCGTACTGGCGTACATTTATATATCACTACCCCGTGATGCATATTAAAGAGCCCAGGCTAGCAGCCATGCTGTACCAGCTGAACTTATCTTCCGAAGCTGAGACAGCAGACTAACCTCCCAAAAAAAAAACTGCTCCTACTATCGGAAAATACATTTATTATCAAGGCCGTTGGAGAATTTTTAATGGCTTTAACATAATTTTCGGCAAGGATTGCCTCAACTTTACATATCTCACAACTGTAGGGCAGCTGGTATAGAACGAGATATCTTTAGGAGTCATGGGAAACAGAGTTTAAAATGTTTATTCAAAATCTCTGCCTTTATCATTGGAAAGTTCCAAAAGTCGTCATAGCCATTCCACATTGCTACTTCATTAAAAAGTGCGCCGCGCCCACAGTGTTACAATCAGCCGACCTTGAGAGGTATAGTTTCCGGTGTGCCTAAACATTTCTCTCCCTATGTTTACAAAACTTTGCCGTGGAGCATATTTTTAACATTTTCAATTCTGAAAATTTCATTTCATCAATTACTGCGACACCACTGCGCCTAGAGTTCACTTTTTGTCCACACCTGGAGAGCATTTTTTAGTTGCGGATGTTTTTCCTGGCACTCACTCGCTTTATTAGCTGTCAAACTGTTCTTTTCACTGTCTCGCGAGCCACCGTTACCGGTTCAGTGTCTGCTACCCGAGTGGCGTGTCCTATCCTGTCCTTATATCAAAAGTGGCCCCAAAGCGGCAGCAAATGATGTGCCACAAGCAGCCGTGTCGTGTCGTGGAATGTCGCAATCCTGGCGGTAGGCGTAGAAGACTCGGCAAAAAGAAGGAGCGAACGCGAGTTTCGCCATTATCGCGGCATCCCAAATCTTGGCTGCTGAAGCTCCAATGGACTACGAAGCTGGAGAGCATATGCCGCATCCACCATCGCTGCAGCGACAGAGCCAGGGAGCCAAGATTTGGCCTGGCATGCATGACGTCGGCGGGAAAAAATCGAGGAACCACCTTTTTTACGAGGAGCTAATCACACCAGTCAGACATGTTTCAGGCCCAATAGTTGTCGGTTCTATGGCTGTCTATAAAGTGGGCTAGAAAAGAAGGCAGCTGTACGTACCGAGCTAAGCTGTTTATCAGAGGTGTATTTTGGTGGTGCATGTTGCTTTGCACAGATTTAGGGTATGACACCGTTTCCACAAAACTTTGGAACCTCCCCATATGCACAACGAACGGCGACACAGACGACGCCCATCGTTCAGATGTGGCGCTACAGGACACTGAAAAAAGGCGACAAAGCACTAGATTGATGGGTATCAAAAAGCGGTCTGCAGAAGCCCTAAAGCCCTGAACCGTCAGTCAATTGCCAAGCAATCAAACTTTTATTTTTATTAACGTTGACTGTCCCGCAGACTTAAAAAAGAAAAGCCGAAATCGTTGCTCTCGTTACGCCAACTCTCGGGGAAATGAGTTAGCATTTAATGCCAGAGTTCCGACTCGGTGAAGGGTTGGAATTCCAACCTCGCAAAGGTCCGCATACTGCTGTTTTAAGAGATACAGTACCCTCTCCCGGGCGTCGGCGGTTTCAAATGCAACCACTAGTGCTTCCCTCGATCACGGCCCATTATGTTGTCTTCGAAGAGCCAATCTTCCCTCCCGGATGTCGGCGGTTTCGTGCGAACGGCATCGTCGCAGCGCCTCAGTTTTTCGGGAGGCACTCACTTGATCGAATGACGTTTTAGCGAACGCCCACGTTTCACCGAATGACACTTCAGCGAATAGTCGGACGCCGCGAAGCGGCGTTTTCGGATGGGCCAAATGAGTTCACATTTTTGTAATCAGCCGCCGCAGACTGTCGCCGCGAAGCGGCGTAAGCGCAGCGCGGCAGATGGGTAAGACTCCCTCTCATAAAAGAGAATGTGGGTGTAAGCAGCAAATGAACTGTGCGTAATATCACGGCGGGAACCGCGTTGCGACCTCAAAAAATCAGTCCAATCTAGTGCAGTCAGCCCAGTCCAAACCATGGCCATCCAAACAAAAGACGGCTGCATTCACCAGGGCAATAAATGCCCAGGTGAATGCTCACTGTGCGTACTTCTTTTTAGAGGAGGATTAGTCCACGACAATGATATACTAGGTACAAATGACTGCCACAGTTGTGGCAGTCGTCGACTGCTATTGTGAAAACGTTCCACAGTATAAGTCATTGACTTTCATTGTGAAAATATTTGCGTGTCCTCATTTTTATCACAAATTGAGCTAAGCCTTCGTACTTCCCGGCGCAAGCCCAACCACTAAAATGCACGTTTGACCAAATTCTGAGTTCGCCACATCCAGAAACAAATGTTTCCAACTCATCCTCCAACCCGCCGCGGGGTCGATGACACCCCATATTTCTTCGCCATCTTCATGTCGGTTCAGCCAATACCACCTACAAGGCGACCTGCAAATTTCTCGCATCTACATTGCTGCGAGTACACCTTGCAGAGTCTCGCGATGCGCGGGACGCTAGCAGGTGTCAGCGCCGAGATTCACGTGCCTGCCGCTTTGTCTGGCGCGTAAATCTTGGGTGCGTCTTGTGCTTGAGGTTTGGCGCTGGGGTGGGACGGCGATTCACCAAAGACATCACGCGCAAGCCTCATCTTTTAGGTGCTCTGCACCATGCACCAACTGGCCCGACGACAGGTCTCGTGAAACCATGGTTCTTCAATGGGCGGTACTCCTTCGGCGCGGAGGTGTGTCACCCACCCTGCCGGGTCCCGAGGGTGTGGTCGAACTCTGGTTCGCGCCTGGACAGGGTTGGCCCGGACCAGCGACGCCAGGTGAGGTTGAGTGGTCCGCCGAGATTCCTCCAGTTGCAGAGGTCGTCTTCGAAATTGCAGCTTCCGGGGTCTGGGCACGACCACCCAGAGAGCAGCACGTCGTCCACGGCAACGACGCTTCCCAGCTTGCCCGAGGACTGGCCACCCAGGACCAGCTGCTGCTCGAGCAGACAGGAGGAGAAAGATAGCAGGTTTCCATTTTCAGAAGAACTATTCAACGCAGCACGACGCAAACACACGAAGGGCCGAAACACTCGAAGCAAGAGAAGGTCTCGCCTGAGGTGAGTAACTGCTGACACAAGCAAACGAGTTTGTCCTCCATAAGGAGAGCCAGTCGTCTGCTTCTTGCGTGAGAGTTGCGGTGACAACAGAATGACTCCAAACTCTGATTGGTTCTGATTGAAAAGAGAGTGGGTAGACCTCAATGTAGGTCTGCCCGGAATATTTTGTTTTCCTTAGTCGGACAATAAAAACTCCGCGTTCTGACATCATTGCAACCCCCGTGCAGAAGCAGACGAACTTGCGCTACGCATAGTCGACAACAGGTTCGGAACGTGGTAGATGCCCCGTCTCCAGCACGAGCTTTCTGCCTTCGATAACACTTTGACGCAACCACATCCGAAGCTCACCAGGAGGCAACCAACGCGTGCAGCGGGCAGAAGTTCTACTAAATGCTTAATCCGTCGCAAGCTAGCCAAAGAGCGAGCGAACAGGACGTCGCGCGACGTCAGTTCCTTCTACGAACCTGCAGAGACTTCTTCCGAACGGCGACGTTTACGGACGCCGAGGCCCATTGTCGGTCGACGTTGTCCTCTCCGTGGACGGACCAGAGAAGCTCCTCTTTAGCCGCGGGGTCCAGCGCCAGTCTGGACACGTTGAGCAGCTCCTCCCGAAGACCCGCGGTAAAGTGCCAGAAGCGGAGACACTGTCGTTCTTCGGGCACAAGCTCGTATCTCGGGCTCAGCATGCGTCCTTTCGGAATTTTCACTCGAGCATAATGACCTGTCGAAAATGCGTAAAAGGTGTTCCTTGCGATTAGCTTCTTAACTTGTCTCAGAGGCTGTAAAGAGACTTGTAGAGTTCGCCTTTACCGAGATTACCCATTGGCGAACCTTTGAAACTCTTCTAAGGAGATCAGATCCATCGAAATAAATATCGCTCGTTCTGTTTGTTCGCAAAGCAGACATTGCCTGGTGTGCATCATCGCATGTGGTTTCGCTAAATAATGTGACTTTAGAGAAACCTAAATTGACGAATAACATTTTCGATTAAGGTTTTGGGTCTAAATAAGTTGTGTCCGTGCAACCTTTCGTTTCGATGGCGCTACGTGGCTAGGAAGTTGCTGCGCAAAGGCTTTCTATGCCAAACTTAGTCACTTAGCACCACCTCAACACAAGGTTCTACACTAACAAGTTCTTTGTACCTAAAACCAAGTACCTCGAGAACATGCAGCGCGTCAGTGACGAAGGCGGCGTGGCGGCGGTTTCAACCGTTGGCGCTGCCGCAGTATTTCTCTTCGGTCACATTTCGCTTTAAAAAATCATAAAACTGACCGTTTTTACTTTGTGGAGGAGAGCAATTCCTTCGTTAAACAGAAATATTAGTTAAACAGTGTGGCGCTTAGCTCAGCACGCTGAAGCTGGCACGCGCGAGCGCAAGCCGTTCGTTCGAGACGAAGATGGGGCGCGGCCATGTATAGGTTGTATTAAATTTTATGTAGAGTAAACCGTGTTGTTGCTAAATGAGCCAATTTGTGTATGACGAACACAACAAACAGTAATTCGGTGTTGTAGTTAAGGAAACACATCGAGCACATAATACATCGGCTGGGACTTCATTCTATTTTGTTAAAAGGGCATTTACTTAGAAGAGACGTTCGTTGTAAAAACCTCTGACTTGTTTCAGTTCTTAATCAGCCGTATTAGAACATAACAAGCTATGAACTGAACGAAATACGATTGTATTTGTAAACGAAATTCCCGCAGCATAGCGCATGAAACTGAAAGAACAACTTGTAAAAAGGACTCTCACCAATAGGCCTTCCGAGGGTGTGATCCGACGGCACCACTTTTGACAGGAACGCGCTTTCAATGATCCAGTTTTCCAGCGTCCACTCACAAGGGCCTTGCTCAAAGTCACAAGTCACTAAGGCGAAAGCAAACAGAGGTGAACAGCATTAAATACCGAAACTGCCAAGCAATTGGTGCACCAATTATGATTCAGACATTCACTATAGACTTTAGCTGCATAGTCTAAAGCAGGGGTCTCAAAACTTTCTGGCTCGGGCCCGGTCTGAGACCTGTCGCAACCATGGAGTCTGGAAAGTAATTAAGTAAATAAAAATAAAATGCAGTAAAGATAAACCTAAAAGGGGTTTAAAGCACTAATATTTATGGTAGAGTTTAAAAAAATCTAAAGTGGTTTAATAAATAAATTTTATTTTGCAATTCAGTATTTACCTAATTTTTACTATATGCATTAAGTATAAACCGGAGAACTCACCGGGCATAAATGAAAGTGCAGAGCAAAATTTGCTTATTCACAGAGGACAGAATGCTACTGAGAATGGTAGAACTGGTGATGACATTATGCAATTGTTCTGACACAGGTCATAAAGCGTGTATATATGAGAACTGAAAGACATTTTAACGTGCTTACACATACTTAAGAAAGGTGGCTAAAATGGCGATGAGAACGTGCCCGATATGCTCAAGGTTATATGGCATAGTACTATCAGCTAAGAGTCAAAACCGATCCGATGACTGCCGAGCGTTGCGGTGTTGTTACTTTACGCCCGCTTATTTTTCCGCCGGTAGCAGCGGTGGAAACATGCGGCGGGCCGGGCGTCACTGGCAGAACCGCGGGCAGCCGCGGGCCGGCCGAGACGCCTCTGCAGGTCGCATTTAGCCCTCGGGCTAGGGTTTGGCTACCCCCGATTTAAGCATGGGTTTCAAAAGTGGTTCCCCATGAACACGCGGTGTTCCCAAGAGTATCCCTATGGCGTTTGCCTGAGCTCCCAAATGTTTTGTACAATCCCTGCGCTAAACAAAGGCTTTTTCCTGTCCAAGCACTATAGTTGCAGATCTAAGCCACCCATCTAAGCATAGCAATAAGCCTAATACTTGCTAGTACGTTTGAAGACACTTTAGGCTTTTTAACCGCATGACTGCGTCAATGCTAAGACATGAAGGGCTTCTTTGGTGATCAGTTGAGGCTAGTCGCAATCAGGCAGCGAAACAGTTCAGATTTATCAACTGTTCACTGACCACTCCACAAATCAACTACCGCGGCAGAAGTAGTGAAGATGTTCTTTCTTTGAGATTGCGCCGGGACCCGACGACGGAGGCAGCTGATGGTCGCTGACGGAATAGTAAACCAGACAGGACTCCGCGGATAGGAGGAACAAAAAAAAAGACACGTCTATTTACAAGACAAACTGGTTTCCGAATGTCCCAAAAAGGTCACACCACGTGCTGTCCTCGTCTTCTTCTCTTCTCCAAAGTGTCCCCTGCCCCAGCTCGCACGAGCATCGCCAGTTCACCCACACACCGGGGCACACGTGCAAACGCAAACACGCCAAGAAAAGAGCCTGTTCCCGCGTCCTTTCACGGTGATGGCGGGCCGAGTCTCACACCTCCCGACTAAGTATATTTTTTAGACCCAAAATGTCAAAAATAATATATAACAACTAAATTCAAACGCGTACGCATATCAGACACACCTTACACAGAGTTTGTGACTCAACCCGTCAGAATCCAAACTATCAAAAAAAATGTACACTAAAATGCAAATCACACGCCAGTAAAGTGATTCTTACTGTGCCCGCCAAGGTTCCAAAGCAGTGACCAATCTCGCGCCGAGACTAGCGAAGCATCTAGCCTCCTAGCCTAGGCCTCTTTGCCGACAGGTTGTTCAAGCCACCCAGATTTCGGCGGGGCTTGAATCGGACGGTATGTAGCTGGTTCCGGAATTTCTCCTCGCAAGAGCGACGACAGTTTATACTCTGTCTTGATTTACGAATCAGGAAGGGGCCTCGCACGCGGTCGCCGTTGTTGACGTCTTCTGCACTCCCAGCTCTCTCATACGTGGCCGGCTGGCAGGTGGTCGAGTCTTCATCGGCGTCCCTAGCTATATTCTGGGACATATTCATCTCGAAGACGGTGTCCTCGTCGCTGTCCCCGCTTTCCTTGACAACTTCACCGGCTGGCTGTGACGTCAGCCACCCTAACAAGATGTCCGACTTCTTGTCGACACCCACTTCCCTGCCGTGGTCACTATTAGCTTGCCAGAACGTCTGCCGCCAATGCAAGATATTCTGTTCTTCCTCGTCGTCGACGGTCACGTTCTCGTCGTAATCATCCTCCGCTCGAAGAAACGCCTGCCGCCCAGGCACTAAGTTCGGTCCTTCGTCGTCATCCACGTTCTCGCCATCGTCGTCCTCGGCTCGCCGAAACGCCTGCCGCCCAGGCGATAAGTTTAGTCCTTCGTCGTCGTCCACGTTCTCGCCGTCGTCATCTTCGGCTTGCCGGCATTGTCGCCTGTCGGAAGATACCCTCGGTTCTTCTTTGTAACCGCCGCCCATGTTCTCAACGTGGTCGTTATTGGCTTGTTGGAACTTGTGCAATTCAGGTAAGATGTCGTGACCGGCTTCGACGTTGTCGAAGTACACATGGGTCGTCCTCAGATGGCCCGGGTGCCTGCCGCCCAGGCCAAGTGCACGGCCTTTCGTCGTCGACGTTCACCTGCTCGTCGTGGTCATCCTCGGCTCGCTGGGACGTCCTCCAGGCACGCGAGACATTCAGCTGATTTCTGCCGTCAACGTCCGCCTGCACAGACACGCAGCCGCGATTGTTCTTCGACGACCGCTCCGTGTCGTCGGCCTGTAACAGAATCTGAGGCGCCTCGCGGATCGATGGGTCCCACCTCTTCTGACCTTGGTGGTCCAAGTTGTTACCGCCGGTCTTGCCCACAACGGTCGTCACCTTGTCGGGCTCACGGCTGCAACCTTCCTCCACTTTGACTTTCTTGGCGTCTACTTTTTTCTTTTGAAACAGAAGTTCTTCGTATGGTGTCTTCGTCCGGGGACATTCGCGGGAATAGTGCCCCAATTCCTTGCATTTAAAACACTTCACCCGATAATTTTCAGGTACGATGCCCTGCCTTGGGCTCTCGCGTTTTTCCTTGAGAGAAGTGGTGGTTTCAATAAAGGGCCTCCAGACTTCAGCTCGCGACAGTCCGAGCTCTAACAAGACCCGTTCTTTGACCGCACCATACCCACTTCTCTCACCCGTGTTCACCCTATTCACTAGTGCACGCATGCCCTCCGTGAAATAAGGTCGCACAAGATATCCTCTGAGCCGCTCAGGGACTTCATATGTCTCGAAGACGTTTTCTACTCCATCAAACCAGTTCGGCACTAATATGTCGGACGACGGCATGGGAGTCAGCACTCCCTTCATCAATCTCGAAAAGCGAAAAACTTCATCTCGGAGGTTGACCTCCATGCCTCCTCCACTGGCTCGCCTTCGGTTTTCCGAGCGTAGTTGTTCTAGTTCTAGCTCGAGGCGTAACAGCCGTTCTTTCTCCCTTACTAGTTCAATCTCCTTTTCGATTGAGCTGTATGATCGGACTCCTCCGTTTCCATCCCCTTGTGTCTGCGAGTTTACCATTAATCCACTCAAAGGTGACAATTCACCTGGCCCGTCAACATTCCAATTCCGAACCCTATCCTGCTCTGGCGTTAGAACCGGCATCTGCCGCTCTGCATTGTCTGTATCCATGGCGGGCACACGTCAAAGAATTACCTTACCGTAAGGTCAACGACTGCCGCTGGATCACAGACGCAGCCCGCTTCTCAGAATAGTCAGGCACGAAAATGATGTCCGAGCTGTAGACTCAAGCGTTCCTCGCTGGAGTGGGACGGCATCCGGTCAGAGGTAGCTCTGCCACCACGAAGTAGCTCGGTGGTTCAATCTTCAAGGAGCTCGGTGGTCCAGTCCTCTCTTTAGAAGGCTCCACCAGTGCCGCGTCAAGTCGCTGTCCGCCGATTCCGTTGTGAAGATCACGCCGCCGGGGTCCGCCGACGCAATCCTGTCGACTGCGCCAGTGAAGATGTTCTTTCTTTGAGATTGCGCCGGGACCCGACGACGGAGTCAGCTGATGGTTGCTGACGGAATAGTAAACCAGACAGGACTCCGCGGATAGGAGGAAGAAAAAAAAGACACGTCTATTTACAAGACAAACTGGTTTCTGAATGTCCCAAAAAGGTCACACCACGTGCTGTCCTCGTCTTCTTCTCTTCTCCAAAGTGTCCCCTGCCCCAGCTCGCACGAGCATCGCCAGTTCACCCACACACCGGGGCACACGTGCAAAAGCAAACACGCCAAGAAAAGAGCCTGTTCTCGCGTCCTTTCACGGTGATGGCGGGCCAATTCTCACAGAAGTGGTCACCTTTTGAATCAGTAGCACAGAGGCATGACTACGAATAGTTCAAACGAAAAACCGTGGCATCCTGCCTTTAATGTTTACCTGCAAGCCAAAACTTTATTCATAATCGCGTGCCAACAACAAACACATTGGCACTTGTCAACGAAAAACAACTGAGCGCCCCGCGTTAATCCACGGTACAGTCACAGCGATAGCCGCTCGCTACACGTCACGGCGAAGTCATCGGGCATCGGTGTCGCCTTCACGCACCACGTGGTCTTGACGGCAAAGTCTCTCGGTTTCGTTCTCACGAGCAGGCGCCTTGCAGCTCTTAGTGCAGCGAACGGCTAGACGCATCAGCGTCGCCACTAGTGTGTCTTTCAGCATCTCACAAGAAGCGCGACGCTACCACGCCGCGACGCCAAGACGCAGGTGTCTGCCGCTTGGCGCCGCCGCCAAGCGTCATCGCGTTTGACGCCTGGGACACCCACCTTGGCGACCCGCTAACGATGACGTAATGCGCAGGCTTCGTCTTCTATGTAGTACCTTTTATTAGGGCGGCGCTTGCGACACCTAGCCGAAGCTTTTATTTTCAACAATTAACACTGGTTACATTGGGAATTCGGTAAGAGTTACAAATCATAATCTATCCCGACATCGGAGCAACCATGGCCACATAGCCGGCGCCGCACGCGACTCATACTCACTCGTGTGCTCATCAACTTCCGCCTGTAAAGCAGACTGCCAAAGCTGTGGCGTAGCTCTGGAGTACCGCGCCAGCCTCACACCCAGCGGACTTGGGATCGAATTTTGAGAACCGCATGGCGGCGGGTGATCTCTTTCAAGCATTTGGTGATATCGAGGACGGATGCCCTGCACCCAAATACACAGACAACGGACGTCATTTACAGTGAAGAAAGAGCCTGGAACAGCTATTGCCATAAAGGTGCTTGAACTGAAGGAACGCTTCACTTAGGGGACAGGGACGGCCGAACGAGAAATTCAAGGAACCATGAAGATGTTCTGGGGAACTTTGTTCTAAGGAACTTTTTTCAAAACCAGGGTGCTAGAGCATGAATTGCTCATCAAAATATCTAGCTGAAACTGTACAGACGAGAAGTGCAGTGTTTCATGAAAACAATGCTGATGAATTATAAAGGACGTCTTTTCTTTTTAAACTTTCAACAGTCACAACGCACTATGGTTGCGGAATTTCAAAAACAACTTCTGGCATTAAACTTACAAGAGGGCTTGCATGGTTGTTCGTCGAAGGTGATGTCGTCCACGACAACATAGCCGGCAGGACCCTTCCAAGGTGCTTGTATGAACCCCTCCAACATCAGCTGCAGTAAAAGAGAAAAGCTGATTCCTCAGCGTATCCCAAAGGCGCTCAAAATGCTTTATTTGGACGTCCCCTTTGCCTTGGTGCACCCATCATCCTTGTTGTGCAGCAACACTCTCTGGTATGTCACGTGACACAATGAAGTAATAAAATTATGTCACATGACCTCATGATGCCAGATGTTGACACAGTGTGACAACATGAGATCATGAAACATCATAATGGCACTTTATTTTGACTGCGACAATGGGACATCATGTCAGTGTCACGTGATAACACAGTCACGTGATGTGATGATGTGTGAAGTGACGCATCACGTGATGATGGCGTGTGACGCATCACGGTGTCATGTGACTGGAGTCACGTAGTCATGTCACGTGATATCACGATATCACATGACGTGGCGTTACAAAGGTACATCATGACCTGATATGACATCAGGTCAGGCACCCTTTCACCAAGGCCAACCTCCTGCCTTCTTCATTGTGGCTACGCCCCAGCATTGATATTTTCCACAAATATTATGCATTGAAAAAACAAAACGGACAGCACCACTTACCTAAATGACAGTGACTAAATTTATTCCCAAACCTTCCAAGAAAAAAGGCCTACAGACCTAGAGGTACTTAATGCCTCAAAAACTATCCACGTGGAACCTAACTAAAGTATGTTTTACAACTTGCATCAGCTTAGAAAAATATAACTGTGGAATCAATACAGTCTACCATGAGGAGGTACATGAATTTAACACATGCACTAGGATGAAACAATGGTACTAAAGCTTTTAAGCGGTAATTCTCCGTTCACTAAAATTAGAATTAAACAATTTGGATCAGCGTTTGTGAAGTTCGTTCAGCGTTGAATTTGGGTTTTTTTTTCAACGTTTATTATTTCCTATCGATTAGGTGTTTTTTAGGACCGGTTAAAAAATGGGCAGTCCTCGGGGTCGCCCCTACAGGAATAGAAGCAGGCGGTGTCCCATTTTCCGGGGAATGTACGCACAACCAGAATACTGCTCCCATACCGAGGATTAAGAGAAAGAAACGAGACAAGGAACATAGTTTCCGAAGGAGGAACTTGGCTCACAGGTTCTTTACTGTGGCTGTGTTCGGTTCAACAAAAAACAAAGTTTAGATTTCTTCCCCCAAAGCGTGGGTTTGTCTTATTCAAGAACAATACTCTGGTTCGAGGGTCTTTCGAGTGTTCCGACATTGATCAAACTGGCTCGAGAATCACTTTCCCGGGTTCCTTGGTTCATACCAAAAACGCGGCAACCCTCCAAGGTAACACACCAGAAAAACGCCTAACTTCGCAGAAGAATGGCAATCCAAGCGCCTTACCTGGGTCTATATATACAGGGTGTCACAAAAGAAAATTTACACGGTCTTTTTTACCGCAAAAATAAACTAAGCATCGCCGAACGCTCATTCTCCGCCCAAAGGTAGAGCTAGAGGTCACAATCAGATGCCAAAGTTTCAGCCCAATCCGATAACTTAATCAAAAGTTATAAGCGATTTTCTGAAAAGTTCAATGGGAAAATGGAGCCCATTTTTGCCCGTTTTCGGTTTCTGGTGCCATAGAGCGCCATGTGTGTGAAAACACCGTCGGCCGCCATTTTCCCATTGAAATTTTCAGAAAATCACTTATAACTTTTGATTAAATTATCGGATCGGGCTGAAACTTTGGCAAAACAATCCAACTAAATTCTGGAAAAATTTATCGCCTACCGAGTCTCATGATAAGATATCCCTTATTAGCGGCTCTGGCCAACTCGTACCCGACGCGAGCTGCCCAACAGTCCTCAATACTTTCTTTACGTCTGTTTTTACAACCGAGGACCTAAGTAATATTCCGTTTGTACCAGAGCTAGACTGCCGTTTTATGGAACCCATTTCAATATCGCCTGCAGGAATTCTAAAACTCATCAATAACCTTAAAATCTTAACATCCGCGGGCACCGACATGATTAACTCTAAAATATTAAGTAACACTGCTGAGGTATCATCAAATATACTTTGCTTACTTTTTGAACAATCATTATCTACCGGATCCATCCCTTCTGACTGGAAGATCGGGAAGATCGTTCCAGTTTTTAAAAGTGGCAATAAAAACTCACCAAATAAATACCGACCCATCTCATTAACTAGCGTTGTCTCAAAGCTATTGGAACATGTTATTTTCTCGAATGTGATGTCCCATCTTGACCAAAACAACTTTTTTTACAAACACCAGCACGGATTTCGTAAGGGGTTCTCATGCGACAACCAACTCCTTGAATTCACTCACGACATACATAGTAACATGGACCTAAACACCCAGACCGACGCCATTTTCTTAGACTTCTCTAAAGCGTTCGACCGCGTGCCCCACTGCCGTCTAATATCTAAACTCTCCTCACTTCGCATTGACGACTTAACTCTTTCCTGGATCCGAAACTTCCTCTCCTTAAGACAGCAGTTCACCACAGTAGGTGATTTTTACTCGGAGCTTTCCGATGTAACCTCCGGGGTGCCACAAGGTACTGTCCTTGGCCCTCTTCTATTTCTAATATACATTAATGATCTCCCGCAGTCGCTAACATCCTGTGTACGTCTTTTTGCCGACGATTGTGTACTGTACAGAAAGATTAACAACCCTGACGACCACTTACATCTCCAAACTGATATTGATCGGGTAGTTACCTGGTGCCACAAATGGCAAATGACCCTTAACACAGCAAAATGTAAACTTGTTTCTTTTACCCGTAAAGGCACAAATTCAGACTTCACATATTTACTCAACAATTCGCCCATCATCGCTGCTTCCGCTTATCAGTACCTCGGTGTCGAACTAACTTCTAATCTTTCTTGGGTATCTCACATTACCACGATAACCGCTAAAGCATCCCGTACCCTCGGTTACTTGAAACGCAATCTTAAATCTGCGCCCTCTCACCTCCGCAAATTATCCTATGAAACCTATGTTCGCCCGAAATTAGAGTACGCCTCCGCTATCTGGGCCCCTTACCAAACCTACCTTATTAATCAAATCGAATCCATTCAAAACCGTGCAGCCCGCTTCATTTCTTCATCATATTCGCGTTTCGACAGCGTGTCACTAATAAAGCAAAATTATTCTATTTGTCTACTGGAAACTCGACGTAACATTTCTCTCCTATGCATAATTCACAGATTACGCCACAGCCCCGCTGGGACTTGGTTCTTGCATCTGGAACACCTGAACAAGGAATCACGTAATTTTAACACTAAGAGTTTTAAGCGCACCTTTGGGACATCATTGTCATTCAATCATTCTTCCCTGCCACGTGCCATCAAGCTCTGGAATGATCTTCCCGAGGCCGTTGTTTCAGTTTCCGACCCAGCACTTTTTCGTTCAGAATTAACCGCATATATGTTATCCAATTAAAAATGTGTAACGATGTTATTTTCTTGCAAACTGGTCACTGTATCTATATTTTTACTCGAAATGTTAACGGATGTGTGTATTATTATTATTTTTTATTTCAGTATGTGCTTTATGTTACCCAGCTGTGCAAATATTTAGTTTATTCTGTTGCGCGCAGATGTGTATTGATGTTTGTATAGAGTCGGCGTGCTCCCTGCCATTCCATCTTTGTGTTAACCAGATTATATAACCCCCCCTCATGTAATGCCGACAGGCCTTTGAGGTACTTTGAATAAATAAATAAATAAATAAGTAAATAAATATATGTGTGTTTGTGTATTGGAAGTAGCCACTTGATTGATTAACCTGCCGTTAAATCGATTAATGCTTCAATCGCGACAAATGTTTTTAACCGGCAAATCGGCCTATTTTTGACGAACCCAAGTAAACTAGAAATTATATGCTTTCACCAAGCAGACACGGATGAATACACCTAGGCGAAGGAAAAAAATTGGGGTGGAATTTTAACCTAAAGCACACTGTAACGGAAAGATTTGTAACTCCAGGCAAGTACAGAAAGTTACGCGTGTCCCGGCCACTTGAACACTGTGCAAGTGCCAGTTTATTGCAGTAGAGACTATTGTGAACAATCAAAGAAGGCCGCTCTTCCCGGAGAATACCAAAAAAACTCCTTGCCTCATGCAGCTGAAGTAATTTAGTTTGAGTATACGTGTCTTTGAACCGTTCTCAAGTGTGCATTGAAGCTGATTCATAATAAAAATTTTATACTGCGCCTTTTATCACAAATTTAGAACAGGCAAAGAAATGTAATTTCTACTTTTAAAGAATAGTATGCATGGAAATTAATAAAACCGATTAATCGATTCCTTAATCGATCAAAGAGAATCGATTAATCGGGCGAAAGTTTTTAATCGATGCCCAGCCGTAATAAATGTTTAATACTGTTTCGCTTCACGCCATTAGTTAGGGCCACAGTATTTTTTGTTTGTGTCAATGGCATTCTTTGATCTTGGTTCTAAAAGCGCACAAAAGACGAGGACAGAGTAAGAAACACAAACGACGGACGAGCGCTCGTCCGTCGTTTGTGTTTCTTACTCTGTCCTCGTCTTTTGTGCGCTTTTAAAACCAAGATGAATAACTACCAAATAGCCCAACTTTTCACTCTACGGCATTCTTTGGCTCGCCACAACATTGCTCAAGTGCTGGACCTCAGCTAAATGTAGCGCGTACAAACCGAAGGACCAACGATGAAGCATACATCTGGTAGTTAATTGGCAATTTGGGCCCAAAGTTGACACAAGAAAAACAAGTGACCAGAAGTGAATCCTTAGGACTTCAGATGCCAGATGAGTGCCATACTAGAAGCAGTGAAGTCTAACTTTGCCACTTGTTTGGTGAATTAAGCACAAGATACTCAGGCTCTGACCAAAGAAGGTCAAGTTTGACTCCACCTGGGCTTCTTTGAGCTTTTGGAGGCCCTAGACGCTGAGACAAAAACCTAATTTCGGCCCAAAGAACCGTGCAAGCTGGGCTATCTGCAGCCAAGTAAATCAAGATCCAGAAAAGGGACACAACCTAAACTACTCACCTTCACCGGTACTTCGGTTTTAATGTTTACTTCGCCTTTGACCCAGGCATCTCCCTGGCTGCCCATCTTGAACCAAACGCCCGTCAAGGTCCGGTTGGCGTCTATTGTGTTGACCGAGAGGTAGCCGGCATTGCTGACTACCAGCTGGTACCAGAATCCCAGGCAGCGCCCACGGTCACCGGTGGCGTTTATTCCAGCAGAGACCATGCGCGCCAGAGCTCTTCTTCCCGGAATGTAGTTCTTCAGAATCAGGTATTTGCCTGCAAGTAAACAAGGAACATAAGTGAAAATGGAAATGTTCGTGTTGAGTTTAAATACGAAGAAAAACTGTGTTTCAGGCGTACTCCATATTTTAAATAATTGCTTACACCTAAAAAAAAAATTTTAAACTAATGTTATGCATAGCGTGTCTCTGTCATTAAACATGTCATCAAATGTTTTTCCAAAATTCTGAGCTTTCTGTAGATTTGGAATCTTTGTCTTTCATCAAAGAACCCACATTCATTCACTTCGGCATCCAAGCTAATTTACCATAAGTAAACAAAAATGTCGGTTTCCTGCATTTCTGGAATTCAGAGCTTCGCTCTCAGTTCTACAAATATGTCATGGTAGCTAACCAATAGTGAATGTGTGTTGTCTGCGCAAGATGGGGGGCGACATGTGCCAGACTTAATGGGCGAAGCTGGAGCGTCATGTATAGCTCCAACAGCGGCGCCATAGTGATGTCACGCACGCAAATCAACGGATGCCATCAGCCGTCTGATATACTCAGATACTTGTAAGGCGGACGACTATATTGAGGTCAGGGGTCGCCTATTACACTGCGGTCGGCTTTTAGGTTTCGAGTCGTACGCCGACACCAAATATTGTTTGCGCTGACGTGGTCTGTGCTGCAGAGGAAACTTTGAGGGAATTGTTTTTCAACTTCGATCGTTCTAGCCGCGTCCCGTTACGATCGGCAATGAATGAGCCAAAAATATGTTTGTTTCTACAAGAAAATTGATGATCCGCTCGAGGGAAAAGTACTAGAAGGTGGACTAATAAGCTAAATTAACCGCTTTTACATACTTGAGGGGTGGCAAATCAAGTTAAAGTTGAAAAGGATTGTGATGAAGAAAAATTAATGCAAAATTCGCTACCGTAAAACCGGTCGTGGAGTATCTCCCATGGGGCTACACCAGCAAAAATAAAAGGCCGAAAACAGATGCTTTTATAGTCGAGAGGTGACGCGCGTGCGTCCCTCTTTCCTACTGACTTCGCGAAGTGCCGGGTTTGAATCCTCTTGGGATTATACCTTTCAATTGCTTCACTTTATGTTTCGTTATATGTAATTCTAATCTATAATTAGGTTTTACAATCACATTCCACAATTAATGTGAACGCGGCGGAACGAGCAGCAAAGTTGCGGCGGTTAATAAACGACAGACGACTCTACTATGCTTCAAAGCGCAACTGTATCCCAGTCACGTGATGTGGATAATACAAGAATTCTAATAAACATCGGAGCGTTTTCATTACCCCCAATTTACTAATTCGAGGTTAAATAAGGTTGAATATCTGTTCAACCTTTTTGCATAGGTACCGTGAGGCTTTCTTGCACATGCGGCCTTAGGGTGTCGCATGGTCGTTTCAGAAAGCCCAAAGAATGTGATTTTTAAGCACGGCTTTTAAAATGCAAAATAAATATTTTGCTGTAATACGCCGGAATCAAAGTATTTCTGGTTTAATGTATATAATAATTAAGATCCGGCCGACACGTTTTCTTTTGTGACCCCTCTAACGTGTACTAGGTCATTTTAAAACAGAGTAATAAACATAACTTATCAACTGTAATCTTCCTAGTTTGTACATTCATTAGCCCTTCAGCGCGAGAAGGGACATCAGAGACCAAATATCCCAAACCAAGATACTTTAGCACCTTCAACCTACTACTCTTCTTCAAAACAAACAACGTATGGAAAATTTCTGGGCAATTGTGTTGCATACGAGAACCCTTATAGCATCACAAACATTGATATACTCCGAGATTCCAAACGCCAGACGCCTACGTTCAGGGCGCTCTTCATCAGAACGTTTAAAGCGTATCATGTGTACACTCGATAGTCGCTTCTAGATTGAAGCGATATGCCGCTACTCGGGTTGATAAACCCGGTGATCTTCAAGAGCCTTCCATGCTCGCGAGCACCTCTCCCTCGGTACGCACACGTGGTCGAGCTCTTTCTACCCCTCTGGTCACTCGACCCTCCCCCCCCCCCCGTTAGCCATCAGCGTCGAGCACCTCACTCCTCCTCTCCCACCCGTCAACCAATCAGTGTTGAGCCTCGCTGACACGCTTTCATCGGGGCCTTCCTTCATCGGGGCCTTACTTCTATCACGTTAAAACCAGATCCGCCAAGAAAGCGCCCCGCACGTTAACCACTTGCCTTTGCCAGTGGTGTGGTCCACAACCGCGGACCTGGGAATTGTGTCCTCCACCACCCAGTCGTCCGTGGCGCCAGCATGGTCCGGGTACCAGCCGCAGCCGTCCTCTTCTTCGAATGTGCAGTTGAGCGCTGCGTAACGCCCAAAGGAAACATTAAAAAAAAACGATGGAGTTCAGTTAAATTCAAGATTTAACTGAACTCCATCAAGGGGAGTTTACTGAATTCAATAAACTCACCTTGACTTTTTTAAGCACCTAGATTATAAATAGGGTTCCATGTTTTCTGGTAAATACTGATAAACCACAAATTAAAGCTTTCCTCAATTAGGAAAAATCAAACCTCCCAGAAAAAAAATGTTTCAACCACAATAATATTTTGTGATTACATTGAAGGCAGACAGAATGAACTGCCTGTCAGGCTACTTCGTTCTTCAGAAACCTGGCCCCTTATTTTGTTTTCCTTTTTTTCGGTACCGCAACATCCTTTAAAGGGAAACTGCAACGAAAAAAGGTGTTTTTTAAACAGCCTAATTGGGACAAGATGTCACAAAGTAAATTTTCCGTGAAAAAACAATTGTTTTCTAGAAATATTTACGCTACAGGACGTAATTTAGTCGGAGTAACAATTTCTCCAGATTTGAAACTCCCGCTCTTTCGACGCGTGCTCAGTGGCTGTTATACCTCATCCCAAGACGTATAATACCAACTTTGTGGTGCGGGATTTAAACGGACGAAATAGCCGCAAACTAAAATCAATCTCGCGCAATAAATATTGCTGTAAGAAATTATGTTTTTGACGGAAAAATTGCTTTCTGACATGCTCGTCCCAATTAGGCTGTTTAAAAATAAACGCCTTTTCTTTGCGGTTACCCTTTAAGCATTCTGGGTATGGGCCATTCTCTGGGGGTCGGGGAATTACATGCCCGCGTCCCGTTTGTTCTGAAGGAGGTCTAATAAATTCCGAATCTGTGCAAGAAAATAAATATCCGAAGAAACACCCTTGAATTCTAACAAAAATTAGCCCCAAAAACGCAGTACCTTAGTCATTAAATAAATACTCCCCCCTCCCACCTTTCCCCAGAAAAAAAAAGTAAATTTACCACAGTATTTAGACTACGAGGTTCATCTCAAGGAAAGAGAGGTTCCAAAACATGTTTTTATTTCAGAGTCGACGTGTCGGAATAAAAATATATACAAAAGACACAAAATAATTATAAACAAGGCAAATGTTCAATGGACAAGTCTCAAAACTGGGCTTTTATTAAACCAAATGAAAAAAATAAGATGCACCGCAATGGTGCAAAACCAACGAGCGAGAACAAAAAGAGGCATGCCATGGGTCGCAAAAAAAAACTCTCTTGATACCCTCAACTGCCTGGAAGCAGAACAAAGCAAGAACTGGAAGCATTGAAATGAGAGTGTTCTACGGTGATAAATAAGAAAGATTGAAGTGGTAGAGGATGTATTGATTCCGGGGCTCTCAGGGTAGTTCTCAGCACTGATTGGCGTGTTGAAATCCTATGCTTTCATTTACATAGAAGTGAGAAAAAAAATAATCAAGTTACTTATGGAAACCAAAACAGCCTAAAGAAAAGAAAGATTAATTTAACGAGCAAAACGTTAGGACGCAAATAAGCTGGAGGTGGTTAAACATTTGACTAAAAACCCTTGACTGGGACGAGAAGGGACTGACAAACACGAAGACTTAATTTTGACTAAAACCCCGAGACTGGGACGAGAAGGGACGGACAGACACAGAGTATCAAAGAGTAAAACAAGAAGGGACAGACAAACACAAATCCTTTGTGCTTGTCCGTCCCTTCTTGTCCCAGACTCGGGGTTTCAGCCATACATTTAACCATTGAAAAGCTACCACCCAGCAACAAGAGAAAAACCACAACTCTGTCTATCTGTCCGGTCCTATGCACATGTGTCAACGTATCCATTTAATTTAACAATAGGCAAAGAATATGCCTTCCAATTCTTTAAAAGAAATTAAATGACTTGAGTAAGTGTGCTTTAATGATTCTAGGTTATAGAAAATATCAGCTGACAATACATGCCTAGGCGTATTGCCCCAATTTAGTATAACTAGCTATCCTGCATCAACTTCTAGCTAAGTGCAAGTTACCACTTTTGTAAAAACAATCTTAGCAACAACAAGTTAACATACGCAAATAAAGAAAAATCCAATAGAATGGCACTGCACTAATCATGTCCGTTGAAAACATTCAAGATTATTAATAAAACTACGCCCCTGCTTCAATTCTCAAATGTCAGTGAGTACTTACATTTCAAGCTCTGACTCTCTGGATGGCAGTCATGATAGGTGATTTCATCAATGCTCGTATTGTCCTTGGCTTGAAAGGAGAACTGCGAAACATATAGAGATACACATCAATAGGACACACATTTTGTCTGTGTGGTAAAGAGGTCTAATTCTGACTTTCTCTTAACAACTAAAATAGAAACACACTTCTCAGTGAAAAATGTCATAGATAACAGTTGTGGCAAACTTTGAGCACGCATCAGTGAAACTTTCATCCAACACTTAATAACACGTGATAATACGGTTTTGAAACTTTCAGCGCCACCTTAGCAGCAGCGGAGGACTCAAAAAGGCATCTCAAATAAGACGACTTCAAACCAAATGAAACAACTTTCATCAGTGGATCCACTTGATATTTCCGTGGTTATCACTTGCAAACGGTAAAAAAATTTAAGTTAATAAAAACCCAAATAACTTTGAGTTAAAAAAACCTCAAGCTATACTTTTCTGCAAATATTAATCTATTCAAAAACTAGTCATTTTTTTACATTTTCATTGCCTCAGATGTGCAACAGTAGGCACACTCTACAGAAGAGCATAACTGCCACAAAAACAAATGTGAATTAAATTCACAATTAGATAATGTAGCAATATGAAATCAGCTATATACATTTATTTTAAATCTTTGTAAGAGAATTTTTTGTGAAATTGTGAAAAACATGAATGAAATATATGTTTTTATAAAACCAAGTGACCTACAAATTCTCGCTGACTCTACAAATCTATGATGTTTATGGCAGATAAATTAAGAATCCAACCTTGTACATGATAAAAAAACTCCAATCTGAACTATGGAATATCTCAAACATACTACTTTATAAATAGCTATCTTATTACTAATTGGTTCTTTTAAAGGGAAGGAGCACTATCATATGCGTGAAAGTGAAGTCTTGAATTTTTAAACTTCATGTGCACGAATATACCTTCATGTGAAGTCTTCTCTATATGCCCCGATGCATTAGAAACTTGCTGCAACTTGCATCAGTTCCGATAGAAGCTGTGCTGCGATTAGCTCCACCACACTCATGCAACAAAGGGTAAGATTGCAGAGCAAATTCCCAAAATATCTCGAATTAATCAAACATTACATAAACCCTTCAATGATCTGACTTGAATGTTCAACCAAATCCGCCATACCCAAGTTCAGTGGCTCTCGAATGGCAAAGCCCTCGACCGTGAGTTAAGTCAAGCAATATAACTTTTAGTGATGACAGCTGTCCCACAAAGCTAAATAGACCAAACCATGAGAGCAGAGTGAGTACAGTTGATTACTCTTCAAAACTTCAAAATCGTTTACATGCAAAGTTGGTTTGCAAAGAATATGCCTTCAATAGAATTGGTAAGATTGCAGAACAAATTCCCAAAATATCTCGAAATAAAACATTTCCTAAACCTTTTCTCGTTTACTCTTTTGTCATTTTAATCATTCAGTACCCCCTCCCGTTCTCATCATCTCCTCGTGGATGCGATACCCTATCACTTTCGCCACTCCAAATTGGGTCCCGGAACGTCAGTGGTCAAGAACCCTCTGCTCAGGTTGATATTATTTTTTAATATTTTCGTGTGCCTAACAGGTTACGATAGAACCTCTCCCCAAGGTGACATACTAATATTTCAAAATTACCCCGAACGTTTGTGAATTACGCCCCGCAGACGCAACTACACACCAGAGGTGGAAGCCATGGCACTGCTTATACATCAATGTTTTAAACTTTCGCCAGATGTTACGTACAATTCTACGTCCATTTTCAATGGCCGTGGTGTTTCTGTCAAACTGACTACTTAGATGTATGGTACTCTCTAAGACAGTAAAAAAGAATTACTGAAAACTCAACTAAAATCGTTGTCACCTCAAGAAAAGCCACATTTGCACACGGTTTATACGTCACGCGAAGTGGTTTTTGCAAAATTTGTTGGATGTGAAAAAAGAAAGATGCGTTTTATGTTTACAGAGAAATTGTTTTGATAAACTACCAAATAACGGAAATTAAATGCTCAGAGAAGTATCTTAACAAACCACAAAGAATTCAAATATTTTAATATGATTCCTGCGGTGAAGACGAGAACGGGCTCTGGCCGAAGACCTACCCAAAGGCCGCGTGGTCGGTTTCCAATGCTTGCAGTGAATTTCTTCCAAGTCCGGAGTGGGACACCCTCACCGGCGGCAAACACCTTCTCCTTGTGAGGTATTGCACCTTTGATGACTCTGCCCGGACTTACGAAGAGCTCGAATTCTCCTGCTTTTGTCAGAGATAAATTGAAAGCATTTCGAGTGCATTTTTCCCCAGAAACGCTAAAGGCTGGGTCGCACACTGGCGACTGCTTAGAAGTTTTGGCATTAAGACCTCCTGGGATAGTTACAACGAGAGAACACACTGGCACACTGGCACCATACATAAGGTGGCCCTGAATCTGCTTTTCAAGAGAGTTAAGGATTCTCAGCGTTTGGTCTAAGTAAGGCTTTGCAGTAAGGTCTCGCACCACAAGTGTGCTAGATAAACGCACCATCTATGAGAAATGGCGGAATATAACTTTATCAAAAGTTTTTCGAGCCAATAGTAAAAATAGATGAGCTAAAGAATGGGAAATATACGCAAATCGCAAGTGTTCCCCGGCTAACCGACAGGTGGCGGCAATGTGTTCTCTCGTTTACAATTCCTACATTACAAAACTGCCTATCATCTGAGGGCAAGAGGAAAACACCTGGACTCTTTTTTCGCAAACTACATTGTGTGTACCAATCAAAGCCCTACAATACGCGCAGATTCCAAATGATTTTATTATAACACGTTTCGAAGAGAGTCTGATAGGTACACAATCGGATAAGACTCCTCTTTTTCACCGCGGGCGAAGCCATCGCTAGCAACTCGCCGACAAGCACCCTTCGGTGACCACTTCACTCGAAAGAAAATTCTTCCCAAAATGGGCGTGTCCCGATCTTTGAACACACATTTAACGAGCAAATAAGCTACGCACGATTGTGATTTTGGGTTTGGGTGCTTAGAACGTCTAGATTGAGTTGTCACCATAAAAAAGACGATCTCAGAATCGGCTTCACTTTCCCTTTAAGTAATAATGCTTTAAAACTTAAACTATGTTTTGGCAGTTCTTTTTTTTTTTGGGGGGGGGGGAAGGGCACAGAACGTGTTTCATTTGTTGATTTCCATGGGGTTCTGCAACATTCAGCTGTAACAAAGCGTCTGTAGTGACCGGTTATAACGAGACCGAAAATGGTTGTGCCCGTAGGAAACCATATAAAAATTACGCAAGCTTGATCATGCTCACAAAGAGGGGTACACACAGAACGTGTGATAGACCTTCCCAGGAAGAAGAGAAAGGCGTAGCGTGCGACCGCTCCCTCGTGCCTCGCTCCAAAGACTTCGATTCTAAGCGATCCGGGTCTGAAAAGCTCAGTCGGCAAATCACTTCGCTCAATATCTCAAGGTAGTGAGCTCAAATCCTGCTAGGGGACTGAAGCCTTTTTAACGCAGAATGTGTTTTATCAGCTGATTTTCATGGATTTCAGTAACGTTACGTTTTAACATCCGGTTATAAACTTAGGAGTTTTGTCGAAGTAGCGAAACGAACTCAAATATTGTAAGGAGACTTACGACTTTTGTTAAAGTAGCAGAGACCACTCAAAATTTGTAAGGACAATTACGAATTTTGGTGAAGTAGAAGGGTCACTCATTCTTTCTAAGGACACTTACGACTTTTGGCGAAGTAGATGTACATGCTGACCCTGCATGCGTGGCCCGTAGCTCCCAAGCGAGGGGTGATCAAGCTCACGGGTACTCCTTGAGCAATTGCTGGTAAAAAATGTCAATAAGTTGAAGAATTGGATGTTAGAACTTCCAATGTTGCAAATTGGTTTTACGAAAGTCATGATGACATTTCTCTCAACCCAAAACAAAAATATATTGTCATCCAAACTACTTTCTTGAAACTTAAGTTCCTGTGCTGGCAAAATGTACTTCATTACACCCGGTGCCCAAAGGAATAATTTCACAGGAACACAAGCCGTGTGGGACGTGGGTGAAAAAACCAAAGTTTAAACTGCCCAAGTTTATACAAATCGCCTAACAATAACCTCGCTGGTACATTGTTTGCTTTTGTGTACATATCACACAGTACCTAATATAATCAAAGCATTAAACTCTACTATGATTAAACTTCTAACATATATTTATAACAATTCTATAGTCTGCTGTAAGAAACCTAAAGGCCATCTAAAGCTATCAATAGTAGTAATATTGATCTAATGTGCCTCTGTGTGGAACACCAATTCTGTAAGCTATTTAAGAAATCAATTAAAGTACATTCCATTCTTAGTCGACTGCTTGCAGTCATGTTAAATTTAGAAACCTCAGGACAGCGTTTTCATGCACGCCAGTCAAAAAATGAAATAATGTAAATGTTAGCCTTGTCCTTCCTTTATTCTTGTTAACTCTAGAACTCTTGACTTGAATAATTTATCTTAGCCATTCTTCAATCAAAATATGCCCTGTAAGAACCTTTTTATAATAGTTTAGCCAGATGGTGACGAGCAATTTCATCTGCTGCATCGCAGCAAACATTGCATACTCTGTGCAGTTTTTAATATTAAAAGTGACGATGTCACTTTTGTTAAAATAAGCCTTCTTAAAACCATCCTACTACTTTGTTTTTAAGATTTTGGCCACCAAATGTACAGGCAGGCAACCAATTTAGGTAAACCCTGGAAAGTAATTACTGAGAATGAAGACAGTAGATGCATCAGCCTGCAACTATAGGGCGCGGGAAAGGAAGTTGGGAGACGACAAAATGAACGCAACGCTGGCGAGCGGAGGGGGTTTCCTACTCTTCTCTCCAGCCGTTGTGTTCCTTTCACCGTCTTCCAACTTCTTTTCCCTCGCCCTACCTCCTTGAGTTGTCACCGACTGTAAGCAACAGACTCTTCCAAGGGGCAAACCGAGAGCTTTCATATAAAAACGACTCAAACGAAACTAATTGACTGCTGTATTTTAATTTATCGATCAAACCATCATATACAGAATTGCAATGCATGAGAAACAGTGTTTTCATGACATTTTCTTTCCACCACACTGACTACTCATGTGAAATCACATGTCACTTCACATCACAGTGTCAAGTAAGGGGTCAAGTGATGTCATGCCACACGGCATTGCGTCACATTACACTGTAGCATCATGTGACACGATACAACGCCAAGTTGTGGACTAACGTGACATAACTCACGTCAAATGACCTAACGTCACAGTATCAAGTCATGATGACAAGTGACGTCACCTCGCATGGCACATTGTCATGTCACACTATAAGCTTAAGTGACCTGCCGTCAGGCGACGTGGTCACGCGACATGAAATCGTGGTCCGACGTCACGTTACATGGCACACTGAAATGCGACCTGAGGCTGCATTACACCCAAAGTTACTACATCCAAAAACGTTGCTGACACCCTCGTCACGTGACATTACGACTTCGCGCAGTTTGTCCCATGTCATCAGGTCATGTCGTGTGCCGCACACGCCACGGACGAACACAAACTTTAAGATAGCTGACGTTAATATGAAATTCTGCAAAAAAAATATGGAAAGAGGCAGCTACATCTTTTAATTTAGTATAGTAGTCGGACAACGTGTGAGCCACTTCACGCACGAGATTATCGCCGTTACCGCGAAAAGGTCTGAAAACGACTCACAAGGGTTGGCCAAGGTGAAAGTGGCGTAGAATCCCTTGGGGCTGTCGGCACTGTCGGTTCCGGGTAGCTCTGGAAACTTGTCGGGGTTGTTGTGAACCATCTGAGCTGACACGCGTTGCCAGGCAAGGCGCGTCTGGGATTCGTCATTCTTCAAGCCGCACATACCAACCGAGAAGTCACATGCACCTGCACACGAATACAAAGTGAACGCACGTGCAAAAGTTGCAGCACTCTCATTCCACTGCCCGGAATCCGAAGCAGAGAGCAAACACAAGCCACGTCCTACAGCCGACTTCAATAAACTATGGTTTATCAAAAAGAAACATGCCAATATAAAATATAGCACAGTAATATAAACGTAAAGATAGCTTTTTTTTTTCAGCTGATCTAGAACATCTTTCTTATACTTCGTTTCACCTGAAGTCCAGGCGAAGGCGACGCAACGAGCTGATCAGACAAACCAGAAAGCGTCGAAAGCGCACAATCATTGTATTCATCATGTTTCTGACGGTGTTTCATCTTCGCTGAACCAATCATAAAAAAGGCGCTGTGACTTGCGCCTTTGAAGATGCTTGATTGGTCCTATTATCTCGTAGCGTCAGCTGCGTCTGCAATTAAGCTGAGAGGACGGTGTAACAGCAAGGTTTGTGAAAACTACTGCTAGTGGAAATACTGACCCTTAGATGACTGTCCGACTGTGTTGAAGAGGGTATTGCAAAAAAATGAACGACGTTTACAAATCTCTGTGACGCAGAGGAGGAGGGGAGGGTACGGAGGGGAAGGTACGCCCTCCTTCTCCTCCTCCTCCTCCCCCTGTTCTCCTCCTCTTCTTATTCTCCTCCTCTCTTCCTGTCGCTGAATCTGTTCATGGGTGACGTGCACGCGAAGTCGGGAAGTCATTTTCCCCGCTAAATTTAGCGAGGAAACTGAGTTGATGGTGAGGTCACTTGACTTCAATTTTCCCGCTAAATTCAGCTCGGAGACTTCACCTGCTAAAATTAGCGAGAAACTTTTAGCGGTAACAGTCCACCGCTAACTTTAGCGGAAAAATTTTCCGCTAAATTTCCTGCTAACATTAGCGGGGAAACGTCCTATAATGCAACGCGCGTGGTTACGCCAACGCCGACGCCGCTCAAATCGGAAACAAACGCCTAAGAGCTGCGCTCTGAAAAAAATAAAAGTGGTGGTTCACACTTGGAATTGCGAACGACTGGACAGGCTAAAAACCGGTTTTGAGCCTCTTAAGACCGCTTCATAACCTTTTGCGCAGCGGTCGAAAGCCGTTGTAAGAGGCGTTAAACCGGTTTGTAGTCTCTCCCGTCATAAGCAGTAGCAAGTCTCTGATCCAGACTTAGTGAACGTACAAAGGGTAAGGATATCTCTTCGCACGAGCGTAAAGCGCCGTTCACACACTTGCAACCGAGTGGGACGGAGAGAGACGAGACCGGTTTCTAAAGGCGGGGGGGGGGGGGGGGTGCAACGATTTTAGGATTAAAAGAATTTGCATCTCATCATTTTTACGTTGTTTATCGTGTCCCGGAGGATTGAGAAAACATCTCGTTCATTAAAAAATTTCGAGATTCCGCTGCATAATCGCAAAGTAAAAGTCGAGCTTTTTCACCCACATGCAGCCGCGAGTGGCAGCCGAAGGAACTACAGCGAAAAGCTTACGTGACTTCGCTCGGCTCTAAGCTGCAGCATAACGCCCGCTAATGTCAACAGGGAGAGAGAGAGGAAGCGTCCTCCGAGAGAGCACACGGGAAGCTACACGGCATTCGAAATTACGTCACTAGGAGGGGGACCATGTGTGACCTAGAAAACTGGGTGTGAGTTGAGGGGTTACAGAAATGCCAATATATATATATTTTTTTTTTACACAGCAGTTAGGACACGCAGGCGAAGTCGGTTTTCTGTTCTTTGCTTTAGAAGTGTCAGAGGGCAACTTCCACAAATATATGACCGAAGCACGGAAGTCGTTGCACCGTCCCTTTAAGCCCCTTGTGACGCCTTAAGACCATTTCTGGAGCAGCGCATCCGTTTCTAAGACGTCGCAAGAGACTTAAAAACCGGTCTTGCCTCTCTCGGTCGTACTTGGTTACAAGTAAGTCAACGAGCCTCAACTGTCAATCCCGTCTTTGATGCATTTTATTGACTGAAAGAACACCCAGGAAAAACTTTCTAACTGGGACCGGTTAGAATCCTAACCAGGTTCCCCCGGAGCCAGCTGGTCTTAACTGAGATTTAATGGGGACCAATATTGGTTAAACAGAGCTCCAACTGGGATTAGTTGGGTGTCGACTGACTGTAGCCCTTCAACAACTAGAAATAAACTTCACTGATCAATTCAACTTGGAGAACAAGTAGGGACTAACAAGTACCAGTCGAGGTACCAACTGATTGGAGGGATTCCCAGTAAGAGATTAAGAGGTTTTATCCTTCCCACCTGGGGACTAGATGGCGGACCAGCAGGGCTGCCAACCCGAGGTAAATTTTCCAGATTAAGGTCATATTCAGGTCTATGTGGGAAAAAAGAAAATCTTGATAGTTTGAGGGAAATTTTGGGCACCGTATATATATGGAAATTTATAGGTAAATTATAATTTTGTTTCCAAGATAACATCGAATTTCACTGGCTTTGGCTGCATTTAGATTATTCTCTCCATCCGTCTGGCGATGTGTTGTGTGACCATCTGTCAGCACTGAGGAGCAATCGGAGAACTTTTTTCGGCAAAATCAGTTTTCATCGCCTTGGTAAAAACTATGGAGGAAGGGACCAGTCAACTTAAAGCTTCTGAGAGCGCCGCTGTGCCTTCTCTGAAAAGACAGCTTGAGTACAACAGGAAATACTGCTATTTCTGGAGATACATGCACCATTTTCAAGATACAGACTTACTGTGGCTAATAATATTTTCTTGAAGTGACATGCACAAACTGGAGCATACTATGTGTCGGGTTCGATGTGTTTGAGTTTGAAAACTCTAGCATGTGTTACACCTTTTGTTCTGGACTGACTATTATAAAAATCGCTAAAGAAGCTATCAAAACAGTAACATGTTTTGATGACGCGTGTGACATCTAAGGCAAAGATGAGGTTTCATTCGTCAGTTTGAATTTCCCGGTGACACTTCCCCTCGCCAGATTTGCTTTGGCCACCAATTGGCCTGATAAACTCATTTTTGCGAAACCTACGCGAGGCGTAAAGGCTGCATAATATATCTCTCACCTCAAAAAATGAAAGTGATGCAGAATATAACGAATATTTAGTATTATATAATTATTTGGGCAAGCGAGATAAGTTTCCGCAGAAATAGGGAAATTTCAAGCATCCGCAATGGAAATTATGACTTCCCATGTTGGCAGCCCTGGGGACCAGCTAGGAGTACTAGTTTTCGTTAATTAATAACTAAAATGTATCGACTCCATTTATGCATTCTTCTAAACGAATAAACCTTCAATGCACGAGTGCCTAAAATATATTTTGTTATAAAATATATATATATATATATACCTGAGATGAAAAAACCCTTGGTGAAAACAGCAACAACGGACGATTTATTCTTCAACGTTTCGGCCGGAGTCCGGCCTTCTCAGTTATATACCCACGCCTTCGGCCTTCCGCCACCATGCCCGTTATATATATATGTATATATATATATATATATATATATAGAGAGAGAGAGAGAGAGAGAGAGATTTATATATATTGATTTGCATAAATTGTGTTCATATAAATAAATAAACATTTATGTACACAAACAAAAAATCACTATAACATGTCTAATCACATACATGTATTTGTTTCAAGTAATAAATGATTATTTCAAGCACATGAAGCAAAATCATTCAATAAAAAAGTGCGTCACAACATCTTGCCATTCTGTTACAATCTTGCACCGCAAACTATTTTTACGCACTGTCAAGGGAGGGCGCTGCGACAACAGAGCGGAGGCGCAGGTCGTGGTTGGTTAGGAAGAAAGAGACGTGGCTGCCCGATGTGGCGTGTCGATGGACGCATCGCATTCATAACGCCAAGACCCTATCTACGCTTCCTTCAACTCCGACGGCGATACGGCATGGTGGCAGAGGTAAACTTCGAGGATGGCAAAAATTAGAACTCCTTAGTATCAATTCGGTATGTCAAGTAAGTTCGTTGTACAATATTTGTATTCAATTCGGAATTTAAAGTCCTTCGTTGGATGTTATTTGTATTTCATTCCTTTTCCAACCTTGGCGTTCCCACAGCTCTAGTCATCCTTTTTTCGTAGTGTTTAATTTTAACCCGCATTTTTCTTCACTTCAACTTTACTGCTGCTTGAACGACCTTCTGCAAAAATCTCAAAAGACAGCAGAGAGAGAGAGTTAGAGAAGGTAGAACAGCTGCTCGATCTGCCCCCACCTTTCCTCCTGCTCGCCTATTTCCTTTGTTGCCTCCGTCGTCTGCTACAGCCTGTACCTACCGTTCCCAGGATTCATTTTGGCGCCACAAATGGCTCTCAACCTTTTGCAACAGGTCTCTTAGGTAGAAAGCCAAGCAACCATCGAACCTGGCCCACGTCTGAAAACGCTGGGTGCCTGTCTTTGACCTAATGCGATTTCGCTCCAAGGCAGTAGTTTCTTTGGGATTCCTATAGCTTTTTCTGGCTCACCACATTACTGCCAAAGTGCCAGACTTGAGCGAAAGACGCCACGTGTGAACCAAAGAACCAGCACTGAAGTCTAAATCTCTTCTCTTTAGCAATTTAGGCCCGAAGTCGCCGCTTGAAACCCGAACAACCAGAAATGCCCAAAGATGCCAGTTGACAGCAAAAATATCAGCAGTGAAGCAAAAATATGGCACCTGTTTGGCTTATTAGGCCCAATATACCCAGACTCTGGCCAAAGCATATAAAGTTTGCTTATACCTTGGACCGTTTGAGCATTTTAATATAATAAATGTCCACACTACTTTGGCCCAAAGAACTGTGCTACCTGGAAAATATTCCGAAGTCCACCAAGAGCTTACCGCACTGTGCCTCGTCCGAGCCGTCGCTGCACTGATTCTTGAAATCACACACTTGGTCCAGCGGAATGCACCCTCCCAAACTGGAGCAAGCGAAGTTGTCTTTGGGGCAAGCCTTGGGTGCCACTGTTGTCACCTTTGGCGCGGGTGGAAAGTGCCCTGCAAATTGTAGCCGTTGGCATCAACGAAATATTGCGGCACTTTCGTGAGTGGGTCGATCTTTTTTCTGGGTAACTCCAAAAATTGGTGGCACAAGGACAAAATATTCATAAAAGGGTCCTAATTTATAGACATCTCTATATTGAATCAAAACATTACAAAGTTTTAGCCCTCTTCAGACATTTTACAGCGCTTTCTCAAGTGCGTCGATCCACTTTCAGACATGTGAGAGAGATTGGATTCACAAAAAGAAAATGTTTTTAAAATGTTCAAAACTTATAAAAATATTCGTAAAGTAGGAAAACAGAGCACAGTTTCAACTCTCTTCAGTAGTTTTGCAACCTTTTCGTAAATGGGTCTAGTTTTTTTCAAACGGACTGCAAAGATTGGTTTCCAAGGAAAAAAACAGTCGTAAAAGTTCTTAATATACAGAAAGCTTGATGAAGCATGAAAACATTCATTGTTTGAGTTCTTTCCTTGAGCTTTGCCATAAGTGGGTGGAACTTCTTTCAGAGGCACAATGAAAAGTAGTATGCGAAATTTTCATCAAAAATGTTAATACTTTGTAAACATCTTGATAAAGCGTAAAACTTTTGCTAAGGAAACATTCCTCTATTATTTTTTCCTAAAGTAAAAATTTGTTTAATGCTTAAGAACACATTCATTAAGTAAAAAAAATTAACTTTAAATAATCAAAGTAATTTTTTCATATTATATAAAATACGAAAATTTATTTTTCATGTCTCATAAACTATGAAAACCTGAGATACAATTGTAAGGGTGCAGGCGAGCTGGTGGATGTTAACCTTGTTGAATATACCTGAGACTGGGGTAGAAAAACATAAAAGTTTCTTCGACTTTTATGTTTTTCTACCCCAGTCTCAGGTATATTCAACATGTGTATGAAAACCTCCGTACATTATGAGGTATTTTAAGCTTTATAAAAACCTTCATAAAATATTTAAGTTTCATACCGAAAAAAAAAAGTTTTTTCTATGGTTCCGTGTATACGGAAATTATGAACAAACCGCGAAACTTAATCCGCCAAGCTAGTTTTATCGTAATTGGGGAAAGCCTAAATAACCCGAACTGGAGCTGTCCTTGATGAAGCTTCACGGAAAGCTTCAAGCTTTACATAAAATATATATTTGTCTACAGCTTTATTATGTGTTGACCCGAAACACAGCCCCCGATGTACGCAAGACTGTTTCTGGCTTTGAAACCACGCGTCTTATCTACTTTATTTTTTCTTATCGGTGTGGAGACGGTTTTCAAGTAATTTAGGCGTGCGTATGTTCTCTGGAGGGTGTACAATCCCATGCATGCTCCGTGTCCTATTTTCTTTAGCGTAAACCCCGCAAATCCCCGATTTTTGTCGGACGCCAAATGTCTATACCCAACAACACGGAATACCGGGGAAAATAAAATTAAAAAACACCCATAAATGAAAAAAAAAATACACGGCACTCTCCCTATAACCCATTCTTGTACTAGTGCAATTATATTCCGATATTTTCAGGTTAATATATCCTAGCACCACTGAACATTTGCAAAATAATAAGGACTGGGAAAAGGTGTGACAGTATCTTAAACAAAAGCTGCTCTAATATTTTTGCTCAAACGAAAGAAAAATCGAGAGAATAGATCGGCACATTCCGAAAATGCGAGATTCGTATCGTAAGAAAAATGTTCAAGTTCGTAACTTTTTACGTGCCCAACTTTTACATGAAATACCTGATCTACATTTGAAAGGGATCACTTAACGAGTGGAAGGTACACCCTTTATGTTTTACAGCGAACAAAAAACATACAACTGCTCACCAAAATATTCAAATTCATGAATGATATACAACGTCGATTTCTACTCTACTTCAGCTAAAATGATATGATGGGCGAGTTGGTTATACATAATTCACAGTGCAGCGCAAATGACAAGGACTAGTGAAAGACTTAGAAAGGGCAATTAAGCTCAAGTGCTTACGTCGAAGGGGCAGGCTTGCATAAGTTCGGCATCGATATCCCTGTCGGCGAAAGAGCTAGATTTTTAATTGGTGTTCCTGATATGCTTGTTTTTTGTTTTTTTTATGTGTAAATGTCATTCCAGAGTTAGTCATCATCTTCTTTTACTTGTAAAGTATGAATGTCTCGTGTAATTTAGGTTAACCACTATAGAGATGGGAATAAGTGATGAAGATTATGTATATTTTAAAATGAGCAACGCGGCAAAGACTAATTATGTATATAGTTCGGCATTCCTTTCATTACTGAAACTTAAAATATTCGTCACATCTTTCTTCTCCTTCACAATCTTTTTATAAAATGTCAGTTGTCAGTTCAGCGCTTATCCTGTCTGTCTTTCGATTGTCCTTGTGCTTTTCGCATCAGTGTGTACTATCTACATCAGCCATTGCACTGCGCTCCTCAACATCATCAACTCTTAGTCGCTACTACATACTTTTTTTCCGCAGACTATTTGTCAAAAAACCTATCTTGAGTTGTTTTTGTTACAAAGTTTAGCATAAGTCACCTTTCATATTTCCCTGTTGCAGCAATACGAAACTGTCCCAAACAGTGCCATGTGATTCAACCACCATCAATACTTTATAATCCTATTAAGGCAGAGTAACTTTGTATCATAATTTTCGGTCTATGGTGCGTGAATTATTCATGTCTGGAAGCTGAAATTTTATATGGTGCGGGCTATCTGCAGGTGTAGACTGTACAATATTTCTTGGTAAATATCCTTCATTATCACGACACGTCCCGAATTTCGCGAAGAGTCTGTTGATGATTTATATATAATACAAGATTTTCGGGGGTTAATAAAGCAGTCATACCCTAAGGTGTGCTGTGTATGAGAAGATTTATGTGCCGACTAGAGCGCCAGGCGTAGACTCTGCACTGGATGCGATTGTCCAAGGAAAAACTTATTTTTAAACCGAAATCTGCCCCTGCTGTCTATACACCGCATGCAGACCATAGTTCAGAAAATACGGCACAAACAGCGATGAGCAACCAAAAATAGTTTGAGTGAGAATAGACAAATGCATTTTAATCCCTTACCATGAAATTGGCTGCAAGTTGGCGTAAAACTGACATCGTCGATGGCAACGTAGCCGGGTAGGTCTCTCGCCCCCTCCACAGTTCCTCCAAAAGACACCTGTCGAAAATCATCGCGTCATACGGTTTTAAGTTTTTAGATTCATCAGCCGTCCTTCACCTCGATGAATATCTCGTAACGCCAGCTGAAGGAGCCAACTGGTCCATTTATTGTTAAAGGGGCACTGACAGCCCAAAGGTCACATTTGTTTTTGTCGTCAATAATGATGCAAGTTGTAGTCATAGAAACCCGAAAAATACAACGCGAAAAAAAATACCCCGCGCGCGCGCCTTTTTATTGTTTTGCGTTTTTCTCTCCCACTATTTACCTCCTCGCTTCTTTCTGTTTGTGACGTAATCGATTATAAAGTTTCGAAGTTTGTAAGCGACACGTTTATATTATTAACGGCATTCGAAAAACACGATTTTTAACGCAATTGTGAACCCACAACGGTTCTTTGAAAAAAAAAAACGAAAATCGGAGTCCGGAGTAATGTCACCTCCTGGCTTTCTATCCTCCGCCGGAAAAAAAGGCGGCGCTCGACGCTAGTAGCTCTGAGGATGAATGGCGAGTCGGGGAATCGGACCAAGTTCTATAGTTAGGTGCCTGACGACCTCCAGAATTCTAAAAGGATATCGTCAAACGGTCAAAACAACTGGGTTTGGCGTCTGTGTACCGTAGTTTTGGTTCTGAGTCCGCCGGCACAGCCTTTCACGCAGAACCAGCACGACGTGACCCCTCACGTCGCTCACAAAAGTACACTTCGCCCTCACACTCTTCGACCTCACACCACTTCAAAAAAATTGAGATCGTCGAAAGAACGCGGGAACTTCAAATTCAGCTTTCGGAAATTGTTTTTTCACTTTGCAAATGCTGAGGTCCTAAGATTCGAATCTTAGGGTATTGTACAGGCAATATTTTCAATCGTTTCGAATAATAAGACAAAATATGAGTTTGATGTATCAGTGACCTTTTAAATCAATAAATTGCTTAAATGATTAATTATCAATCATACCGCCTTGCCCATGACCGAGAAGAAACGCTTCTTTTTAAATCAAAGAAGATGGGCATATACTCTTACCCCGGGTGCAAAAGATAAGGAGGCCAGAATTATCTTGATTAGATAGCCTCGCCCTAGCTCACTCCAGAACATTCTAGGCCGAATCTTCGAGAAGCGGAGTCAAGCAGAGAAGGAGCCGACCGTGGTTTCGCCAATTCACTCTTGAGGGATTGCACTCGTCGTTTTGGAGCTCCCGGGAACGCCTTTTCTGGAGGGCGCTTATTTCACTGGGCAATCAGGATCGAGACATTTGTCTTCCACTCATCGTTTTGAATCAGCTCCCACTCCAGATCCCGATCCGGATCCGAGAAAAGTCGTTCCGTAGATTTCGGCGGATTGGACCAGCAGCCAGTCTGGACAGCTTTCGGCGCGCACACGTCATTTCTTTCCTCGCGGGGCGTCTCGTTGATCTCGCCTCTGAAGAATTCGTAATGGCCTATCGAGAAATGTCGCGGTATATTGCCGGTACTATAGCTTGATGACAGTTCGTCGTCAAGTTTTCTCGAGCAGCTCCTCCAGCAGCAGCGGCTCGGCTCGCAGAAGAGGCTGAAAATCAAGACGTACTTAGACGCCGTTCCCGAGTATTCCGATGAAGAGACAAGTGGGCTACGCGGCTACGCTGATGCACATCGCTCTTCGACACACCTCTTTCACATCATAATTAATTTTGCTCGTGCGTTGAACACGAGCTCTCAGCACCGCGATTGCGAAAACATGTCTTTCGAGATCCGGGATTGGGGAAAGGATTCCTGGAAAGGTGAATGAACGGAGAGGCATCTCCCTATCCTGGAGGGGTGGTCATGTTCCACTGGGGACCCGGACGCGGTGCGACTCCGCTCGGATCGCGTGCTCCATCTCGGATCTGGTCTACTAATCCCAGCGCGTTCCAAAAACGACCACTGGGGCTCCAAGACGAGTGGAATTCACCATTAAATTCTCCCAACGACGAGGCACATTCACTCTCAAGCAAGCCAGCTGTCACGCCGACACACCGTCGTGTCACGCCGACACACCGTCGCTCGCAGATTCCGACGTCGACGCTCGCTGGTGCGGTTTCGAAGTTTTCTCTACCTTTTATTTCGGGCGCAAGTGTGCCAATTAACCATTAGAATGAGTTCATTACTCAATGTGTCTTCGCCTTCATTATTGAAAATATTACCTCAATTAACAAATCATTAAGATTCCTAGTGATTATCTAGGTCATTTTTTGAGCGTTTGACTGATAATAATTTCTATGTTGATAAATTAATAATAAGCCGCCATATGTTCCAGTGTTCCTTATTCATATAAAACTAAAGTTAACTATAGAGCAATATTTATTTGGTGACATTGCCTTAAAGGCCAATTTGATTCTTAACAATTTGGTTGAAAAATTTCTTTAATGCGAATTCTAATGTCAATTAACATACTAATTAGATTGCTGGAGATTATTATGGAGCTATATGATGGTGAAATTCCCTTCAAAAAGCTGAATGGATGATTGAGTAATCAAGAACATATAGACAGATTAATTACAGCAGTTTTCCCACTACTCACTTTACACTAGCTCAGTGAAGTTCCCATAAAAGGTCAATAGTTCATTTCTTTAACTATAATCAGCTAGCTACAACACTGCCGGAGATTGACAGGCATCACCTGGAAAGGCTGATCCTCCTGGAATGTCACCGATGCTTCGGTGAAGTGAAAGAATTCGGATGGGCGATCACTCCTCCAAATCTCCTTGAAGGCGCCGTCTGACGTGCTCCTTGTGTTCACCGTGAGCACCGCCGCCGCCGGGCCTCGGATTATGTAGTGGAACCTCATCTAAACATAAGTTTCACAATGCAGAGGTGTCGTAAAAACACACTTCATAGTAAAGCACTTCTGCTCAAGCAATGCTTGCACGACAATGCAGACAGCTTCATGAGGTTCAAGCATAAAGTGCTAAACAAACTGCTCCCTAACAGGCACAGCACAAGGCTACAGTAATCCAAAGTAAATCTTTCTCAAAAAGCAGCTTGGATCTGACAAGCGCAGTTGCAGCTGCGAAAGCTGTAAGGGGACCACAGCTGTCCCAGCCTAATCTGACTGGACTTAGGCTAATCTATCCTACCCAACCTAACTTAATCTAGCCTCAGGTAATCTAAGTTACCCCCCCCCTAACCTAATGTCACTAAGCATATTGTAACCTAGCCTAACATAATCTAACCCAGCTTATCTTAACCTAGATTAATTCAATCTAACCTAGCCCATCTTAACGTAGTATAATTCAATTTAACCTAATCTAAATTAATCTAATCAAGCCTTACCTAAGCAAATTGAATCTAATATAATCTAATCCAGGGGTCTGCTAACATTCTGGCTAAGGGACCGTATCAACAATCTGTTGAAGTTTCGAGGGCTGCTGAAGAAAGAGTAAATATAAACAAAGAACTAAGTATATTAATGTATCTAAGCATTTAAACACATAAATTAATGTAAAAGTAAGAATTAACAAAAACCCTAAGGTGGGTGAATACATATACTTCAAATAGAAAGTTAATAATTACCTAATTATAACGTTGCACAACACGCGTCACCAAGAAACCTTACCAGGCATAAGTCAACTTCTAAACATATGTTGACTTTTCTAAATGACCATAATATACTGTATGAATATCAACACGGTTTCCGCGAAGGTCGTCTACGACCACACAACTTGTTGAGACCGTGCATGATCTTGCTCAATCTATTAACAACCGAAGTCAAACTGATGTAATATCCTTGGACTTCGCAAAAGCATTCGACAAAGTGCCTCACCCTAAATTGTTGCTTAAATTGATACCATGTTTAAAAACCTCATAATTACAAATTGATTTTCTTCCTATCTTTTTTCGAAAGTTCAGTTTGTCGAGTCTGGAGAATAGAAGTCTAGCTTTGCACCTGTCCTTTCGGGAGTTCCACAGGGTAGTGTACTGGGACCACTGTTATTTTTAATATTTATAGATGACCTCCGCTTTGGGATTTCTGTTCCAATGAAGTTGTTTTCCGACGACTGTGTATTGTATAATAATATTGCAACCCAACAAGATCAAATCGAACTAAACAATAACCTCAGCAAAATAAAACAATGGTGCGATGAGTGGCAGATGGAGTTAAATCCCTTGAAAACGGTATTGATGACAGTTACACGAAAAAAGACATTTCTAAGTTATGATTATTCTTTAGATGGCACTAAACTCCTCCGTGTGTATGAGCACAAATACTTAGGATTAGCATTCACGAGTGACTTACGATGGAACACTCACATTGATAAAGTCTCATCAAAAGCTAACAAGGCACTCTGGTACCTTAAAAGAACCATAGCTAGCGCCACGCCAGAAATAAACAATATAGCGTATAAAACATTGGTGAGACCAGCTCTCGAATATGCGAAACTTGTTTGGGACCCATATACAAAAAACCAATTATACTAGACTCCAAAAGCTTCAGCGGCTTGCCAGCTAGATTCATCTTTAGTAAATATAACCGCACAGATTTTCCCACTGAACTATGCTGCCGTGCCGAGCTCCCAGCTCTAGAATTAAGAACAAATTGTGAACGTATAAAGTTTTTGTTCTTAATTTTTCATGATTTAATTTGCATAAAAAAAATCTAATTACATGGACATAAACGTGGGTGAATCCACAAGGCATTCTATGTACATAGAGGGCCATCTGTTAGAAACGATTGCTTGAAGTATGGTTTCTTTCCTAGAGCAATTACGGAGTGGAATGCTCTGCCAAGTGGCACTGTCACCCTAACCTCAATTAATGAGTTTGTTGAAAACGTCGAGAGCTTAGTAATTTGTCAAGCGTCGTAATAGTTGATTAATCACGATGCCTATCTTGTGTTATACTCTTACCCTCAGAGTCCATTCCCATCATTTTTTTCCACTTGTTGTGTTGGCGTCAATCTTTATAAGTACTTAAGCACTTCGAATGCTGTATCACTGCCTGTCTAGTCAGCAAGTAATAAAATAGCAGCATCTTTTTTCTTTATTTCGTGCTTTTTGTCACAGCAGGTATTAGTAATCTCTGCCACCAATCTTCTTTTTTTTCTTTTTTCTTATTGTGCATTGTCGTGTGCATGTATGTGATTTACTGCATTGTATTACCCACTCCTGTAAAAGCCCTGCCTAGGGCTGACAGTATCAATAAATATTATAATAAAAAAGCACATGTATACTTTGGCACATTCGTGCTGCGCAAGACTAATGAGGATGATAAAAGAAGTGCTGACAACATACAATGGTTGTGAAAGAACACAAAGAGCAATTTACGTCAAATTGCAATGAAATTTTAGGGATAGAAACACAGACATGAAGCCGGGGCTAAAATCAAACTCAAATTCAAACTCTTTATTTTTTTTCAATTTGAAGAGGGAAGGTAAAAAAGTAACTAGGGTGTTGCATGACAAGCCTCAGCCTCTTCCCGCACCAGCAGGAAAATGATACAAGGTTTGCAGCTCAGCAGGGGCCTCAAGATCGAAACAATATACAATCAATTTAAAAATTAAATATACGAAAATCAATAAAAATAGCATCAACAAATACAGAACACGCCGTTTTTACACTCTCACATAGAGTGTTGATATCCAGTTCACTACAAACATTTAAGAGACGGGGAAGCGTATATTTTAAAATTTGATCACCATAACATGTTCTGGAGTGCGGCACTAACCAAGTATCCATACAGCTAGTGTAGTAAACCATTTCCCCGAACAAAAGGTTGAAAATCGATAGTAGCATATTATCACTGTAATTGAAAGTCTCTTTATGCGTAACAGCTAATTGACAACAACCATAATTCGAACTTTTATGATATTGAGTTTATTAAAGAGGGGTCTAGTGTGACTATCATAGGCAGTGTGTCATACAAGATGAATGACTCTTTTGTTGGAGGATATGAATTTGATATTTCTAGGTTGTATTCTTAACACTAAAACGCAATAATCAAACTGCGCGTAAAAAAGACAGTTGTAAATTAGTTTCACGACGGAACTGGGTATTATGCATTCATATTTGTACGTAAAACCGACTCTCCTCGAAAGATTTTTGCACGTATATTGAACCATTTCGTCCCAAGACATATGGTGGTTAAAGATATCCCCTATAACTTATATGTTATTGACTATATTTATAGCACACGTACCAAGAAAAAGCATATTCGTATGACAACAATATATATTTCGTTTTATTTCGCGATCTAAATAAGACAACCCTAGCTTTACCCACATTTATCTGCAATTAATATAAAAGTTCCCATGCATCGAGCTTAGTCCAAAACCTAATCGCGTCGCTCATAGTTTTAATCGTTTCAACTTAAAATATATATATATATATATATATATATTCGCATCATGCGCACAGATAATACAGCTTATTTTACCCCCAATATTTGCAAGATCATTATTATATAAATTTGAAAAGAAGTGGCCCCAATATTCTTCTCCCTTGTGGCCGACCAGCTGTTATCGATCTCAGATTAAATGGTTTTAATTATTCATACACTCTGAAAACAGTCATGTAGATAACATTTGATCAACTTTAAAGCAACTCTGCATACAGCATAAGATAAAAAAAAAAAATTATTTTTTGTGCGATCATTTATGTGGTTAAACGCTTTGGAGAAACCAATAAAAAGTCCAACTGTTATCAGTTCTCGTTCGATGTTGCATAATATTATTTTCTTTTGTTTCAACAGTGCAAGTTCTTTTGAGCGACCTTTCCTAATTCCATATGACAGGGCTTGGTGACTGAAAACATCTCACAAAAAGAATATAACCTTGATGCGTATTTTTTCCAATCCTTTTTAAAATACAGGTAGCACGGAAATTGCTCTATAATTACCCAAATCAGTTTTCTTTACCGCCATATACATCACGGTCACTTTTGCAACCCGCATTTGATTAGGGAATGTTCCGTATTTTATTGCAAGGTTGAAAATTTTGGGTCCAGAGTGGAACAATCGTCGGTAATACTCTGGTTAACTGGTTTATCTGAATATTGTATACATAGGCACAGGAATGGGCGGTATTTCAGATACAAGTATTTGAAATACGTATTTCAAATACTTTGTGTATTTTGCATTTGTGTTTAATTACAAATTGGGTAATGTATTTGACGTGTGTACTTAAACACTAAAACGTGGGTATTTCAAATACAACTGTAATTAAATACAATTTTGTGGGCGAAAATACATCCCTCAAATTTATTGTCACTGTCCAGAGCGTGAAGAAAACTACGTTCTTCACCGAATGCAGTGTCTCTCAATCAAGCGCAAGCGTTTGGTGACTTTGCGATTACGGTGCTAGTCCAGGGCAAGAATAGTGACGAAATCGACGTTCACAGGCAGACTGGCTAAATAAGTGCCTGTGACAACTTGTGAGGCTTCCCAGCTTGATTTCCCTCCATATTTTTGCCTGGAACATTCTAAATGAGCGGGTGGTCCAGATTTTTGTAACTGGTGCGAGTTGCAACAATGAAAAATTGTCTAGCTAGTGCTGCGTGTCTTGGTCGTCTCGGTTCTTTGTTGGTCTATACCAAAATGTGATCGACAAAGAAATCTGCTTGAAGCTCTGTACTTTTTTCACCTATTACGTCTAAGCTGATTACATTTTTTTGTGATTATATTTCTATTACGTTACTAGAGCCTCGCACACTAACTCCCGAGTGTGCAATGCAAAATAATAATGAGATGCCCAGAAACCCGTTGCAGGTGCCCTTAAGTCGGTGACGCAGATGTTGAGGAATGTATCAAGAAAAGTATTTGGAGGAGACCAAATATATTTGGTTGCATTTGTAT